TGGGCAGGCAAGCTATCCCACATTTCCCTCTCCATCTGGATTAAACCATGTTCAAGATAACTTGAGTCATGACTTGGGATTGTGTAGAAAGGGAATCCCAAAAGGCAACTGGATTTTGTTTTTTCCTTGAAGATATTTCGCTTCTCATCCAAGAAGCTTCTTCACGCGAAAGGGGACCATGGTTCAACATTCGAACTACTTTTTGAAAAAAAGAAAAAAGAAAAAAAAAGAAATCTTGCAGACAATTCAGATTGAAGGCAGCTTGTGGTAAAAAGTAACCAAAGTTGGTTTATTAGCAAAGACAAGAACAGAAAAGGCATCATGGAAATAACAAGTAAACCGATGCTCTGAAATACAGAACATTTTGAGGTTTGAGGAAACAGGGTTGACAGCACCAGATGAAGTCACTTTGAGGGCATCAGAAGACCTTTCTGGAAGGACAGTGTGCCATGAAAAACAAGAGGACAATTAAGTCTATCCAGAGAAGGCCATGTCTGCCATGTCAGTAGTAACATTTATAATAGAAACAGATGTCTCCAGGCAAGCATAGGAGACAGCAGCTCATGTCGTGCTGTTACAACACTGTCCTATTTATTTTTATTTATTTTTACAAATACCTACATATGTGACACTAATGTGGTACCTTTCAGGGTAGGCTCAACATTTCCCAATGACCAGGCCAAACCTCACTTATGGAGCACGTTGGCCTTTGGGGGGAATATTTTGGCACAAATAATGGTCCAGAATGACAGCAATGCCTGTGTAGGTTGTATTTTCATCCTGTCATATTTACCATGGAGACTGCAGTGCCATCTCCTAACCTCAGAAAACTTCCGCGGAGGGAATGTGACTTGGTCAGGATCATCCATGAGTTTGGTGGAGAAGCAAGGTCTCCCCAAAGCTGGTCCCACCAGCGTTTGGATTGTCTAGAGCCAAATTTAGGCATTTAATGTTTGATACCCACCCACTGAGCTCTGCCACCTGAAGGGGTTATTCTCATATATCTCAAGGGCGTCTTGATTCCCTGAGCTGAACAACAGCACTCTACAAACACAAACCAGTGTAAATTTTCATATTCTGTAGGAAACACTGGTTTGGGATTCATTATCTCAGATTTTCCTTTCTCTGCCACAGAAAGCTTGGGGCTTTCTGTGAAGATTCCCACAAGTTCAATTGTTTTCCAATTCATTTTTGTGGAAGGCCCACACCCCAGCTAATTAATTCTCACCTACAACCACACCACAGCTACATCCTTCTCTGTGTGCTCTCTTACAACAAAGTCTGTGAAAATGAAGAAGGATGCTTATTCAAGTTAAGCTGGGTCTGACCAACAAAAACCTCTGAACTGGAGGAACATCCCACATGAAGAGGTGGGCAACCTTGGCTCTTTTATGACTCGTGGACTTCAACTCCCAGAATTCCTGAGCCAGCAGTTGAAATCCACGAGTCATAAAAGAGCCAAGGTTGCCTACCCCTGCCCTACATAAAGAGATGGGCAACTAATTTTTCCAAGAGGCCATGTGAGAAACTGGAACTCTTCTTCACAAACCAATAGGATCCTGAAGGTGCATAGGCAGGCATGCACGCACGCACATATATAGATTGGGGAAAAAAAATAGTAGTTGCCTTCAAAACGAAAGCAATCCACGTGAACCAGACAGAGACAGGGACAGTCATAGGTCCGGATGTGGCTTGGGAGCCATAAAATGCCCAGGTCTGTTCTACTATCGTGTTTCCCCAAAATATAAGACCTAACCAGAAAATAAGCCCTGGCATGATTTTTCAGGACGCTCCTAATATAAGCCCCATTCCAAAAATAAGCCCCGGTTAAGCTCGTCAGCGGGATGGATGCATTTAGTACCGTATTGCCCTGAAAATAAGACCTACCCGGAAAATAAGCCCTAAGGCGTCTTTTGGAGCAAAAATTAATATAAGGCCCGGTCTTATTTTGGGGAAAACAGGAGTAGTAGAAACTGTAGTTCAGTGTTTCTCAACCTTGACCATTTTAAGGCATGTGGACTTCAACTCCCAGAATTTCACAGCCAGCATTGCTGGCTGTGGAATTCTGGGAGTTGAAGTCCACATGCCTTAAAATGGTCAAGGTTGAGAAACACTGCTCTAGTTGTCTGTTTTAACACTCAGTGGCCGTAGGGAAGAAATTCCTGCTTCTACTTAATTACCAGCACTTTTTTTGTGGCCGTGCAGGCAGTCCTCATCTTACAACTGTCGTTTCAAAGTTACACACTACTGAAAAAAGTGACATGCCCCCCTTTTTTCACACTTAACAATTGTTGGGGCACACACACCCCCCATGGTCGTGTGATCAAAATTCAGACACTTGGCAATTGACTCCGATTTATGACAGTTGCAGTGTCTCTGGGTCATGCGATCCCCTTTTGCAACCTTCTAAAAAGGGAAGTCAATGGGGAAGCCAGATTCACTTAACAATCGTGTTACTAGCTTAACAACGGCAGTGATTCACTGAACAACTGTAGCCAGAAAGGTCGTAAAATGGGGCAAAATTCACTTAACAAATGACTCATTGAGAAAAAGAAATTTTGAGCTCAACTGAGGTTGTAAGTCAAGGACGCCCTGTATTGCTGTTTCTCCTGGACGCATTTAGAGGACTATATGATGGTTGCCGGGGCCTGGGATCATGTGATCCCCTTTTGCAACCTTCTGACAAGCGAAGACGACGGGGAAAACCAGATTTGCTTAACAACGGTGTCGCTAACTTGGGAACTGCAGTGATTCACTTAACGACTGTGGCAAGAAAGGTCGCAAAATGAGGCAAAATTCACTTAACCAACGTCTCACTTAGCAACGGAAATGTTGGGCTCAATTGTGGTCGTAAGTCGAGGACTGCCTATAATAGGCTCAACAGGGGTCAGAGAGAACTTTTTGCGGTATCTGTGACAGAAAACCGTACCTTAAACACAGCAAATAAAAGGAAACGAGGAAGCAGATAATGATCAACTCAAGTTCTATCCCTTTAGGACGGGGTCCTCAAACGTGGCTACTTTAAAACTTGTGGACTTCAACTCCCAGAATTCCCCAGCCAGGCACGCTGGCTGAGGAATTCTGGGAGTTGAAGTCCACAAGTCATAAAAGGCCCAAGTTTGAAGACCACTGACACAATGGCTTGTTATGTCAACATAGGACCAGGAAGAGTTTTAATAGGATTCTCTCTCGGATGGTGTCCTGCATTAATAAACATGAATCCAAGCAGCATGGGGCAGTTCAGAGCCACCATTAGTGTCCCGTGTGAGAAAGCAAGTCAAATGAACCTTAATCTTGTTCTGATGTAGATGCCGAGTCGGTTGTTTTCCATCCAATTATTGCAAAGTTCCTGCTGCCTTCTCCCATTTGGCACCTACTAAATTCAAATTCACTGTTTACCATTCTGGTAAACAGAAGGCAAATTCTAGCACTTTGAGAGACATTAAATTATAGGGAAAAGCAGTTTATTGCGCGTAATCAGCTTGCTTTTGACACGTGGAACCAGGTTTACAAGTATCTCTGCATGCCTTCAAAATTAAGGTTCATTTTAACCTGAACGAGCTTTGGTAAGTACTTTGGTTAATCTGGCTTTGAGATTTAGGAGCTTATGAATTATTCAAACATTTAGCTAATTGGTATGAGGTACCAAAATTCGGGAGGGCGTACAATATGTAAAATGATTGGACCAACTGGCTTAAATCAAGTGTCCAATCTTTGCAACTTGAAGATCTGTGACTTCAATTCCCAGAATTCCTGGGCCAGCCATGGTTTATGACAGGGGCCTTCAAACGTGGCCCTGTTATGACTTGTGGACTTCCAACTCCCAGCCACGCGTGCCTGGCTGAGGAATTCTGGGAGTTGAAGTCCACAAGTCATAAAAGGGGCCAAGTTTGAAGACCCTTGGTCTGTGAAGTCTACTGAATTAGATTTCTAGGTAGAAAGTGAGTTACTTGCTGTTCTATACCGCACTAGATTTCTGGATTAAATTATGCTGATACACAGAAGGAGTATTATAAACTAAGTTTAGCAACAATTTTGGCACAGATGATTTTCAATTCCAAAGTACTGACTATTTTATAAAGGAATATTTTTAAAAACCCACATTTGGGACAAAAAAGGGATTTGTTATAGCAGACGTTTCAAAACAAGGTGGAACAACAATGGACAACGTGGGAAAAATAATGCTCTCTTATTTCTTTCAGCCACTTCACGCAATTCATCCAATATTTTCATCGTATGTTAGGCTGCCTCTTTAGAGATTTAAGGTGTGCCCTTGAAAATTGATCTACAAAAAGTTTCTTACAACCAACGAATTTCTCATTATCAACTACTCCTGCTCAACAAACGGAAAGAGTTGGCTGTTTGTCAGCTGGAGGTAAGAAGCTAAAGTGAACGTTATAAAAACTTCTTCAAGAAATCTTGCTGAAGAAGTATCCATGGCATGGGAAATTTCGTCAAATTAATTTTTGCCTAGTTTGTAAGAAACACACATGCTCTGCTCCTTTGTGTATGACCTTGTATAAGAATTTCTTAAGCTTTAGGGAACTTAGGAGATCTCAAGTGATCTACTTGGAAAGGTTTGGGGGGCTCAGCTGCTCTACAGGAAATTTGGGTGTCCGTGCAAAGATGTCTTTTGTAGGAACCAGATCATCTATGACTAGTGATGCATAAGCATCACTCAATATTCAGGGATGATGCAGGAAGTCCTTGATTTACCCCAATTCGTTTAGTGACCAGTCAAAATTACAAGGGCACTGAAAAAAGGAAACTTAGGACCACTTTTCACAAGACCGCTGTAGCATCCCCATGTTCACCTGATTGACATTCGGATGTTTGACCACTGACTCACACTGACGACGGTGGCCGTGTCCCGGAGTCACGTGATTACCTTTTGCAACCTTCTGACAAGCAAAGTCAATGGGGGAAGCCAGATTCACTTAACAACCATGTTACCAATCGAATGACTGCAGGGATTCCCTTAACAAATGTGGGGAGAAAAGTCGTAAAATGGGGCAAATCTCACTTAACAAATTTCTCACTTAACAACATAAATTTTGGGCTCTATTGTGGTCGTAGGTTGAGGACTACCTGCAATCACGGGGTTGTTTTTTTTTTTTTGAGCTGCCATTGCTATCATCCAATAGTAAACCAAGCCAGTATCCAACAGTAATACTGGTTGCGCTAATGATGTTACCTAGCAAGGATGGTGGTGAAATATCTCCAGGAACACGAAGAACCCATTTTGGTATTATCTCAACAGTTGTTTCTATAGATCTGTGGGTTCACCGAAATTACATGAGTCTGACAGAGACTCTTGTTATCCTCAAGGCATTTGTGTTTCAAAGAGAAGCCATTTCTTCATCCTTCCACCCAGTATGGCAGAAGCTGGTGTGAAAGTGTTCCAACCGAAGAAAATTAATACAAAGGGTCTTGACAAAGGCATCTATCTTGGTGTCCCGTACATCATTTCCCTATTGTGCTTCTTCTACCTCCGAAGTAGACTCACGCAAGGCATCCTTGTTTCTGATTCCACCACTTCTGCAACGAGAATTCAACAGCCCAACAGGTCTGGGAACCGTAGCAAGATTGGGGGGGCGTGGCGTGGCCCTCCAAGGTGGCTCACGAGATGAGTTTCGGTCCTTCCTCTCCTTGGGTGGTTTTGCTTTCATTGAGGTAGCTCCTTTGTAGAGTGGAAGCATGCAAAGATACCCTTGCGTGATCACTGCTTAAGCCAGGGGGCTCCAACCTGGCCAACGTGGTACGACTTCAGCTCCTAGAATTCCTCAGCCAGCCCCGGGCGTTGAAGTCTACAAATTTTGCCAAGCTTGGAGGCCTCTGGCTTAAGCAAACAAAACGCAAAGATTTTCTTCTTCCCTTTTCTCGCAAGACGACTATAAAAATACCAGAATGGAGGAGGGGGGAGGATTTTTTTAAGAAAAAAAAAATTATAGGTTTCTCCTCTCTCCCTCTTTTTTTTTTGTTTTTTGTTTACAATTTATATATATATATATATAAAGACATTTCTCCCCTTTCCCCGTAAGGTGCAGGCCGTTAGACTTCGGTCCCATCGTGTAAATTGTTATGAACTTTCACTTCCAAGTTCATCTGCTTGACCTTTGTTCCCCTGGCCTTGTAGGGGCCTTCGTTTTCGCAGAGGAGGTTGAGGTTCTTCACCGTGCAGTAATGTCCACTGACGTTCTTCTCCAGGGTCTCGGCGTACCGCTTGGCTGCCTCAACTTTAGGGTTGAGAGGGTACTGCTCGGCAATTTCTTTGGCCGCTTTCTGCTTCTTCTTCCGATGCTTCCGACACTTCCTGGTTACGAAGCAGATGGACAGAAGGACCAGGAAGAGGAGCAGGACGGCGGCAAAGCCACTGCCGATGGACGCTCCCGTTTGAGAAAGAGAGGCGACGGTTATGGCCTCCTGCTGCTCCAGGCTGAGAAACTTCATGTTTGTGCCGTTCTTGATTTGATCTCCTTCGTTGTCGTAGATCAAGGAGTCGTCCAGAACGGGGACACCCTTGTGGTTGACAAGATCTCGGCGTCTGCGCTTCAGAGGATGATGTACCACAGAACGTGGCATCCGGAGCGCCCCAATGATCTCGGGACCAATGACGTAGATCACTTGAAGATACCACTGGTGCCCAGCTTCCACCTGACCAAAAAAGACAGAACAAAGGCAATGTTTAGAAGATGTGATTTCAATATCTGTTTTAATATATACAGGTGGTCCTTGACTTACAACAGTTTGTTTAATGACCGTTCGAAGTTACAACAGCACTGAAAAAATGGCCATTTTTCACACTTACGACATGGCAGCGTCCCCGTGGTCATGTGATCAAAATTTAGATACTTGGCAACTGACTCATATTTACAATGGTTCCAGTGTCTCGGGGTGCTGGAGAAGACTCATGCGAGTCCCCTGGACTGCAAGGCGATCCAACCGGTCAGTCCTAGAAGAGATCAACCCTGACTGCTGTTTAGAAGGCCAGATCCTGAAGTTGAAACTCAAGTACTTTGGCCACCTAATGAGAAGGAAGGACTCACTGGAGAAGAGCCTAATGCTGGGAAAGATGGAGGGCAATAGAAAAACGGGAGGACAGAGAATGAGGTGGCTGGATGGAGTCACTTAAGCAGTAGGCGTGAGCTTAAATGGATTCCAGAAGATGCCAGAGGACAGGAAGGCCTGGAGGAATGTTGTCCACGGGATCGCGATGAGTCGGACATGACTTCACAACTAACAACAACAAAGAAGGGAAGCCAATGGGAAAGCCAGATTCACTTAACAACCGTGTTACCACCTTTGACAACTGCAGTGATTCACTGAACAACTGTAGCAAGAAAGGTCGTAAAATGGGGCAAAATTCACTTCACAAAAGACACATTGAGCAACAGAAATGTTGGGCTCCATTGAGGTCATAGGTCAAGGAAGCCCTGTACTGCTATTTCTCCTGGACGCAATTAGAGCACTATATGAGGTGAGATAGGCAGCAAATAAGTCAAATAGATAGATAGATAGATAGATAGATAGATGGATGGATGGACGAATAATAATAAAAAACAACGAAAAAACAATAACATCTTGTCATTGAAAACCAGACTGCATGGAGCTGATTATACTTGCTCAGAAAGTTCCACATTTGGAGTGTTAGTCAATAATAATAATAATAATAATAATAATAATAATAATAATAATAATAATAAAGTTGGAAGGGACCTTGGAGGTCATCGAGTCCAACCCCCTGCTCAAGCAGGAAACCCTATACCATTTCGGACAAATGGCTGTCCAGTCTGTTCTTAAAAACTTCCAGTGTTGGAGCATTTATTGCTTCTGGAGGCAGGTTGTTGCATTGGTTAATTGTTCTAACTGTCAGGAAGTTTGCTTTTTCAAAAGGCAACTGGACCTTCTTTGTTTTTCCTTGAAGACATTTCGCTCCTCATCCAAGAAGCTTCTTCAGTTCTGGCAGAACGAAACCAATCGGTCAGAACTGAAGAAGCTTCTTGGATCAGAAACGAAACCTCTTTCTTTCTCAAGGAAAAAACAAAATCCAGTTGCCTTTTGAAAAAGCACCTTTCAGGCCACATTTCGGGTGCTGCTGCAAGAAAGACCCTGCTTCTGGCCTCCACTCTATGTGCCACCACAGTGGAGACCACGAGTCTGTGGCATCTGCAGCTCATATAGTGCTGGATGGTATTGAGGCGGCAGTATTTTAAGAGCTTGGGAATTAAGCCAACTCTTTTGATTAAAACCTTCTTTGTTACTGTGCAAATCTAATTTCACAGTTGTGGTTCTCACTCCTGAGCCGGATAAATTATGAATATATATTATGGATATTATAGGCATCATCCTCCAATCATATTCCCAAGGGAGTTTTTACAAAAAAGAACAGAATCATCAAATGCAGAAACAAGAAATCAGGACCTCAAAAAGACCACAGCTTTATATGAGATTATATTCCTAAAACCTTTGGGCAGGGGTCTTCAAACTTGGCCCTTTTATGACTTGTGGACTTCAACTCCCAGAATGCCTGGCTGAGGAATTCTGGGAATTGAAGTCCACAAGTCATAAAAGGGCCAAGTTTGAAGACTCCTGCCTCACATTAGAGATTTTAAGATAGGGAATTAGAGGTAGATATGGCGTAAACCTCGAAGTTTCCTAACTATAAGCCACTCAAAGAATAACACTTCAAAGTGGGCCCACAATTCTAACAGAGCTGGAACAACTGACCTAAACTTAGTTGCACTACCATCAAAATGGCCACTTCCAGTTAATATGGCACATTTTGAACAAATTGCAAGACATGCCCACAAATTTGTGCAGAAGCCTACAAGTTAATCGATAAATGAAGTAGGTCTATAGATGGCTTCCAGGAAGTCTACGCTGGAGAAAAAGCAGTATGTAGTCCAAAATAAACTGGCTGTAGTAGATGAGCACATCCAACTGTGAACTTATTCAGAGGGACGTCAACATCTCCTCCAAGACAGGACGAACCCCATTCTCTTCAGCTGAGAAGTCACCTCATCACCCTGCCTAATTCAATAAATATGCGAGCATGAGACAACGCCCCAACTATTTGTCTTTCCCCCTTATGTCAGCGATGAAGATGAGCACATTCTACAGTTCTCCTGCCTCAACAATCGTGAGGATTTCAGTCGTGGTTTCTAATGCATGAATTAATTTGTATGCCACGTACCTTATAGAGGGCGTCCACTTTCATGATGAAGCCATCCACTCCAGGCATGCTGCTGACCTGGTGGAAATCGGGCAACTCAGATGCAAAATAGGCATCAAAAGGGACATCGTGGAAGTATTTGTCAGTCACTTCCGGTTGACTCCGGTCCTGCAGTTTAAAGAATTGATGACAAGGTGAGGAGGAGGACAAGCCATCAGGATGCCGATACACTCAACAAACGTTTTCAAACAAAGGGTATCCAGTTAGAACTGGAATTCACCGAATTCTCTTTGGTCCGCTAAGCCAGGAATTCTGAGATTTGCAAAATTCCCCCCCCCTCCCCAACCAAAGTCTATCTGACGGAGACAGGAGTTGTACTATGTACCAGCAGCAGGAATCTGTGCTTCAGGTGCTTGCTAGGCTGGATGCAGCCATACTGGGGTCCTTCGTTGTATATTGTGCCAGTTGGGTCGAAGAACGGGACGTAGCCATCCTTCCCTGTGCAGAGGTAGACTTTCTCCAGCTGCAATTTGTAGGCAGAATTGAGGTTTTGCTCGGGGTTCCACATCACTCGGCCGTAGAGGATTTGACCTGAGTAAAGAAATACATTGCGATCAGGCAGATACAACAAATATCCACCAGAATAATAGAGTTGGAAGGGACCTTGGAGGTCTTCTAGTCTAACCCCTTCCTCAGGGAGGAGGTCCTATACCAGGGGTAGGCAACCTTGGCTCTTTTATGACTCGTGGACTTTAATTCCCAGAATTCCTGAGCCAGCATGGCTCAGCTTGGAAACTCCCTTTCCCCTCAGCATGGCTGGCTCAGGAATTCTGGGAGTTTAAGTCCACGAGTATATAAAGAGCCAAGGTTGCCTACCCCTGCCCTATACCATTTCAGACAAATGGCTGTCCAGTCTCTTCTTAAAACTTCCAGTGTTGGAGCATTCACTGCTTCTGGAGGCAGGTTGTTCCACTGGTTAATTGTTCTCACTGTCAGGAAGTTTCTCCTTAGTTCTAGGCTGCTTCTCTCCTTGACTAGTTTCCATCCATTAATTCTTGTCCTGCCTTGAGGTGCTTTGGAGAATAGCTTGACTCCCTCTTCTTTGGGGCAGCCCCTGAGATATTGGAACACCACTATCATGTCCCCCCTCGTCCTTCTCTTCATTAAACTAGATATACCCAATTCCTGTAACTGTGCAATTCCTACATCGAAAGGACAAATATCCAGAGATGGGGAACCTAGTCCTTCCTGTGCTAGCAAGAAAAAGACTGCCTTGCTCAGCATAAAGATGAGACCTAAATTCGAAACTTGGCATTATGATAGAAGATGCTGAAGAACAAGAAGATGCCTCAAATCTGTGCCATGCCAAACTTTCCCAGCTGACCACTTCACCTTACCAATCCCCGTCTCCTTGCCCAGCTTGGGCATCAGCTTGGAATTCTGGGATTTCTATGACAATATCAAATTAACTTCCCAGGCACTTCATGAGTTATTGAAGCAAGAAAGAGGCAGAGATAAAATTCGGCTGAAGCATCCCTCTGCAGCTTTCCATAATCACAGCCCAACATTTAATACAGACATATTTTAGATATGACCTCCTCCTGCTTTATAATGCATATATACATATATTAAGCATACATTAATATATAAGCATGTATGCTTATATATTACCCTGTCCTGCTTCATGGGATATATATGCATATATTTAACATATATACCTATATTTACATAAATGCATATATTGCAATATTAAGCATCTATTACACATTGCCCTTGTGCATTTCAGGAAGTTTACTTATACGTCTTCCTGAAAAATAGACTGCTAAGCAAGAAACTAAGCAAGAACCAGCCACTCAGTGAGATGGGTGGCATACAAATTTAATAATATTTTAAAAAGCCATAATTGGATTTACAGGCGGCTGTTATGTATAAGCTGGGTTGACAAGATTAGAAATGAGGAGGTGATAAGCTGCCTGGGAAAGGCAAGGGAAATCAACAAAACAATTAAAAAACGAAAGTTAGAATATTTCGGACATGTGATGCGACATCCAGAAAAATACGGCATACTCCATTTAATCCTCCAGGGAAAGACTGAAGGCAAACGAGGTCCAGGCAGAAGAAGAACATTGTGGCTTCAAAATAAAAGGGACTGGTTGGGACAAAACTCAGCAGCACTTTTTCGTGCGGCTGCTGATAAAAACAGGATCGCCAACATGATCACCAACGTCCGATAACGGATATGGCACAAGAAGAAGAAGATTGTTTAATAAAATTAACCTCATATCAGTAGGATCCTTCTAACATCTCCTTGTAAGTTTCTCATTTTTGTAGAGGAACAGGACACAATGTTCTAAAAATGCCAACTATATATAAGCTGCAAGACCCTTCCCATGCAATCTATTCAGATTTTATATGACCCCAGTGGTCTGCTAGTTATATACAGGTAGTCCTTGACTTACAACCAACCATTCATTTAGTGATCATTTGAAGTTACCACAGCCCTGAGAAAAAGTGACTTATGACTGGTTTTCACAATTACAAGTGCTGCAGCATCTCCCTGGTCACGTGATCAAAATTTAGAGGCTTGGCAACTGGCATGTACTTATGACAGTTGCCCTGTCCTGGAGTCATGTAATCACCATTTGTAACCTTCCCAGCAGGCTTCCGACAAGCAAAGTCAATGGGGGAAGCTTAACAACCTCATCGAATCACTTAATAACTGCAGTGATTTGCTTAACAACTGGGGCCAAAAGGTCATAAAAGGGGGCAAAACTTACTGATCAGCTGTCTTGCTTTAGCAATGGAAATTTTGGGCTCAGTGGTGGTTATAAGTCAAGGACTACCTGTATGTCTTCAACCTTGTGTATATGTATATGTATATGTATATTTATTTATTAATTTTTTATAATCACAAATGCTTAACCTTTTGTTCAGGGGTAGGCAACCTTGGCTGTTTTATGACTTGTGGACATCAACTCCCAGAATTCCTGAGCCAGCCATGCTGAGGGGAAAGGGAGAGGTTTCCAAGCTGAGCCAGGCTGGCTCAGGAATTCTGGGAGTTGAAGTCCACGAGTCATAAAAGGGCCAAGGTTGCCTACCCCTGCTTTTGTTGAACTAAACCAGTGGTTCTCAACCTGTGGGTCGGGACCCCATCTGGGGTCCAACGACCATTTCACGGGGGTCGCCAAACAACGCAGTCCGCCATTTTTTCCCCCTTTTCCTTAGCTGTGCTACTCCCTTTTATTCTATTGGCTTTTGAAAGCCAATAGAATAGACTCTCTTGAATAGAGTCAAATTCTATTGGCTTTCAAAAGCCAATAGGAATTGTCCAGGCTGTCTCTGCCCTGCTGAGCCCACCAAAAGTCCCATTCTGCAAACGGTGCTGCACCAGTTGAGTAGTCCTCGACTTACGACCGGTTGAGTAGTCCTCGACTTACGACCGGTTGGGGGTCGCGGCATTAAAAAGGTTGAGAACCACTGAACTAAATGGACCCAGAGAACTATCCTGTTTACCTTCCTTGGCTTTTCAAATGCCACTAAAGGGGAACAGCCTTGTTGACTTCTCCATTATGTCAGGATTAGCCAAAGGCCACACCTTCGTGATGTTTGCCTTGCTGTAAAAATTGATTTCTGGAAGGAGAGTGTTACGCCCGTCCAATCAGCTGCTGTCTCACTTATTCTGCAATTCAGTCCGGCATATTTTCCCACAGAACATTTCTGTGACCTTCCCCGATATTTTCTCGCCCTTCCCATGGAGCGCTCTGAACCCCGTCCAAATCGTAAAATATAAACCGTACCTTTGGAAAAAGCACCCTTGTAGTCCATCTCGGCCATCGACATCTCAGTCTTAGTCGGATCCATGAGAAACACTTTTTCATTATTGCAGAGCTGAAACTCCGTGTTCAGGGAGTACACGACGGGAACCGGCCGGTTAGTCTGCTGAAAGGCAATTGGGATCAAAAATCTAAACAGAGAAGAAAGGGGATAGAGAAATCAGGCTACAGAAATAATAATGCCAGGAATATTTGTTTATTTCTAACTTTACTGGGAGAGCTCAAGGAGGTATATACAGTGCGTTATCGAAATGGTATCCACATCTGGAATACTGCATCCACTTTTGGTCACCACATTAGAAAAAAGATGTTTCCGGCTTTGGGAAAAGTGCAAAGAAGAGCAACTAAGATGAGTAAACGCCTGAAGACTAAAATATATTAAGAACGGTTGCAGGATTTGGGTCTGGCTAGTCTAGAGAAAAGAAGGACTAGTGGGGACATGATAGCAGTCTGCCAGTATTTGAGGGGCTGCCGCAAAGAGGAGGAGGTCAATTTATTTTCCAAAGCACCAGAAGGCAAGACAGGAAACAATGAATGCAAACTAATTAAGGAGAGAAGCAACCTGGAATTAAGGAAAAACTTCCTAACAGTGACAGCAACCACCACCACCACCACAACAACAACAATAATAATAAAGTTGGAAGGTACCTTGGAGGTCATCTAGTCCAACCCTCTGCTCGGGCAAGAAACCCTATACCATTTCAGACAAATGGCTGTCCAGTCTCTTCTTAAAAACTTCCAGTGTTGGAGCATTCACCGCTTCTGGAGGCAGGTTGTTCCACTGGTTAATTGTTCTAACTGTCAGGAAGTTTCTCCTTAATTCTAGGTTGCTTCTCTTCTTGCTTAGTTTCCATCTGTTGCTTCTTGTCCTGCCTTCAGGTGCTTTGGAGAACAGCTTGACTCCCTCTTCTTTGTGGCAGCCCCTGATATATTGGAACATGGCTATCCTGTCCCCCCTCGTCCTTCTCTTTGTTAAACTAGACATACCCAATTCCAGCAACCATTCCTCATATGTTTTAGCCTCCAGTCCCCTAATCATCTTTGTTGCTCTTCTCTGCACTGTTTCTAGAGTCTCAACATCTTTTTTACATCATGGTGACCAAAACTGGATGCGGTATTCCAAGTGTGGCCTTACCAAGGCATTGTAAATACTACTTCACATGATCTTGACTCTATCCCTCTGTTAATGCAGCTTAGCACTGTGTTGGCTTTTTTGGCAGCTGCAGCAGGCTGGCTCATATTTAAGTGATTGTCCACTAGGACTCCGAGATCCTTCTCACAGTTGCTACTATTGACCAAGGTACCACCTATACTATACCTGTATATTTGGTTTTTCTTGCCTAAATGTAGAACCTTACCTTTTTAACCACTGAATTTCATTTTGTTAGATCCTTCTGTATTTTAAGCCTGTCTTCTGGAGTGTTGGCTATTCCTGCCAGCTTGGTGTCGTCTGCAAATTTGATGAGTTCCCCATCTATCTCCTCGTCCAAATCGTTGATGAAGATGTTGAAGAGCACTGGGCCCAGAACAGAGCCCTGGGTCACCCCACTACACACTTCCCTCCATGTAGATGCGGTTCCATTGAGGACCACACGCTGAGTACGGCCGGTCAGCCAGCTACAAATCCATCTGGTGGTGATGCTGTTTTACCCACATTTTTCTATCTTATCAAGTAGTAAGTTGTGATCTACTTTATCAAATGCCTTACTGAAGTCCAAGTAAATTATATCCACAGCATTCCTCTGGTCCACTAATGTTGTCACTTGGTCAAAGAATGCAATAAGATTTGTCTGGCGTGATCTGTTTTTGACACTGGAATAGAAGTTGTGGGAGGTTTTTAAGAAGAGACTGGACAGTCACTTGTTTGAAATAGTATAGGGTCTCCTGCTTGAGCAGGGGGTTGGACTAGAAGACCTTGAAGGTCCCTTCCAGCTCTATTCTGATTCTCTCTGGGTTTTTCCTCCAGGAATGGCTCCAGAGAAAAATCAGCTGTTCAGTCAACTTCTCACTTAAGAAAATCTCTTAGCGGTCAAGAGCAGGCAGATCTTGTATCTCCTAGCCAACCACCCACTTTGTCTCATTTGAGGATTGGGAAAGAGTGACCGGTCCAGAATTATTATCAAGTAGGGTTCATGTCTAAGCTGGTTATTAAATGGACCCATTTTGTAGCCTCACAAGATAAACTAGACCAGGGGTAGGCAACCCTGGCTCTTTTATGACTGGTGGACTTCAACTCCCAGAATTCCTGAGCCAGCATGGCTCAGCTTGGAAACCCTCCCTTTCCCCTCAGCATGGCTGGCTCAGGAATTCTGGGAGTTGAAGTCCACGAGTCATAAAAGAGCCAAGGTTGCCTACCCCTGCACTAGACCACAATCTAAGCAAAATGCTGTGTGTTTACACAACACCACCACCATCCTCATCACCTTCCTCCTGTTATTCCCGCTGCTGCGGGTTCCGCTTTACGGACTGACGAACACCGTCTTGAAGAATCAAACGTAGCCCAACACACTGAGTTAGCACAACACACCCGTCCCAGAAATCTTCCAGGTCTTATCCTGACCTAGTTAATTAGCTGGACAAACATAACTAAACAGCAGTGCAGTGAAGCTCATGGGTGGATCTGAAAGCATTCCAGGTCTGTTTCAATTCAGGTAAGGCTGACATTCCAAAATACCTTCAGGAATGAGCTTACGACAGTTGGAAGCGGGTTTTCTATCTGTGCAGATTACCTCAAGCCTACTTGGAGCAAACTTTGGACTTGCTAATAGATTAAGTCAGATTAATCTAGAACAGGGGACTTCAAACTTGGCCCCTTTATGACTTGTGGACTTCAACTTCCAGAATTCCTCAGCCAGCCTCCATTTTATTTATTAGATTAAAGGCAGGGGTCTTCAAACTTGGCCCTTTTGTGACTTGTGAACCGGTTGTTCACCTATTTGAATCCCACCACTGCCCCTAGTCCAGGGGTCTTCAAACTTGGCCTTTTTATGACTTGTGGACTTCAACTCCCAGAATTCCTCAGCCAGCCTCCATTTTATTTATTAGATTAAAGGCAGGGCTCTTCAAACTTGGCCCTTTTATGACTTGTGGACTTCAACGTGCCTGGCTGAGGAATTCTGGGAATTGAAGTCCACAAGTCATAAAAGGGCCAAGTTGGAAGTCTCCTGATCTTGAAGTGTCAGAATGAGACCAGCATTCTCACCACTTTGAAGGTTGACATATAAGCACAGAGAGGTAGTCCTTGACTTACAACCACAATTGGGCTCAAAAATTCTGTGGCTAAGCGAGACAGTTAAGTGCCCCATTTTGCAACCTGTCTTGCCATAGTTGTCCAGTGAATCACTGCCGTTGTTAAATAAGCAACACGGCTATTAAGTGAATCTGGCATTCCCCCATTGACTTTGCTTGTCACAAAGCCGCCAAAGGGGATCATGTGACTCCAGGACACTGTGACCGTCGTAAATATGAGTCAGTTGCCAAGCGTCTGAACTTTGATCTTGTTGCCATGGGGATGCTGCAACGGTTGTTAAGTGTGAAAAATGGTCATCGGTCACTTCAGTGCCGTTGTTACTTCGAACAGTCACTAAATGAACTGTTGTTAAGTCAAGGACTACCTATACCAGTGGTTCTCAACCTGTGGGTCGGGACCCCATTTGGGGTCGAACGACCATTTCACGGAGGTCGCCAAACAACGCAGTCCGCCATTTTCCCCCCCTTTTCCTTAGCTGTGCTACTCCCTTTTATTCTATTGGCTTTTGAAAGCCAATAGAATAGACTCTCTTGAATAGAGTCTAATTCTATTGGCTTTCAAAGCCAATAGGAATAGTCCAGGCTGTCTCTGCCCTGCTGAGTCTGCCAAAAATCCCATTCTGCAAACGGTGCTGCACTAGTTGAGTAGTCCTCAACTTACGACCGGTTGGGGGTCGCGGCATTAAAAAGGTTGAGAACCACTGACCTATACCATTGTTAAAATCATAACTAAGCAACCATAAACAAACAGCCCTCTTGAACAAGAAAACCAGATTCACAATGAGGGAAATATTCGGACCCAAACTATCCACGTTGAGTAGATTCCAAGAAAACCCTCTGATTTTGGATTAACTCCGGGGTCTTCAAACTTGGCCCTTTTATGACTTGTGGACTTCAACTCCCAGAATTCCTCAGCCAGGCACGCTGGCTGAGGAATTCTGGGAGTTGAAGTCCACAAATCATAAAAGGGCCAAGTTTGAAGACCCCTGGATTAACTGCTTCAGTTCCTCTGCCTGGCTTTTAGCAGCCTCCAATCAAAATGTTTTCTCTTCAGGAAACAGTAAGTTCTTATCTGCATGGATCATCTTGAGTGAACTTTGCTTATCTTTCTAATGTAATCTAAGTTTTCTAGGAACTTCAAACATCCTGATAAGTGAATTAGGAACATCCAGTCTGTAGGGCAAATTCATGTTTTTTCCCTCCATGTTTTCCCATCCTCTCTAGAAGCTCATAGCTCCACTGAACATCTATACCAGGGGTAGGCAACCTTGGCTCTTTTATGACTCGTGGACTTCAACTCCCAGAATTCCTGAGCCAGCATGGCTCAGCTTGGCAACTCTCCCTTTCTCCTCAGCATGGCTGGCTCAGGAATTCTGGGAGTTGAAGTCCATGAGTCATAAAAGACCCAAGGTTGCCTACCCTGGATCTATACCTATCAGGAAACACTACTGTTTCTGTTCAAGTTGGGTAAAGCTTCCCTGAGTCCTCACCCATAGCACCGCAAATCTTTCTTTCCTCATTTTTCTCCTTAAATCTTTCATTGCAACACAAGTCTCGCTGGAATAAAACTACAGAGCTTTAAAGAATGCCGGTAGTCCTCAACTTACAACAGTATATTTAGTGACCGTTTGAAGTGTCAACAGCCCTGAAAAATGTGACTTACAACAATTTTTCACCTGTACGACAGTTACAGCATCCCTATGGTCATGTGATTGCAATTCAGACACTTGGCAAATGACTCATATTTATGACGGTGGGAGTGTCCTGGGGTGGTGTGATCCCCTTTTGCGACCTTCCGACAAGCACTGTCAATGGGGAACCGTGTGACTAACTTAAGAATTGCAGCGGTTCATGTAACAACTGTGACACGAAGATCGTAAAATGGGGCGAAGCCCTCTTAACAAATGTCTCGCTGAGCAACCAAAAATTTGGACTTGATTGTGGTCCTACAGTGAAGACGTTGCCTCAGTTCCTCCTTTTTAGAAACATTCCATGAATATATCTTCAAAGGCAGGAATGAAGGCACAGGCCTTTGATCCTGACACCTTCAAAGCAACAACATGGGTGGGAAAGAAAGAGGAAGAATGTGTGAAGGGAACGTGAAGGCATGAGGTGGCTGAACTAATCACAACTTGGCCCAGGGACAAAATGCCTGCAATCCAAATTGGAATTTTTAAAAGTGGATTCAGTAGCAGCAGCTTCACCTCCCTTGTGGGGGATTGCCCTTAGGGCAGGCCCTGTCTGAAGATCAAAGCAAGTCCCCAAGACATCACATTAGGCCAATCCAGGGCTAAGGAAGCATTTGGGAAGATGACAAATGACATACTTTCCCAACTACCTCACAGCGCCTTCTGTTCTTTCCCCAATCGAGGGAATCCTTGACGTACGACCATAACTGAGCCCCACATTTCTGTTGCTAAGTGAGACATCTGTGAGGTAAAATTTGCCCCATTTTACGACTTTTCTTGCCATAGTTGTTAAGTGAATCACTGAAGGTGTTAGTGACATGGTTGTTAAGTGAATCTGGCTTTCCCCGTTGTCAGAAGACCACCAAAGGGGGACTCCAGGAGACTGCAGCCACCGTAAATATGAGTCAGTTGACACGGGTCTAAATTTTGATCGTGTGACTGGGGGGGGGGATGCTGCAACGTCGTGTGAAAAATGGTCGTGCCACTTTTTCAGTACCGTTGTAACTTTGAGTGGCCACTAAGCAAACTGTTGTAAACCAAGGACTGTATTCCTTTAAGCTGAAAATGCCAATGATTCCCATTTTATCTGAGGTCCTCTGAACAGCAATGGAAGGGAGTCCCAAATGAAGCAAAAGAACATCTCTTCCACAAGTTCAGCAGATGCCATCTCCTTGATAGCCTCTGATTGCTTTCTTATAGATGTCTCATTATCAAACTATAAGCCCTGCTCCTTTGTATGAAACAACTTAAAGGGGGATATGTATGTTTGCGTGTGTGTGTGTGTGTGTGTGTGTGTGTGTGTGAGAGAGAGAGAGAGAGAGAGAGAGAGAGAGAGGGAAGGAAAGAAAGAAAGAAAGAAAGAAGGAAGGAAGGAAGGAAGGAAGGAAGGAAGGAAGGAAGGAAGGAAGGAAGGAAGGAAGGAAGGAAGGAAGTTTCTGTTATATTTTATATTACTGTGTCTTTAAGGGAAAAAAGGCGCATTTTCTCTTGATTTGTCCATTGCCATTGTGGCTTTTAGAAAAGGATACACCAACCACCCTATACTCTTTTTTCTTGTTTCCCAATTCTTGAATCTCCCTTCCTTGAATCTCCCTTTTCTACTGCTATTCCAATGCATCTTTTCTGGATTTTTCCCCCATGACTGAAGACACAAAGGAGTTCCACTAAGGTTGATCATTACCAGATCATAAGCATGTATTGTTTTAAATTCTTCCTGCTTACATTCCACCAGACGTGTATAATTGTCTAGACACTGATGTCTTCTCTCACGCACATCCTCTTACAATTCCTCCGGATAATAGCCCTGAGCCTGATTACTGTTAATATTTCAACCTCATTCCCAAAGCTCATCAGATGTTCCCCTACTACTGTGTCTCTAATTGTCCCTATCTGTATTCTCCTTGTTGACTTTAAGCTTACTTATGTGCAAGAAATGCACTCAAACCTGTACCAAAATACTATAGGGGGAAGATGATGTTGCAAGTTGCTAAACTTCTCCCAATTCCAGAATTTTAAACAAAGTATTATAGCCTGTGGCCCTTTCTGCACGTGTGGAAAATTCCCTTTAATTGTTTGTGTTTTCTTTAAAGAGTGACGCTTATCTCCGGGCATGAAACAAGGTAAGCATCTACTTACTTTTCTGGAGCATGAGCTGTGCAGGGTAATGGCTTATCTCCTGGGTCAACCCAAGACTGGGTGGGCTGGACTGTGCAGGGTATTAAGGAGATGGTGTATTCTCCAGAATAATCTTTCCTGAAAGCAGAGATAAAGTACCGGCATTAGCATATCGAACTGCAAGCTTCTCCTTGTGGATTTCCCAAAGGTGCTTTTTCAAAAGGCAACTTGGACTTTCTTGCTTTTTTCCTTGAAGATGTTTCGCTTCTCATCCAAGAAGTTAGAATAGAATAGAGCTGGAAGGGACCTTGGAGGTCTTCTAGTCCAGCCCCCAGCTCAAGCAGCAGGACCTATACCATCTCAGACAGGTGATTGTCCAGTCTCTTTTTAAAAACTTCCAGTGATGGAGCGCTCATGATTTCTGGAGGCAACTTCTGTTCCACTGGTTGATTGTCCTCACTGTCAGGAAGTTTCTCCTTAATTCCAGGTTGCTTCTCTCCTTGATCAGTTTCCAACCATTGTTTCTCGTCCTTTCCTCTGGTGCTCTGGTGAATAACCTGACCCTCTCTTCCTTGTGGCAGCCCCTCAGATACTGGAACACTGCTATCATGTCTCCCCTATTTCTTCTTTTCTTTAAACTGGCCAAACCCAAGTTCCGCAACCATTCTTCGTACGTTTTGGTCTCCAGACCTTTGATTATCTTAGTTGCAATCTTCTCTGAATTTCTTCCAGGTTCTCAACATCTTTTTTGGGATATGGTGACCAAAATTGGCTGCAGTATTCGAGGTGTGGTCTTACTAGGGGGCTAGTTCCTTCCTAGTTCTTTACTTCTTGGAATTGAAGATGCTTCTTGGAGGAGAAACATCTTCAAGGAAAAAACTAAGAAAGTCCAAGTTGCCTTTTGAAAAAGCACCTTTGGGACAACCCTGACCTGGATGACTGAGCATCTCCATAGACATTGAGTTCCTTGTGGTCAGTTGATCATGAGGTATGAGGAAGTTGAGCCAAATAAAACACACTACACAGATAGAGAGCAAGCATATGAATTAAAGATTGTGATAGAGGTAGTCCTTGACTTATAATGCAATTCATTCAGTGACTGTTCGAAGTTACAACGGCACTGAAAAAAAGGGACTTATGACCCTTTTTCACACTTACAACCGTTGCAGCATCTCTATAATTTACGTGATCAAAATTCAGACACTTGGCAATAACTGACCCTATCTCCCCCGAGTTACCTGCTCCCACCTCCGCCCATCTTTTTAATTTCGTATTATTGTATTTCCATTGTTTGTTTTTGCTATATAAAAGGAATATTTTAAATTTAACTTAATAATATTATTATTTTTATTATTATTAAAAAGGAATTTTTATTCCTTTACTATTGTTATTTTTGCATTTTTTTAATGTTTTGTTTTGTTGATTGTTTATTGCAAGCCGCCCAGAGTAGCCCCTCAGCGAGACAGACAGCAAATTTAACAAACAAACAAACAATTTGAACTTCTTGCCTCCAGTTGCCACCACTTAAGACATTAGCTGGAAACATTAAAAAACAATGTACAAATTCACACACTTTTTTATAGTTCTAGTTTTATAGGTTTTTTTATAACTATAGTTTTACACAGTGCTTTTTTTCTAAAAAAAAAAAAAAAAAGGTGCCGGAACTCACACACGTCATACAACCCGCCTTGCCTACCCTACAAGGTTCCATCCAAAAAAGGTGCCGAAACTCCGTTCTGGGCGTTCTATGAGAAAAAAAGCCCTGGTTTTACAGGAATGGTATAGGGTTTCCAGCCTGAGCAGGGGGTTGGACTAGAAGACCTCCAAGGTCCCTTCCAACTTTGTTATTCTATTCTATTCTATTCTATTCTATCCTATCCTATCCTATCCTTATTTCTATTCTATTCTAACTCTACTCTATTCTATTCTAATTTCTATCCTATCCTATCCTTAATTCTATTCTATTCCTATTCTATGCTAACTCAACTCTACTCTATTCTTATTTCTATCTATCCTATCCTATCCTTATTTCTATTCTATCCTATCCTTATTTCTATTCTATTTTAACTCTACTCTACTCTATTCTATTCTAATTTCTATCCTATCCTATCCTTAATTCTATTCTATTCTATTCCTATTCTATGCTAACTCAACTCTATTCTTATTTCTATCTATCCTATCCTAATTTCTATTCTATCCTATCCTTATTTCTATTCTATTCTAACTCTACTCTACTCTATTCTATTCTAATTTCTATCCTACCCTATCCTTAATTCTATTCTATCATTTATTCTATTCTATTCTATTCTATTCTATTCTATTCTATTCTATTCTATTCCATTCCATTCCATTCCATTCCATATTCTCTTGATCCCTTCTGCTCATTGCTATAATTTTCCTTCCTTCTTTTCATACTTCACCAAAGTTCGGGAATTTAATTGCTAAATATAACTCTGCACTTTAGATAACCTGGTGCTGTATAAATAAGAGCACCTGTTTCTTCTCCCTAAAGAATTCTTAAGAAGATTCTATACTCAGTATACTACTTAACTGCTTTTCAGTTCTCTTATCGGAGACTTCCACCTGGCTCAAAATATCTAAACCTACCAGCATCGTGGAGGTCACCAACTGTCCTAATTCCATAACTGTCAACTCTGTCTCAGTTATACGAGAAAATTTAATCTTGTGCCTTCTTGGAAGAGCCTGGCCCACTGGCAGTAGTTTTATTTAGTTTTATTATCCCCACACTCCCACACCACAAAATCTAGAGCAGCATCGTAGCAGAGGTGGGAAAGGGATCCCATAAAGCAGTGTTTCTCAACCTTGACAATTTTAAGGCATGTGGACTTCAACTCCCAGAATTCCACAGCCAGCATTGCTGGCTGTGGAATTCTGGGAGTTGAGTCCACATGCCTTAAAATTGTCAAGGTTGAGAAACACTGCAAAGGGATCCCTTTCCCACCTCTGCTCCATCCATCCATCCATCCATCCATCCATCCATCCATCCATCCATCCATCCATCCATTGTATCCTTGGTCTATGACAGCAACTTTGGTAGCAACCTCAAAAGTAATGCACCTCAGTTTTCCTTCCTACCTGCTGTAGGAGCTGGTTGCTCTCCAGAGTTGATAAGGAGAGTCAAAAGTCTGTCCACTCCACAAGAGCTGTAGGTCAAATTCCATCCCTCCCAGGTGGTCAGGAGTCATGATAAAAGACTTGGCGTTTGGCAGAGTGTGGTGCTCCATCACAAAATGCCCTGTGCAGATGAGAATAAGCAGGTTCACTATCATAAAGTACGTGTATTTCTTTGCGGGGGGGAAGAGCGAATGGCCTTGAAGAATGGAAAGAAGAGCTGCCGCCAAAGCAACAATCAGATAAAAGTGGCCTGAGCCCTGGCCAAGAAATTAAATTTCTTGTTTTGGGGAGATAGGCAGCTATATAAATTTGAGAATTAAACAGAGTAGAATTAATCTTGGTCAGTAGTTCTCAACCTTTTTAATGCCGCAACCCCCAACCGGTCGTAAGTCGAGGACTATTCAACCGGTCGTAAGTCGAGGACTACTCAACTGGTGCAGCACCGTTTGCAGAACAGGACTTTTGGCGGGCTCAGCAGGGCAGAGACAGCCTGGACAATTCCTATTCAAAAGCCAATAGAATAAAACGGAGTAGCACAGCTAAGGAAAAGGGGGAAAAAAATGGCGGACTGTGTTTGGCGACCCCCGTGAAATGGTCATTCAACCCCAAATGGGGTCCCGACCCACAGGTTGAGAACCACTGATTTAGGTAGACATCCTGGGCAAGCCCCTCCATAGTTCACACAAAGACAAAGAGAGGGGGGGGAGCACATTCAGACTCTGTTACTAAAGGTTTACAATAAAGGTAACTACATAGTATTGGTTTCTTAGTCTGCCTTTAAGGGCTGACAGAGTGTGTGTGAAATAGAGAAAGAGTTAGAAGTTTTGGAGTAGCTTTTTCCAGATGTTAGATTTTAGTTCTTCTGATTTACACCAATATGGCCAATAAGTCCTCACTTCTGCAACGCTTCTATATATGCTACCCCTAAACTTTATTGAGGAATGCTGTAACATTCTACCTACCCAAAATCTACTTTGCGAGGGCAGGAGAATTTTTCTCCCAACCTTTTATTAATTTTTATAGTCACAAATCCTTAAAATTTTATCAGCAACATGTTGTCTGGGTTCCAATGTTTAGTTTACTAATACATGTTAAACGCCTTTCTCTCTACCTCGTTTTTCTAGCCATTGATCAAATGTATCCCATGTTCTAAAGTAACCTGAATCTTCTTTCTCTTTCATTTTTAGTGTCAGTCTGTCCATTTCTGCACAATCTAAAATTTTCTTAATTATCTCTTCCTCCGTTGGTCATTCTTCATCTTTCCAATGTTGAGCAAATACAATTCTTGTGGCAGTTAATACATGTAACATTAAATATACACATTCCTTCTCATAATTTCCTACAATTATCTATGTGCTTTTTTAGTCATTTTTTTCTAACCATATATGTATTCTTGACCAAATTCTTTTGGCTTTAGGACATGTCCACCAAAGATGATAGTATGCGCCTGGTTTTTGTCTACATTTCCAACAATTGCTAGATATATTTTTGAATGTTTTCTCTAACCTCACAGGTGCTAAGTGCCATCTGTAGAACATTTTGTATAGGTTTTCTTTGTAAGTGACCGCCTTTGTTATTTTAGAATTTCTTTCCCAAAGACTTTACCAGTTTTGTAACTCTACGTTATGCCCAAAACTTTTTGCCCATGTTATCATTGTTTCTTTAACTTGAGAAATGGGATCTAACGTAGACCAAGATACAGTATTCAGCCAGGCTGCACCAACTTCTCATGCCTAAAAGCTTCTGTGGCAACAATCTCAGGGCACAGCCTGAAATTACAAGGAAAACAAACCAACAGCAAAAGAAGGACATTAAAAAAAGAGTTAAGAATCTCTGATTTCTGATTTTCAGCACAGCAGCAGGAAGAAGACTCCATTGTTTCTGTTTTCAGAATCGTTAACTCCAGTGTTCTTACACCGATACTCATCAGAATATAGCTTTTGGAAAATCAATGCATTTTGTTGTTAGTTGCGAAGTCGTGTCCGACCCATCGCGACCTCCAGGTCTTCCTGTCCTCTACCATCTTCTGGAGTCCATTTAAGCTCACACCTACTGCTTTAGTGACTCCATCCAGCCACCTCATTCTCTGTCGTCCCCTTCTTCTATTGCCCTCAATCTTTCCCCGCATTAGGCCCTTCTCCAGTGAGTCCTTCCTTCTCATTAGGTGGCCAAAGTATTGGAGTTTCAACTTCAGGATCTGGCCTTCTAAAGAGCAGTCAGGGTTGATCTCCTCTAGGACTGACCGGTTTGATTGCCTTGCAGTCCAGGGGACTCACAGGAGTCTTCTCCAGCACCTAGTTCAAAGGCCTCAATTCTTTGGCGCTCAGCCTTTCTTATGGTCCAACTTTCACAGCCATACATTGCAACTGGGAAAACCATGGCCTGGACTATACACACTTTTTTTGGCAGGGTGATGTCTCTGCTTTTTAGTATGCTGTCTAGATTTGCCATAGCTTTCCTCCCCAGGAGCAAGTGTCTTTTAATTTCTTGGCTGCAGTCCCCATCTGTGGTAATCTTGGAGCCCAGGAAGATAAAATCTGTCACTAATCAATGCATGCTGGGACACAATTCCAGAATAGAGCGCTCCCCTCCCACAAATTAAGAAATACCAACCAACCTCCAACACATCTGGAATTCCAAGGCAGAGAAGTTGGATCTCCTTTGTCAATTGCAGAATGCAAGAATTACTCACCTCTGAACTTGGCATGAGTTTTGAACTCAATGACCAGTCGACCATCATCTCGGATGTAGATCCTGATTATCTGCAGTTTGGCCGAAAGGACGCTGTCTGTCTGTATACCTGAAAGAGAGAATGGCAACAGCTGGGCTTCCTCAACAGGGGATCATGGATGAGTCATCAAATTGCCCCAGTCTCTTGGCTGGAGTCCACATCCAGCAGAAGGCAACCAACGAAGTTCTCAAAAAGCCAGTTGGCCAAACTGAGGGAAGCTTAGCCTCTCAGCAGTGCTACAGTTCGCCTTTTCACCCCATGTCACGGAGAAAATAAATCTAGCCACTTACCTGTTCTCCAGAGAATGGTGTCGTAGAAGAAGGAGAACTCCATCTCTGTGTGATGCTCGAGAGAGGCCCAGCCTCTGGGTGCAGTTACGTAAACATAGGAGACGTAAAGTGGGACGTGAACTGTCAGGAACGACTGAGCTGAATCGCGAACCTGTCGTCACAGAAGGAGAAAAGTACAGTGCAGTTTTTACACATCATCCTGCCTTTTTGTATAGCAGAGGGACTACTCTGGCTTGCCGTGCCCCTACGTCCAGCCCATAACACCCACTTCTTTAAAATTTAGTGTTTACTATCTCCAGCCTCTAACTCCTTAATATGCTTTTATAGCGATGGCGAGCCTTTTAGAGACCAAGTGCCCCAAAACTGCCCTGCCCGTCGCACCCCCACCCGCAGGGCCACCTACTGCCTCCACGCCCCCCCGCAGCAGATTGCCCAGGCAGACCTGCAGAGCCATGGTGGCCATGCCCTCTGCCCATGCCCCGCAGTATCATCTGCACGCGACGGGGCGCAAGGGCGGAGTCTTGTCCCTGCTGCCCGACTGCCATGTCCTTAGCTGTGCTGCTCCATGTGGGATGCGCCCTGGGGCAACTCTCCTCTGGAGGGGCTACGAGGGGAGGCGGGGCTGGGGCAACGGCACGCGTGCCCACAGAGAGGGCTCTGAGTGCCGCCTCTGGCATGCGTGCCATAGGCTCGCCACCACTGTTCTTTTAAATCTTTTTGGAAACTGATCCCAGGAACAATATCAAAATAGTCCAAATCTGTGTTTCACTCATTCACAGCTGTGTAATTCCTCATAGCCTTTTGCGAAAGAAAGAAAGAAAGAAAGAAAGAAAGAAAGAAAGAAAGAAAGAAAGAAAGAGGGAGGGAAGGAGGGAGGGAGGGAGGGAGGAAGGAAGGAAGGAAGGAAGGAAGGAAGGAAGGAAGGAAGGAAGGGAGGGAGGAAGGAAGGAAGGAAGGAAGGAAGGAAGACTTCGTCATTTCTCTTCTCATACATATGAAGCACTGAACTCATACATTTGCAGCGCCCTATTTGGGAGAGAGAAATTTAGAAGCAGTAAAAGAAAATGAAAACCTTATCCTTTCATTTCACTGCTGATTAATAATAAGTATGCATGACCAGGCCCTCTTATCTTTTCCTGGTAGCAGATGATGATGATGATGATGATGATGATGATAATGATCATAATTAAAGTGCTAGGTAAAGAGGTTTTTCAGAGCTATTTTTTCTATTGAAAATGTTTAAATTTTACAAAACAATACAACCCTTCCCCAAACCTCCCCAACCCTCCCATACCCTCCCCCGACCTTCCCAGAGCTGAATATAGGCTTAATTGAAATTTTTTCAAAAAGTCTTAAAAAAGATATAAACCATAGATAAATCTAAATACATTAATTAAACAAATTGTAAGATAATTAACAATAATATATATATATATAAACAAAAATACAAGAAAATACTAAAAAAAATAGGAAGAAAGAAAAAGAAAAAAGATAAAGAAAAATAAAATAAAAAAATAAGGTCTATAAAATATTTTAAATTTTAAATATAAGTTATTGAAAAGCTAAATAATATTTTTTATATCCAACTTATATTGTATAAAGTCTATCCATTTTTTCAGAGCTATTAATATTTCAGGGAAATTTAGGTCCTTCTTTCCCCTGAATATCGCGGAAGACTTTTCATGCATTCTGCTGAACGTAAAAGGGCTACAATTGGAGCCATGCTTGGGTGCTGCACACATATACCCCTAAATGCCCTCCTGAACAGAAAGGGGGGTCTACCTCCATTCAATTAATGCAATTAATTCTTCACATACACGGCAGCCTCTGATCATTCACAGACTTCTAACAGGAGAACAAGACACTTTAGTCACGGAAGACCTGGTGCCGATGGATTTAAAGAAGATGGCCCTCATTTAACTACTTCCTCCCCTATTTTATGTATTTATTTGTAAAATTTATTGCCTGCCCATCAGGAATGCCTGGCTGAGGAATTCTGGGAGCCGAAGTCCACAAGTCACAAAAGGGCCAAGTTTGAAAACCCCTGAGCTAAACAATAACTTTGGGGCTGCTTCCAGACATAAAAAAATACATCTGCATTAAAACCTGAATAAATTAAAACCAGAGATTAAAATCAAGGACATGTGGGGAGGGTGGGGGGGAGTAGATGGGATCTGTTATTACTCAATCAACCACCTCCATTGCTCTGTTCCTCCACCGGGGCCCCAAGCTGACTGGCAGAGCCAGGTCTTTCGGCCTGTATGAAAAGGTAGGAGGGTTGGGGGCAACCTCGTATGGGGAGGGGCAAGATGTTTCAGAGGGCAGAGTAACAACAGCAAAGGCCTTCCTCCTGGACCCCGCCAGCTGGAATAGATGAGCCAATGGGGCCTGCAGTACGTCTCCTGTGCTGGCATGGGTGGAATGGGCCTATCCCAGTGGGGTGAGACGGTCCCTCAAGTAACCTGGATTCATGCCATAAAGGGCTTCAAAGGGGATTGCCAACACTTTTAGTTTTAGCTCTTATGCATTTAGGAGAATCCATGAACAGGTCTTTAATCCCTTGATTAAAGCTGGGGTGGAGGTGATGATGTTGTGGTGGGGGTGATGATAGAGTTCTATTCACTAGAGCAGGGATAGGCAACCTTGGCTCTTTTATGTCTCGTGGACTTCAACTCCCAGAATTCCTGAGCCAGCATGGCTCAGCTTGGAAACTCTCCCTTTCCCCTCAGCATGGCTGGCTCAGGAATTCTGGGAGTTGAAGTCCAGGAGTCATAAAAGAGCCAAGGTTGCCTACCCTTGCACTAGAGATGGGGTAGTCAATAGGTGAAGTGATGTCTAAATTTTGTGCAATTTTCTCCCTGAATGGCAAACTCAACCTGCCTTTGCCATTATTAAAGACAGCATCTCCAGCTGTAGTGAGTATAGAACAGGGGTTTCCAACCCCTGGTACTGGTCCACAGCCCGTTGATAAGCAGGCCATGCAAGCATCAGGCGAATGCACGAAACCCTGTTTGATGCAGGAAACCATTCCTTGCCTCTGCCGCCGCCACCACCGTCGGTCCGTGGAGCTAGAAAAGTCGGGGACCAGGGATCCCCAACCTGCGGGTCACAGCCCACTACCAGGCTGCAGCCTATTGGTCACCAGGCTGCATGAGTGGCTGGCTGGCGCGCACACAGCCCCACTCATGCGAGCATCGCCACGAGCATTTGCAGCGCCACTGAGGTGAGCAGTACCGCGCGTGTCCTGAGCGTTCACAGCCCCACTCGTGCAAGCAACAGGTGTTTGTGTGCACACATGTGTTCACCCCCCTCAAAACTATCCCTTCTTTCCCCCCTCCTCCCACTCCGGGCCATCAAAGGTGGTATAGAGCAGTGGTTCTCAACCTGTGGGTTGGGACCCCATTTGGGGTCGAACGACCATTTCATGGGGGTCGCCAAACAACGCAGTCCACCATTTTTTCCCCCTTTTCTTTAGCTGTGCTACTCCCTTTTATTCTATTGGCTTTTGAAAGCCAATAGAATAGACTCCCTTGAATAGAGTCTAATTCTATTGGCTTTCAAAAGCCAATAGGAATTGTCCAGGCTGTCTCTGCCCTGCTGAGCCCGCCAAAAGTCCCATTCTGCAAATGGTGCTGCACTAGTTGAATAGTCCTCGACTTACGACCGGTTGAGTAGTCCTCGACTTACGACTGGTTGGGGGGTTGCAGCATTAAAAAGGTTGAGAACCACTGGTATAGAGGATGGCTTTGAAAGAGAGGGAAGATTCATTGCCAAGGCGATGATCAGATCAACAAGGCTTCAGCCCAGACAGCCCCCTTCCCAATTCACACGAAGATGAGAGAGAGAGAGAAAGGGAACTACTATACAGTCAGACTTGCAAGATTCTGTTACTATAGCTGTTCCAGGTCTACTTGGTGTTTGTTTCTTACTCTGAGCTACTTTTTAAGGCTAACACCAGCCCTCCTATGAAGCTTTTTCAGGGAGAGATGGCTTCATAGACAAGAATACGATATGCAGTTTTACTGTTTGCAAAGGCACCTAAATTTCTAAAATACCAAACAACTAGGAGTTCTATGACCATTTAGATCAGTGGTGGCGAACCTATGGCACCGGTGCCAGAGGCAGCACTCAGAGCCCTCTCTGTGGGCACGCGCACTGTCACCCCAGTCCTAGGCCTTCAGCTGGGTTTTATAAAACCTTTTCGCTTTACGCCTCCGCCGTGTGGGAAAAAAAAAAGGTTCAATCAATCAGTCAATTTCAACTTCTTGCAGGAAAAAAAAAGATCTTGCAAAGTGGGAATTGATTGATTGAACTATTTAGTCCCACCCAGTCTGCCATTACCACCACAGCCACTCCCACCCAATGGGCCACATCCACCCAATTGGCCACACCCAGCCAGCACCCGACGATGCATAAGTGGGTTTTGGGTTGCAGTTTGGGCACTTGGTCTCTAAAAGGTTCCCCATCACTGCTTTAGGTGAATTTACAATAGGATCCAAGCCAGTGTCATTTCTGTTTCCCATACAGAAAGCATCACCTGGAAGTCCGCTGTGACTGATCCCCCACAGACATCTATTAACTCTGTCATGTCATAGTATGCGTCAAAAGTCCAAATGCAGCTCTTCAGGTTCAAATGTTTGTAAAATTGGATGGTCTTTGGTTCTCTCACGTTGGGATCAAACTGGTACGGCCGGTCATATCCAGGGCCCAGAACGATATTATTATAGGTCACTTCATCTAGAAATCCAGCTTCTGAGTTGGAAGTAAAGACATGTAAAGGAATTTTTTTAGTAATACTCTAGCCATCTCAATGCTAGAATTATGGAGAAGTATAACAGAATAACAGAGTTGGAAGGGATCTTGGAGGTCTTCTAGTCCAACCCCCTGCTCAAGCAGGAAACTTTATTTCATTTCAGACAAATGGCTGTCCAGTCTCTTTTTAAAAACCTCCCATAGTTGGAGCACCCACAACTTCTGGAGACAAGTTGTTCTACTGATTAATTGTTCTAACTGTCAAGAAGTTTCTCTTTAATTCCAGGTTGCTTCTCTCCTTGATTAGTTTCCATCCATTGCTTCTTGTCGTGCCTTCAGGTGCTTTGGAGAATAGCTTGACTCCCTCTTCTTTGGGGCAGTCCCTGAGATGTTGGAACACTGCTATCACGTCTCCCTCGTCCTTCTCTTCATTAGACTAGACATACCCAATTCCAGCAACCATTCCTTATATGTTTTAGCCTCCATCCCCCTAATCATTTTTGTTGCTCTTCTCTGCACTTTTTCTAGAGTCTCAACATCTTTTTTACATTATGGCAACCAAAACTGGATGCAATATTCCAAGATTAGTCTCATCAAGGGATTATAAAGTGGTACTAACAGCAGAGTAACAAAATATTTAGGATGTTGACAGATCTCTGACAAATAAATAAGTAGCAGCTGTTTCCAGACATGAATCTAAACTGATCATTGGAGACACAGAATATTCTTTATTAGAGCATCTAATTTTGCAGAACGTTGCAGGTGTTGATTGACTAACTGCTATCTCTCTTTCATTACTCTCAATGTATTACTGGGTCTACCAAGTGCCAAGCAATTAGGAAGTATATCCCACAGTCATTTAACAATGGCAAAAAAAAGAACACTGCAGGTTTTTTAAAAAATAAAATAAAATAAAAACTCACTCAAATGTCGTGATTGCTTTGAAAGCAGGACAGAAAGAAAAGTTAAAGAGAAAAAAAAAGCAAAAGTGATTGACATATCCCACCGAGTAAGAAGGTTTTACATTTTTTTTTTTTAGATCTTCTATGTGATGTCTCTAGAGTCTCATCTTTTTTCCTAATAAGATTCTCATCTTTTAACAGTTACATGACTGGCAGATAAAACACCGTCCTGCCTCTGCTGCAAATACAGATTACACCGTTCTGTTGGTGCCAATTAGGCTGCTACGTTTTCATGGAATTTGGTGGCTGGGATCTCCTTTCTTTTGGCATTTTGAGAACTTAACTGAAATCCACAAATTTCTTAGTAAAAAAAGATGGAAAAGAACTTTGAATGAAAATGCAAATGTGGGAAAAAATACCAGAGCTATTCAGGTATGACTGCCAGCTATTGTTTGCTGCAAGGTAAAAAATGGAGAACAGCATGCATTGACAGATAGGATAGGAGGGCTTTGTTTTGGTAAAAATACAGCTCCATGCCATCATATCACCATTAGGCTTCCTAGGCCTGATTTTGTCTTTGGTTCTAAAGGGTACATTCCCAGCTGCAAGAAGTACTTGAAGATGTTTGTCAGGCCCCCTTTTGGATGCCCTGCCATTCTATTGGAGGTGGAGGAGGCTCTAGGGCAGGGATAGGCAACCTTGGCTCTTGTATGATTCGTGGCCTTCCCCTGCTCATGGTAATCTTTTATGTCGTCCTGACACTGCTTTCATCTGATCCTCAGCCCACATGTGTGTCAATCTTAAACCATCCTTAACGGTACCTCTATTGAAGTAGTGTTTTCCCTCTTATCCCAATACAGGTTTTTCTGCCTATACAACCTAACCATTCTGTTACTGGCAAACTGCAGAAAGTGGGATCATCTTTCCACTTATTAGTACTTTAGCTTATGGTGGACATGCCATTCTCCTCCAGTCCTGGGCACTGTTTTCAAGGCCTTTCTACTTTGGTTGGTGGGACGTGTTTTTTTCAAACCAAATTCCTCCAGGCCCATCCGTGGATCAGCTAGACCAGGGGTAGGCAACTTGGCTCTTTTATGACTCGTGGACTTCAACTCCCCTCCCATGCTGAGGGGAAAGGGATAGTTTCCAAGCTGAGCCATGCTGGCTCAGGAATTCTGGGAGTTGAAGTCCACAAGTCATAAAAGAGCCAAGATTGCCTACCCCTGAGCTAGATATTACAATCCAAAACAAGGCAAGGGCGTTTCTGCAAGACCATGATTCCACACTGTGTTCTTACCTGAGATGCCTTTAAGATCTTGGATGCTGACTATATTGGAACAGACATGTTGGTGCCTATAAATGGATTCTGACAATAGGAAATGCAAGTTGTGAAGAGGTCTGGTTGAAATCAGGGGGAGCATCCCATCCTGGTGTGGAATTTGCACTGAGATGTGGATTCTGGAACAACACAAGAGAGGCAGAAATTTTGACGGTTACAGTATGTCGGATAAGGCCCACATACTGAAAGAATATTGGGTTCTACATATTAAACTCTAATCAATAAGCCAGCTGAATGTCCCAAAGGTGCTGTTCAAAAGGCAACTTTTGAACTGGGCTTTCTTGTTGTTATTGTTTTTTCTTGAAGACATTTCGCTTCTCATCCAAGAAGCCTCTTCAGCTCTAGCTGAATGCTGGGATGGAAGGATTTATATTCTGTGCAATCATTAGCACTCAGAAGGTTGGTGGTTAGCTCACGTTGAGGCCACTTGGGAGTTTATTTTATTTATTTTTATTTATTTTTATTTGTTAAAATTTATAGACCGCCCCACTCCCGCAGGACTCCGGGCGACTAACAATAAAAACACAATATAACTTAACAAGACAAACAATACAGTAACATTCATCCAGGGGTCAGATTTTATAAACCTCAGGCCTGCCGGAAAAGCCAGGTCTTAAGCAGCTTGCGGAAAACCAACAGGGTGGAAGCGGTCCTAATCTCCGGGGCGAGCTGGTTCCAAGACGTGGGCGCCATCACAGAGAAAGCCCTCCTCCGCGGCCCCATCAAATGGCACTGCTTGGCCAACAGGACCTGAAGGAGGCCCAGCCTGTGGGATCTAACCGGACGAAGGAACCTATGAGGTAGTAGGCGGTCTTGCAAATAGTCTGGCCCTGAGCCATATCTGTACCCTCAGAGCCACCTGAATCAGAGTGCAAATGGGTGTGGAGCCTTCTTGGTATTGTTAAAAGGACTGTGTTATAGACAGGAGATAGGTAGTGTTGTATGCAGACAGTCCTCAACTTACGACCACGGTTGAGTCTCAAATTTATGTTGCTAAATGAGAAATTTATTAAGTGAGTTTGACCCCATTTTATGACTTTTCTTCACTTAACATTTGTTAAGTGAATCACTGTAGTTAGTAACACGGTTTACTAACTAGTAACTAAATTAGTAACATGGTTGTTAAATGAATCTGGTTTCCCCATTGACTGTGCTTGTCAGAAGGCTGCACGTGGCCCCAGGACATTGCGACCGTCATAAATATGAGTCACTTGTCAAGCATCTGACCATGGGGATGCTGCAATGGTTATAAGTGTGAAAAAGGGGTCGTAATGTGAAACATGGCCATAAGTCATGTGCCACTGTAACTTCAAACGGTCACTAAGCGAACTGTTATAAGCTGTAACAGATGGTCATGGACAACCATGATCTGGCTGATTGAGAATCTCCATAGATATAAGTCAGCTGAATTTAAGTGTGCATCAAATCTGTCCCATTCAAATCATTGCAGATTTTACACAATTTGGAGCAACACTTATGTTCTTCAAGATGCCAGTAAAAGAAACCCCATATTTAAATAAATATTTCCTCTGCATTTTACCCCCTATAAATTGAGAGAAATGGAGGAGAAATGGAGCAGATAGGAGACCTGATCTCATTTTTAACACAGCGAAGTAAGGGAGGGAAGATGGAAAATAACATCTAGAGGGATTTTCATTTTGCAGTTTTATGATCCTTGAAAAAAAAATCTGACAGGTTAAGTGTGTTTAATGTAACACATTAATCAAATCTTTTTTTTCCTGACATTTGCTTCCACATTTTATCACCTCAGATATTCTCCTTTTTCTCTCTTAACTAAAAAGATTTGAACAGCATCGTTCCAATTATTGGAACGATAAGAAGGAAAAAAAAAAGAGGAAAAAATTGAAAACTGATACATTAGTTACTTCTTATTTTGATCTTTTCTGCATTAATATATTTGCAGAAAAATGTAAAAGTGTCACTTTTGTATTAAATGGTAGTTTGTTATTGGTTCAGTGCCTTTTCCCTTAATTGTCTACAATACAAAGTCAGGGTTTATTCCTGACTGACAAAAGTTATAAATACAGGTAGTTCTTGATTTAGAATCATTAGTTTACTGACCATTTGAAGCTACAAGGGCACTAAAACAATACATTTATAACTAGCTCTTGCACTTAAAAGTGTTGGCCTACTCCCTTATAATTGCCTTGCTTAGCCACAGAAGTTCTAGCCCCAACTGTGGTTATAAGGCGAGGACTACCTGTACGGAAACCTTTGTCTAAGGCAAGAGTAGGCAACCTTGGCTCTTTTATGACTCGTGCACTTCAACTCCTAGAATTCCTGAGCCAGCATGGCTCAGCTTGGAAACCTCTCCCTTTCCCCTCAGCATGGCTGGCTCAGGAATTCTGGGAGTTGAAGTCCATGAATCATAAAAGGAGCAAGTTTGAAGACCCCTGCTCTTAATCTTCATCCTAGGATAGAGGTAGGCAACCTTGGCTCTTTTATGACTCGTGGACTTCAACTCCCAGAATTCTTGAGCCAGCATGGCTCAGCTTGGAAACTTTCCCTTTCCCCTCAGCATGGCTGGCTGAGGAATTCTGGGAGTTGAAGTCCACGAGTCATAAAAGAGCCAAGGCTGCCCACCCCTGGTCGAAGACCTTTCATCAAAACTAGGACCTCTGATTCTCATAACTGTTATATCAGAACAGCTCCCACCTATAAACCAAAGTTTATTCTTGGCTTATGATTCTGGCTTGTTAGAGAAAAATCTCAGTAAGGAACTTGGTCTGAATAAAATGTTAAAGGAACCCCGGATAGAGACTTCTCTTAGCCCTTTGCGTCTGTTACTATTGAAAAAATACGTTATGCAGGAAAATGGAGCTAAATAGCCAATCCTTTTATCACCAAAAAGCCAGACTATCAGAACAAGAGCTCTGTATCTTTTGGTTTTTTTACCTGTTAGGGTGTTCCTTATGCTTTACATCTAGATACTTCAAAGTGGCAATGAAAGACTGAGCCTGGAAACCCCGGGCTGTGCCAGCCACCACAGGGGTATGGCAGATGGCACTGTCGGTCCCAATGGTGACTATGTTACTCCGTAGGGGAGTGCCCACGTGGCCCACTTTATCCACGGCTTTGGTCACGCAGCGTATGTGGAATCGCCGGCTGAAGTAAATGCTGTCCAAAACCTGGGAGGAGGAAGAGGAGGAGGAGGAGGAGGAGGAAGAGAGAGAGGGGAAGGAAGATGAAGGATGTTTGAATGGGTCTGAACATCAGTCAGGCAATAGCCCTCATGATCATTTCCTGTTACGATGATCGTACATTGGCTTTTTGTTTGCTGACATTAAATGAATCACAGCCAATCTTACAAGCTTTTTTCCCCCCGCTGCGGTCATAAAGTGAATCACCACAGTCATTCAGCAAACCCAGCTTCTCTCGTTGACTTTGCTTGTCAGAAGCCAGCTAAGGAGATTGCAAAGGGTGATCGTGTGACCCCGGGCTGTTGCAGCATTCAGAACATACCCCATACTCCAGGGCTCTTCAAACTTGGCCCTTTAATGACTTGTGGACTTCAACTCCCAGAATTCCTCAGCCAGCCTGCCTGGCTGAGGAATTCTGGGAGTTGAAGTCCACAAGTCATTAAAGGGCCATGTTTGAAGACCCCTGCCATACTCCTTCCTCGTCCTATTTTCCCCACAAGAATCCTCTGAGATGGGTTGGGCTGAGAGAGAGAGGGACTGCCCTAAGATCACCCAGCCAGCTTTCAGACCGAAGGCGGGACCTGGTGATTGGCTCAAAGTCACCCAGTTGGCTTTCACGTCTAAGGCCGGATTAGAACTCACCATCTCCTGATGATTGGCCCAAAGTCACCCAGCCACATCTAAGGCAGCACTAGAACTCACAGTGTTCTGGTTTCTAGCCTGGCATTTTAACCATTATTCTCTAATCCTTCCATCTCTCTCTTCCAAGCAACAAGCTGAAGGGAAGAGGTGGTTGAGGTCTGACTGGATTTTTGGCAGGTGATTTTCAAAAAATGGCTGAGGCTATAATGCCCAAGGATCTGAGGCCTTTGTAGCCATCATGGTCCTGTCCAATTGGCCAGGCGTTGTTGACAATGGAACTGCACACCTGAAATGGCAGATAATCCACAACGCCTGTAGCATTAAAGATATGTGTGGTCCAGCAGTTGCATAATGAAAACGTGAACATGACCCTTCCCCTAAGGAAGGGGTAGGCAACCTTGGCTCTTTTATGACTCGTGGACTTCAACTCCCAGAATTCCTGAGCCAGCGTGGCTCAGCTTGGAAACCTCTCCCTTTCCCCTCAGCATGGTTGGCTCAGGAATTCTGGGAGTTGAAATCCACGAGTCATAAAAGAGCCAAGGTTGCCTACCCCTGCCCTGAGGGATGAGACTATTGTTTAGATCCTGAAATATAAATGAATAAAGTAGGAATTTACAGAGAAGAGCAACTTAACTGCGTTTCTACAAAGAGCAAGTCGATTAGTATGTCAGACTACTTGCGGATTTGAAAAGAGTTGTTGTTTTTTTCCAGATCATTCTGTCATTGGGCATTGACAAATTGAAGGGTGCATGAAGACAAAAATCCTGCCCAGAACAAGTTACAGAATAAAATTCAACGGATGAAAGACAATACAAAAAAGGAAGTGGCAAAGTACATGCACAGGAAGGAAGTGGCATTAGCAAAACTGATAAAAAATTTGCAATTATTTCAGTTATGTGCCCTTAGGATTACTGATTAAAAAGAGAATGAATTGGTTCTTACTAGGGAAAGAATGCAGAATTTCATTCATTCCTGGATATTTAGCCCTGACATTCTAGTTCACCGTACAGTTCTTCATTTATTTGGGAGAACTTAAAACATGCAGAATGTCAGCGTAATCTGTATTCCAAAGTGGTTCAGTCCAGACAAACCCATGCCTCTCTATCCTTCTGCTGATGGTCTGGCTCAGACAATTCTCTGTACGTACCATATGATTGATGCTGGTGAAGGGGGTATTGTCCGTAATTGTTTCGAAAGGGGATCTGGCTCCGTTGCCATCCGTGGGGGTAGCCACTTCCCAGCTGAACTGAATGGAGGACTGGTTGATCCCAGCCTCACTGCAGCGCTCCTTCATCACCATGTACTTGGGGAAGTGAGAATCGCAAGGGGTAACACAGATCAAGGGGTAACCCGGAGATGGCGACTTCTTAGCTCCTGTTTTGGTGTCTTCTTCAACGTGATCGTACTCTGAGAGCGTCACCACCTGCAGGGACAACATATGAAAGCTAGAATTCTATAAATGAATGTTACCACTACTCCTTCTCCTTGTGATTCCCTTTTCCAGGAGAATTCAAGACTGAACCACTTAAATACAGGTAGTCCTCAACTTATGACCGGCCACTTAGTGACTGTTTGAATTTACAACAGATCCCGAAAAAGGAACTTGTGACTCAGCATCAAGATTCCGATGTCTGGGGCCCTCTACAATCTAAGTCTAAGTCTAAGTCTACAGTATAAATCTAAGACCTATAGCTAGGAGCCCTGCTGGCGTAGTGGTTACAATGCAGTACTGCAGGCTAACTGTCGACTGCCAGACGTTCGATCCTGACTGGCTCAAGATTGACTCAGCCTTCCATCCTTCCAAGGTCAGTAAAATGAGGATCCAGATTGTTGGGGGCAATAGGCTGACTCTGTAAACAGCTTAGAGAGGGCTGTAAAGCATTATGAAGTGAAATATACCAGTACAAGGGGGGGGGAGGAGGAATGTGCATTAGAGTTTAAACAGACATAACAATACTGAGCCTAGTGTGTGAACCAAGGTTAATGAAATAAGAGATGATAAGAATTGGCACACTGAAGCAGTAGGTGTGAACTTAAATGGACTCCAGAAGATGGTAGAGAACGGGAAGACCTGGAGGAACGTTGTCCATGGGGTCGCGATGGGTCGGACACAACTTCGCAATTAACAACAACAACAAAGAATTGGCAGGGCTGGAGAACTGGAGGGAGAGCCTGCATTTCAAACTAATTGGAGAATGTGATTTATGACTGTTAATTGGAGGACGGAATTGTGCTTTGATATTATATGCTCAGGGGAGGGGAATCCAGTTTTTGGCTTCGACTGTGTTAGTGCCAATGCTATGCTACTCAAATAAAGATTCTGTAAGGTAAACAATGCCTCGAAGTTCTTTGAAGAGTTTCATCTGTCAGAACCATGACAAGCGGTATATAATAACACTTAATCTAATTGCTATTGCTAGTGCTAATAAGCTGTTCCATATAATCAGATCATTTATCCTATTAATTAGTTCTCTTAAGAATATAGAACTCAGTCCTCCAAAGTCACTACTCAGTCCTCCAGAGTCACTTGGAAGTTGACTTCTGGTGCAGGGATCAGCAACTAATACCCCAAGGCTAAATCTAGCCCACTAAGGAATGCCAGTTACTGAAGAGACAAGAAATGCTTATGAGGAAGTGATGATCATGGCAATGAGGCCTAGTGACCATCCTTTATTAAATCTGACCCGTAACCTCCATCCAAACACTGAATTCAGTGAAAGTGGTGACTGAGTACATTGGTGGATGCAACGTTATAGCCAGAGGAAATAGAGATTTAGGTCATTCCATTAAATAAAGCACATAAGAAACAACCTTTTCTAATCACTTCAGGCCAGATTTCCACAATACAGTTTTGATAGTTCTATGGATGCATCGGATTGTAGAAGCGAACACAGGCTTTCCACAGAATAGTAATTCACACATTTTAGCTTGCGTCAATTCGGGCAGTACAGAGTACAGGGCAGTGTCTCTCAACCTTAAGCCCATACTTCTTAAAGTTGTCAAGGTTGTGAAACCCTACTGCAGACTCTTGAGAGGCTCTGCCATTTTAGGAGATGTTGAGGGACTATAATTCTCAGCCCTCCACACCACCAATGTCTGGCACTTCAGGGAGAATTATGGTTCAATAATACCTGAAAGCCACCTGTCCTCACTCTTGATTTAAGGCTTTAGAGGAGATGAATTCAGCTAATTCTAAATCTGTGTAAAACAAACAGATTTAAACTAGCTAACACAAGGACAAAGTCCTAGTTACCAGCCCGTTCCCTGCATCCGTGGGTTTTTTTTATTTACAGAGATTTTTCTTGATTTACAAAGCAAAAATTATGACAAATCCTCACAAACTGCTGGATGAAACCCTATTTATCTTCTGCATGCACAGGCCGGTCTGTTATTTATTTAATTTGGTGCCTTTAACTCAATCCTGGGGACTGTTTGGACAAGGTCCCTGCAGTTTTCTTAGCAAGATTTTTCAGAAGTGCTTTCCCATTGCCTGAGAGAGAGAGAGGGACTAGCTCAAAGTCACCCAGCTGGGTTTCATGGCGAAGGTGGAACTAGAACTCACAGTCTCCTGGTGATTGTCCCAGAGTCACCCAGCTTGTTTCAGGCCTAATGCAGGACTAGAACTCACATGGTGCCTTGACCACTACTCCAAATCTCTCTCTGCCCTAGTTGGGTCACTCCATAAAAAGACACCTAAGAATCCACCCTTAGTTCATCATTCGAGTTCATGTCCTTACTATAGGAGGAGCTGGTAAAATGAGGCTACCAGCTGCTTCTTGATCCAAAATGGTCACAATGGTGGTGGTGAGGTCCCCCAAAACAGCTTCAGTGGGATCATCTGGACCCAAGACCAGAGAAAAAGATTCGTGCCACTCCCGGTCTTCATTGGACATGATCTCCACCTTAAAGAAAATGTGATCCACACCTGCGGGAAAGAACATGAATCTAAGCAACTTATCGTTCAAATGCATCCACAGGGCAATTTTTAAATTTATTTAGAGAACTCATATGGTCACTCTCAATGACTATGGGCAGCTTACAAAAAATAAAAACCCAATATACAACAATCAAAACAGTAATTCCCCCGCACCACTCATCTGGCAACAGCAACCAGTCAAACAAGCCATTTGATGGGCTCCATCCCACTCTGGGTTCCCAGGCCCCTTCCTGGGACCTTGTGAAAGAGTGTCAAAGTGGAGGTCAGTCTAATATCTGCGGGGATGATGTTTCAAAAGGAGGGAGCCACCAGAGAGAAGGCCCTTCTTCTGGGTGTCAACAAATGTATCCCCTTAGGACAGTGGTTCTCAACCTTTTTAATGCCGCGACCCCCAACCAGTCGTAAGTCGAGGACTACTCAACTGGTGCAGCACCATTTGCAGAATGGGACTTTTGGCGGGCTCAGCAGGACAGAGACAGCCTGGACAATTCCTATTGGCTTTTGAAATCCAATAGAATTAGACTCTATTCAAGAGAGTCTATTCTATTGGCTTTCAAAAGCCAATAGAATAAAAGGGAGTAGCACAGCTAAGGAAAAGGGGGAAAAAATGGCGGACTGCATTGTTTGGCGACCCCCGTGAAATGGTCGTTCGACCCCAAATGTGGTCCCGACCCACAGGTTGAGAACCACTGCCTTAGGAGAAGGGACCTGAAATATTCCCTGCCTCTTTGCTCTGGTGGGTTAAGTAGATGTAACCGGGGAAAGATGGTTCTTTAGATAACCTGGTCCCAAGCTATGTAACAGAATAACAGAGTTGGAAGTGACCTTGGAGGTCTTCTAATCCAACCCTCTCCTCAAGCAGGAAACCCTATATCATTCCAGACAAACGGTTGTCCAAACCTCCAGTGATGGAGCACCCACAACTTCTGGCGGCAAGTCGTTCCACTTATTTATTATTCTGACTGTTGGGAAGTTTCTCCTTACTTCTAGGTTGGTTTTCTCCATTAGCTAACATCTGTTGTTTCTTGTCCTGCCTTCAGGTGCTTTGGAGAATAGCTTGACTCCCTCTTCTTTGGGGCACCCCTTGAGATATTGGAAGACTGCTATCATGTCACCCCTCGTCCTTCTCTTCATTAGACTACTAGACCATGCCAGCTCAAGAATTCTGGGAGTTGAAATCGACGATTCATAAAAGAACCAAGGTTGCCTACCCCTGAACTAGACATACCCAATTCCAGCAATCGTTCCTTATATGTTTTAGCCTTCAGTCTGCTAATCATTTTTGTTGCTGTTCTCTGCACTCTTTCTAGAGCAGCGGTTCTCAACCTATGGGTCGCGACCCCATTTGGGGTCGAACGACCATTTTACGGGGGTCGCCAAACAACGCGATCCGCCATTTTCCCCCCTCAGGGGGCGCCATCGCACATGTGCGCCGCGCACGGGGGCGCCGTTGCGCATGTGCGCCGCGCACAGGGGCACCGCCGCACATGTGCGCCACGCACGGGGTGCCATCGTGCATGGGCGCCATGCATGGGGGCACCGCCGCGCATGCGCACTGCGCATGCGTGGCGCGTCCGTGTGACCGGAGGTTGCCATATAAAAAGGTTGAGAACCACTGTTCTAGAGTCTCAAAATCTGTTTTATATTCTGGTGACCAAAACTGGATGCAGTATTCCAAGTATGGTCTTACCAGGGTATTATAAAGTGGTATTAAGACTTCATGTAATCTTGATCCTAATGCAGCCATATGATGCATTTTAAATTTAATGCATTGATGCAGCTGAAAGGTGACAACCAACACCTTGAATTCGACTTGGAAGCAAATTGGCAGCCATTCAGCTCTGGCTAACATATGTGCACACCTGGGCCTGAACAAAACCATGCAGGTTGCAGCATTCTGGACCAATTGGAGCCTTCAGATACTTTTCAAGGGCAGCTCCATGTAGAGTGCATTGCAATAGTCAAGACGGGAGGAAACTAGGGTGCTAAAAGAACATTAAAGCTATTCTCACTAAAACAGTGGTTCTCAACCTGTGGGTCGGGACCCCATTTGGGGTCAAACGACCATTTCACGGGGGTCGCCAAACAACGCAGTCCGCCATTTTTTCCCCCTTTTCCTTAGCTGTGCTACTCCCTTTTAGTCTATTGGCTTTTGAAAGCCAATAGAATAGACTCTCTTGAATAGAGTCTAATTCTATTGGCTTTCAAAAGCCAATAGGAATTGTCTAGGCTGTCTCTGCCCTGCTGAGCCCGCCAAAAATCCCATTCCGCAAACGGTGCTGCACCGGTTGAGTAGTCCTCGACTTACGACCAGTTGGGGGTCGCGGCATTAAAAAGGTTGAGAACCACTGCACTAAAACATTCCTCTTCAAACTTGCATTCTCCTGATGAATTCCAGGAATTCAGGATCCTGGAGTTCCAACACATCTGGAGAAGCTCCAGTAACCTCTTGAGATAAAAGCAAACACAGTTTTATCCCAACATAATCATTTCTCCTTTTTTTAATATACCACACTACCTGAATGATTGCCTGGCAGGTTTACTAACTGATGCCATGCAAGGATTAATGGTGCCTGTCCAACTATAATAAAAATCTATGATCCAAATATACTGCTGGTATTCCTGCTTGCAGGCATGCCTTTTTTGTTGTTGTTGGTTGTTCCTCATGAGGTTCCTCATGAGTTGCTGATCTTGTTGAATTTTGTGTAGGGCCAAGCACGCTAGGATTGTGATGGGCAGGTGGTTCACAAGATGAGGTGGCAAAACGTGCTCCTGGGAAAAACCGCAGAACAGGAGTTGTGGGTAGGCAGGGAAGTGGAAGGAGCAGAAACCAGGAAGAAAAGAATCAAGGAACGTGGATAAAATGATGAACTGGAGAGAAGATGTCCATTTTAACAACGGCCGAAAGGAACATTCAGCCAGGCTTCTTGAATAAGTTTAAGGGCCAAGAATTAGGGGACAAAATACAGGACCCCGAATCCTGCAGTCCTCTTTCCTTAGAAAGGTTCTCTGCCAAGTTTGTGATCAGGGATGTCCAACATTGGTAACTGTAAGACTTAATAGAGTAACACAGTTGGAAGGGACCTTGGAGGTCTTCTAGTCCAACCCTCTGCTCAAGCAGGAAACCCTATACCAGTGATGGAGAACCTTTTAGAGACCGAGTACCCAAACTGCAACTCAAAACCTACTTATTTATCGCCGGGTGCCAGGTGGGCGTGGCCCACTGGATGGGTGTGGCTGTGGTAGTCATGGCAGACTGGGTGGGTGTGGCCAAGGTGGGCATGATCACCTCGATGTTGCTCGTGGGGAGGGACGCCTGTGGGGGCCAGGCAGGGTTGGGGGAGATCCAGGGGATCTCTGGCAGGTGGGGCAGTGGGCAAGAGGCTCGTCCTGTGGGGTGAAGCGAGGTAAGGCGAGGCAGGGCAGGGGTGCCATTGTCACAGGGCAAGGTGAGGCAAGGGCCGGGGTGGCTGCTACCTGACACCATCGGCCCCCGCACACAGAGGCCAGCGAGCGCATGGATGCTGGGATGCATCCGGCCATGTGGGACCTCGGTGAGTTAGCGGGCGGCTGATTGAAGAGGGACGGTTGCCATCTCCGGGGCATGGCGCATGTGCCCACAGAGAGGGCTCTGAGTACCGCCTCTGGCACCCGCGCCATAGGTTCACCACCACTGCCCTATACCATTTCAGAAAAATGGTTGTCTAATCTCCTCTTAAAAACCTCCAGGGATGGAGTGCCATCAATGTCTGAAGGCAAACTGTTCCACTGATTAATTGTTCTAGATGTCAGGAAATTTCTCTTTAGTTCTAGGTTGGTTCTCTCTTTGATTATTTTCCTTCCATTGCTTCTTGTCCTGCCTTGGAGAACAGGTTGACCCTCTGTTCTCTCTGGCAGCCCCTTAGATATTGGAACACTGCTATCATATCACCCCTAGTCAATGGTGGGATTCAGCCAGTTCGCACCACTTCGGCAGAAACGGTAGAATTTTCTGCTCAGGCCCAGAATGGACTTCTGAAAGTGGCATCCACACAGAGAACTGGTTGTTCACATATTTGAATCCCACCACTACCCCTAGTCCAGGGGTCTTCAAACTTGGCCCTTTTATGACTTGTGGACTTCAACTCCACATGTGCCTGGCTGAGGAATTCTGGGAGTTGAAGTCCACAAGTCATAAAAGGGCCAAGTTTGAAGACTCCTGCCCTAGTCCTTCTTTTTATCAAACTAGAAGTACCCAATTTCTGCAACCCAGCACAGCTGGCTAGGGAATTCTGGGAGTTGAAGTCCACAACTCTTAAAGTTGCCCAGGTTGGACAGCCCTGGTTTTCAATCTCTTCTTTTCCTAAGCTGTTTCAAGACAGACTAAGGACTGATGTCTTTAAGATGTCAATAATGACTTCTCCTATCTTCCTTCTTCCTCAACCTCCACGGGATCTCTCACAGCAGAGAAGAACCATGAAGTACAAAAAGATTAGGAGGAAGAGAATCTTTTCCCAATCTGGGAATTTCTAGATAGGGTGTATCTCCAACTTCCAGCTAGCATGAAGACAATTGGACAATTCAGCAGCTGCAGTCACAACTTCCAGTTGGAAAGGGTGATCAAAGCAAGGCATAAAAGCTACTAGGAGTCTAGACACAAGCCTAAGGTTTTGTTTTTTTCCCCTTAGGGATCAGATGGGGAAACTGTTGAGCCTTAAAGGAAAATTTACACACTTTTTGTTATATACCCCGATTTTTCTCAGCTCTCACCCAATTAAGCAATGTGGTGTCAGTTTGTCTGGAGGTATAAAAAGATGGGTTTCAATTTTGCAGGCAGCTATTAGGGTCTCTATAGCTGAGTCTTACAGGAACTCTGGGGTTGTTCTAGTTGCAGTGAAGACTTAATAATAATAATAACAACAACAACATCAAACATCTGCCTATCCCAGGTCCTGGGTAAGGACTCGATAGGTAGACAAAATGCCAAATCCAGTCTGAACATCTGGCTGACTGTGCGATGATCGATAATAATAATAGCAATAATAATGTTGGAAGGGACCTTGGAGGTCATCTAGTCCAACCCCCTGCTCAAGCAGGAAACCCTATACCATTTCAGACAAATGGCTGTCCAGTCTCTTCTTAAAAACTTTCAGTGTTGGAGAATTCACCGCTTCTGGAGGCAGGTGGTTCCACTGGTTAAATGTTGTAACTGTCAGGAAGTTTCTCCTTAGTTCTAGGTTGCTGCTCTCCTTGGTTAATTTCCATCCGCTGCTTCTTGTCCTGCCTTCAGGACAGGACTTAGTGAAGTCCCACTGATTTTGCTAAATGAGGGGTCATCATCCCATTAACTTTTTCACGGAAATGAATGGGAATTTACTGCACGTGCCTTCTGTTCTTGCTCCAGTGCATTCTGCAGGGATTTGAGGGAAGAAGTGGAGAGCCAAACTTTTGGACCAAGGAAACAGATGGGGAAGATTTTACAGTAGAAGCTGCAAGATTGCTAAGGTCTTAAGAGGCATGGAGAAGGATTAGCTTCACATATTGGCACAAAGCAATCAGCTAAATCTTTGTGCCTTTGCTTAAAGGGCAAAAGGATTTTTAATTCTCTTTCTGGACTTAGGCACTTGCTTGTTGCATCTACAGATCCACCAGGGGGCACACATAATAAACACAACAAGCAAACCAACTCCTTTGTGCCTGAAAAGGGTCTCCCTTACGACAGGTAGTCCTCGAACTTACAACCATTCGTTTAGGGACCGTTCAATGTTACAACAGCACTGAAAAAAATGACTTTATGACAGTTTTTCACATTTATGACCGTTGCAGCCTCCCCATGTTCACGTGATCAAAATTCGGACGCTTGGCAACCGTCATGTATTTATGACGGTTGCAAAGTCCCAGATTCATACAATTCCCATTTGCAAACTTCCCAGCCGGCTTCCGGCACGCAAACTCAACGGGGAGAAGCCAGATTCATTTAACAACCGCAGCGATTCGCTTAGTAACACGGCAAAAAGGTTGCAAAATGAGGCACAGCGCATTTAACACACCCGAATCGCTGAGCAACAGAAATGTAGGGGCCTATTATGGTTGCAAGTTGAGGACTTCCTGTATTATAAATCCTTTTTATTATTATTATTACCAGGGTTAAACTTGAGGACTCGACTCTTTGGGTAATAATCAATTCCAGACTGAGCTGAACCGTCCCGGGTGCTGCAGCGGACTTTTGAGGTCCGGTTTTGATCTCCCGTCCGGATCACCTTGACGTTTAAGAAACCAACGCCTTCTGGTCCAGGGGGTTCACGGACCTGGTACCCAGCTTCTTCAAACTCAATGGTAGGAGCTGGAATTATGGAGGAAGCCGAAGAAAAAAGACCTGGATCAGTTTTCAGACATGAAGAACCTTTTAACGCAGGGGTCCCTGACCCCTGGGCTGTGACCCGGTACAGGGCTGTAACCAGTTTGGAACCGGGCTGCACAAGTACACACAGCTCCACTTGTGCGAGGGTGGGGGCACACGCGTGCCACTTGCATAAATGGAGCTGCGTGCACTTGCACACTCAACTGCTGTGTGTGCGGAACCGTCCCCTCTTCCCCCCCCCCCCATCGCTGCTGGTCCGCAAAGCTGGAAAGCTTGGGGAAGCTGTTTTAACTCATCTTGCAGACCAAAATGTCTGTTAACAGCTCAGATTTATTTCTTTTTTGAGTGCCAATTATTAATGCCAGCAAACGAAGCACTATCCTAAACTTTTGAAAGACTACTTGCTTCAGCAGAAACATTTTAAAGACTCTTACTCAAATTTAACAGACTCTGCCAAGTAAGGACAAGTTTATTGACTGATCCTTTTCCTGATTATTCCTTCTTTTTTTCGGTACTCAAAGTGGTTCCAGGGCCAAGATTAGTGGAGATGTTTTAAAAATAAAACAGTTAAGCACAGACATGACAAAGATTAATGCAGGTTTGGAGAAAGTTAGCTGAACAATTGCACGGAGTGACCAAGATTCGGGATAGGAGAAAAAAGGTTGTTCTTCATGTAACATAACAACAATCCATTCAGGTGCGGAATGTGATTCGGTAAGATGTCGTGATGACTTCAAAAGCCAATTAGACAAAGGATAAGGCAACCACAGGTATTGGGCATAACTGGACATAAACAGATTGTCTATATTTTCAATATCACATAGAGATAGTCCTCAACTTATAATTGGTCACTTAACGATCATTCAAAATTACAACAGACTCCTCCAAGCTATTTAAAAGGCGGGTTCAAAGTTCCAATGGCCACACCCCCTATGGTCACTTGTTCATATTTTGGGCATTTGGCAACCCATCCACATTTACAGTCATTCGCTGCATCTCATCATCACAAGACTGTGATTTGTGGGATTTTTTTAATTTTTTTTTTATTTTTGCCAGAAACTGGTATTTATTTCTGGTTTCCAACCCCCCCCCCCAAAAAAAAGCCCCTTATGGGCAATAGATTTGTTTAATGACTGCAGTGCTTGTTTACCAACCATAAAAAACATCATAAAATGAGCCGAGGTGGCGCAGCAGTTAGAGTGCAGTACTGCAGGCCACTTTAGCTGACTGTGTTCAGCAGGTCAGCGGTTCAAATCTCACCGGCTCAAGGTTGACTCAGCCTTCCATCCTTCCGGGGTAGGTAAAATGAGGACCCAGATTGTTGGGGGCAATGTAAATACATATACATACATACATACATACATACATACATACATATACACACACACACACACACACACACACACACACACACACACACACATTGCTTACTGGTGTACACCGCTTAGAGAGTGCTTGCACTTAAAGCGGTATATAAGTCTCATAAATAAAATAAAAATAAATAAATAAAATAAAATCACATGCAGTCATGTGGCAAGACTCTCTTAATGACCAGCATGGCTTATAACTGTCATTCCAGGCTCAAATATGGTGATAAGTTGAGGACTCCTGTAGTCATGTGATTGTTAAGCAACCAGTAAGTTTGTTGAACACCATCTCTGTGTTTTTCAGCTCATCTTCCTGTGCATTGCCACAACAGAGAAGGTGGATACAGGACTTGGGATTCAAAGGGAAAAAGGTTACTTCAAGGCACACCCTGTAGCCAGCTGACTGTGTCTCCTAACACCAAACATATCTTTTCTTAGGTAACTGTACTACTGTAGTGGAGGTCAATTGTGCAATTATGGCAACTGACCCAGTAGAATAAACAGAACAAAAAGACTTGGAGGTCATTTAGTCCAACCCATTGCTCAAGCAGGGAAACCTATACCATTTCAGACAAATGGTTGTCCAGTCTCTTCTTAAAAACTTCCAGTATTTGAGCATTCACAACTTCTGGAGGCAAGTTGTTCCACTGGTTAATTGCTCTCACTGTCAGGAAATTTCTCCTTAGTTCTAGGTTGCTTCTCTCCTTGATTTGTTTCCATCCATTGCTTCTTGTCCTATTACTGATCTTCAACTCCTGTGTTGAAGACCACAGTTTACTAGCTGATTACCTGAGTCAAAAAGCTGGTCCACAATTGGGAAAGAAGCATTGGTCAAAAGCCTAACTAATTTGAGTTAGAAAACTGCAAATCCACAAGAGAATATACACACACAAGACTCTAATAGAGGATCATGAGAAAGATGAAATTTTAAAACATAAAGGTTAAAAGTGAGTATTATGTTAAGCTTTAAAATAAGTACCGGATCTGGATGTGCAGAAGACAACTAATAATCAACCAATTGTAATAAAACTCAGATGAATACATATTTAAATGCGAGCCTATCCTTCTTACCATCTTCTTCATTGGAAATAACTACAGAAGCCACGTTACTTTTCCCAACAGTAGCCCCACTCCAGTGATTTCCTTGGGGTTCACTCAGATATATCCGGAATCTCTCCTCCGGTTCAAAGGCAGAGTCATCCTTAATAATGATAGTGCAGTTCTTTATCTAAAGTCAAAGATATTATAGTAAGGATTGGGAAGCAATCCACATAATTCATTAATTTATAAAGCAAGTCTTATTATACAGATAGTCCCAAAAGATGCTTTTCACGAGGCCATTGGGCTTTCCAGCTGCATTTAGTCCAGTTGCCTTGTTGAAAAAAGCACCTTTGGGACAACCATGACCCAGATGACTGAGAATCTCCATAGACATCTTATACAGGTAGTCCTCAATTTACGAACACAATTTATGTTGTTAAAAGCGAGAAATTTGTTAAGTGCCCCATTTTACGACTTTTCTTGTCACACTTGTTAGCTGAATCACTGCAGTTGTTAAATTAGTAACAGTGAATCTGGTTTCCCCATTGACTTTGCTTGTCAGACGGTCGCAAAAGGGGATCACGTGACCCTGGGACACTGCAACCGTCATAAATATGAGTCAGTTGTCAAGCATCTGAATATAAATCACCTGACCATGGGGATGCTGCAAAGGTCATAAGTGTGAAAAATGGTCATCGGTCAACTTTTTCAATGCCGTTGTAATTTCGAACGGTCACTAAATGAACTGTTGTAAGTTGAGGACTACCTATACATCTAATTAAATTTCAAGGCATCTCACAATAAAATTACAGCTCATGACCACAATTGACTCCCAAATTTGCTAACCAGCACAGTTGTTAAGTGGCGCCCCATTTTATGACCTTTTTGCTACAGCTATTCAGTGAGTCATTGCAGTTGTTAAGAGAATCCTGTGGCTGTTACGTGAATCTGGCTCCCCCCATTGACTTGGCTTGTCAGAAGTTGATGGGAAGGTCATAAAAGGGGACAGCGCAACTGTCATAAATACATGCCGGATGCCAAGCGGGTCGAATTTTTGATCGTGACCATAGGGATGCTTCAACGGTTGTAACTGTGAAAAATGGTCATAACTCTGTCAAGGTAATGATTTAGAACAGGGTAGGCAACCTTGGCTCTTTTATGACTCGTGGACTTCAACTCCCAGAATTCCTGAGCCAGCATGGCTCAGCTTGGAAACCTCTCCCTTTCCCCTCAGCATGGCTGGCTCAGGAATTCTGGGAGTTGAAGTCCACGGGTCATAAAAGAGCCAAGGTTGCCTACCCCTGATTTAGAAACTTGTATAATGTGAGATGAATGATGCAATGTTAAGAATGGTTCAACAGGAGTCTGTATCCCTTTAAGAGCTTGAGTATAAGAGAGAAGGCCTTGCTGGAGTTTTTCCTCTCTTGTCTGTTTCCTGCTGTAATTGCTGTGTATTGGAGTTTGCTGTATTACCACATGTATGTATTTTGTTTCTGGTGTATATTGTAGACAGTGTAATATAAACACTATTTAATACAAACCAATGTTTACTGTATTTACTCCTGGGTTACCTCAGCACAATAAGACTGTGCAGCCTTTGACACTCTTCCCCCCCCCCAGTGCTTTTATAACTTCGAACGGTGACTAAACAAATAGTTGTAAGCCAAGGACTACCGGTAATAAAAGACAAACTGGGAATAATGGCTAAGAGATAAAATGACAGGTATCACTGAAAGAAATTATTTCAAACCAAGGCTATGAAAATGAATTATTCGGCGGACGTCTCAGAGCAGTGAAAGCTACTAGAGGCTGGAAATGGCGGTAGGAGATGACCTGGCTGAGCCCGAGGGAGGAATCAAATGTGTCATCAGTTACGAGTCCCTGCATGCCCACAAGAGATCAAAGTCCAGCCCACCTTGAATTCCTTTCTATTTTTAATTCCCACTAATTTCCCTTGACTGTTAGTAGTTCGGATTCTTGTAGAGAGCTTAAACTTGCAATAAATCATTTGAACTGCCTGAATCTCCTAATTTCCCCGGCGCTTGACAATGGCTTCCTTTAGGCAGGGGATTTTAGAGAATGGATGAGACCGTGAAGGAGCCTTATCTTATGTCCCATCGGATGTTGGCAGCACCAGAAAGGAACCACTTTGCCAAAACTAGCTGGATCCTCCCTTTTAATTAGATCGGAAATATCTCAGTAGCAGAAATACAGACTCTGTAGCTTTGCCTTTAATTTAGCCATTCAGCTGTAATTGAAAGAGGAGATCAGATTAATCATGCCTGAACTTAGTATTCATTGAGGGCCGGTTTTAACTGCATTAAATTATGTTATTCTGCTGCTAAACGATCACAGGCCCAAGAAGGAAAAGTAATGGAAAGGTGATGAAAAGGAAGCAGAGAGATCCACCAGGATTTTCCTCAACTAGGACTTTTCATCCTTCACTCAACGGCCATCCTACCCCACAGAATAGTTGTGGTGGATGGGAAAACTAGGAGAAAGGAGTGCAAAATATATATTATGTTGAGCTCCTGGAGGCAATTAACTCACAAAAAACAAACAAAACATGCGTGTCAAGCAACAATCATTTTAGGAGGGGAATAAGAGTTAGAGATTTGACTGCAGCAACTTCCAAGGAGGTGTTAACAGAAGTATTATTTAACTGCGATTAAGTGAACCAATTTCTTCTTAGACCAGGGCTGGGCCAAAGCTCAGTGATACAGTGACCAAAATGGAAGAGACAGTTTGGTCTAGTGGTGAAGGCAACAGGCTAGAAACTAGGATACTATGACTTCTAATCCCACCTTTGGCATGAAAGCTGGCTAGGTGACTTTGTGCCAGTCACCGGGAGACTGCGAGTTCTAGTCCCGCCTTAGGCCTGAAAGCCAACTGGTGATTTTGGGCCAGTCACCAAGAGACTGCGAGTTCTAGTTCTGCTTTAGGCGTGAAAGCCGGCTGGGTGACTTTGGGCCAATCAGACTCTCTCTAGGCCCAATCCACTTCACAGGGTTCTTGTTGTGGAAAAAACAGGAGGAAGTATTTGGCATTTCTGCTGATGTATTCATAAAAAATGATGAAGACGGGATAAACAATTTTTAAAAAGCCGAAGTTCCTTCCATTTTGAGGTAGGAAATTACATACGTCACAGGGTAAAACTCCTAATAATTCTTCCAACCATCTCTCCGCAAGAGAAATAACCCCCAGCTCTGCCAATGTACATGACACAGCCGAGTATATCTTCACAAACTGTGCCTCAACCCCCAGTCCATCTGTCTTCGATGGACTTATTCTTCAAGAGAATAAAACGCATTTAAGTTGAGTCATAACCCACGTTTCCATTTCATACATTTCTTCACCCAGAAAAAAAAAAATTACATGTTTTCCTTGCCACAAGTCTGACCTGACAGATTGCAGCAGTTCTGAAACTGGGCCAAGGGCTTGACGTTGATCTCTCTCTCTCTCTCTCTCTCTCTCTCTCTCTCTCTGCCATGTTAAATCCCCAGTTCTCTGCCAGCTATGTTCACTCACCTTCTCCCCTTTCAAAAATGTGATGCGCGATTCTTCAGTGTTTCTCCTTTCCTCAAAATCCTCCATGACTCTCGCGGTCTGACTCTGTGTATGGCACCTGACTGAAGATTCGTAGTTTAAGTCTCCAGAACGGATAACAGGAACCTGTAGGACACGGTCCTTCTCTTTCACAGAGTAGGTATCTTTACTGAACTTCATGTTTGGTACTGTAAAGGAAGAGGAGGAGGAGAAGATAGAGGAAAGGTAGAGAAGGGGGAAAAGAAAGGGGAGGAGGAGGAGGAGGAGGAGGAGAAGGAAGGAAGGAAGGAAGGAAGGAAGGAAGGAAGGAAGGAAGGAAGGAAGGAGACCGAATAACTTTTAGAAACATGAAATAAGTCAAAGTTGCCTTTCTCAACTCAATGACCTCCAGAAGCACCAGATTTCACGTATCATGGGAGGTAAGCCCAACGTCTGATGGGCTTTAGCCTGTGGAAAACTCTGCTGAAACACTCATTGGATATTGCTTGATATTATAAATTGCAACAAAAAACCAAAAGCAATCAAAAGAGAAAATAAATATAGGGTTGAAAGAAAGGACTGGGACAGAAGTAAGTCCACTCGGTGGAAGCTGGGCCAAAATTGGGAATTTCTAGGTCAAGCATTTGTGTATAAAAGAAAAGAGCCTGAAATTGCTAGAATAATCTCTTTTTTTTTTCTGTCTGAATGTATGATGTAACAACAACTGTGGAACTCCACAATTCCCAGTGTAAGACAATTTAGATTTAAGGACACATGTGCTAAAATGCCTTCTCGAAAGCCCTGAAATTGCTAGAATAATCTCTTTTTTTTCTGTCTGAATGTATGGTGTAACAACAACTGTGGAACTCCATAATTCCCAGTGTAAGACAATTTAGAGTTAAGGGCACATGTGCTAAAATGCCTTCTCGAGCAAACGCACAGAAATCTACTGTATATTACGAACATCCCTCATGTTGCTTTAAGGATGATTGAATCATATTCTCATAGAACCACAGATTAACAGCAACCCTAAAAATGCATGGCCTCCTTCCAGGAAGGGTTGCAGCCATAGAGAGCACCTGACTTGAGATTTAATAGAATAGAACAGGGGTGTCAAACTCAAGTCACTGAGGGCTGCATCAGCATTGCAGTTGCCCTGGAGTGGGTGTGGCCAGAATGGGTGCAGCCTACTGGGTGGGCGTGGATGGAGTGGGTGTGGCTACTGGATGGGCGTGGCCAGTTCTACATCATTTGTGTCAAGGGTGCCTGTGGGGGATTGGGCAGGAGTGGGACAGATCTGAGGGTCTCTGGCAGAAGGGGGTGGGACCGGGGCAAGTGCCAAGGCATGGTCCACCGGGGCAAGTGCCAAGATGGCCACCACAAAATTGTACATTGGCTCCCAGCCGGCCTGGGCCCGGGCTGAGGCAGCGGGGGCCATTCCCTCACTGTTTCCAGGATTGCTTTGTGGGCCACATGAAACCACTTCGCGGGCCGCATCTGGCCCCAGGGCCTTGTGTTTGACATGTCTGGAATAGAATAACACCAACATTGCCCACGGCAAGAGAATATATTGTGATTTCAGACCCAGTAGACACACACCATCTTCAGAATCCCAATGTCATTCAGTCTTACCCAACTCTTGAGTCTAAACCAATTTAAGCATTAAAGCAGCCTTGCTGAAGCCAGGTATGTCTGGTTTCCACTGGCATTAATTTAGGATTTGCTCATCTACTTACCATCCTGGAAGGTGTCATTAATGGCCACCACCGCTTGAAAAGGTTTGGCCAGCTCTGCTCCTTGAGGGGAACTCAAATAGACCACAAAGGTCTCCACCCCTTCAATCACTGGGGACTGGGCATCATCCAGAATAGTCAAGGTGCAATACTAATGGGGGATAAAAGAAATAAAACAGCACATTCTATAAGGATATATAACATTTGTTTGATTTATAATCCCGTTTTGTTTTGTACAACTCAAGGTGGCGGCACATAATGCTTCCTCTCCTTTATTCTGCAAAACAACAGCCCTGTGAGGTAGGTTGGACTGAGAGAGTCATCTACCCTGTTTCCATGCCTAAGGAAGGATTAGAATTCACAATGACCATTTCCAATCTCTCACTTTAATAACTACACCAGATTAGCTCTCCATAATGAAGTCAGGCTCAACCCCTAGTCCAGGGGTAGGCAACCTTGGCTCTTTTATGACTCGTGGACTTCAACTCCCAGAATCCCTGAGCCAGCATGGGGGAACTATGGCCCCTTCATGACTTGTGGACTTCAACTCCCAGAATTCCTGAGCCAGCATGGCTCAGCTTGGAAACTCTCCCTTTCCCCTCAGCGTGGCTGGCTCAGGAATTCTGGGAGTTGAAGTCCATGAGTCATAAAGTGGCCTAGGCTTAGGCCAGAGGTAGGCAACCTTGCCCCTTTTATGACTCGTGGACTTCAACTCCCAGAATTCCTGAGCCAGCCATGCTGAGGGGAAAGGGAGAGTTTCCAAGCTGAGCCATGCTGGCTCAGGAATTCTGGGAGTTGAAGTCCACGAGTCATAAAAGAGCCAAGGTTGCCTACCCCTGCCCTAAGGGATGAGATTATTGTTTGGATACCCAAATATAAATGAATAAAGTAGGAATTTACAGAGAAGAGCAACTTAACTGCGTTCCTACAAAGAGCAAGTCGATTAGTATGTCAGACTACTTGCAGATTTGAAAGGAGTTTTTTTTCCAGATCATTCTGTCACTGGACATTGACAATTTGAAGGGTGCATGAAGACAGATCCTGCCCCAAACAGAATAAAATTCAATGGATGAAAGACAATACAAAAAAGAAAGTGGCAAAACAAATGCACAGGAAAAAAGTGGCATTAGCAAAACTGATAAAGAATTTGCAATTATTTCAATTATGTGCTTTTAGGATTACTGATTAGAAAGAGAATGAATTGGTTCTTACTAGGGAAAGAATGCAGAATTGGCTGGCTCAGGAATTCTGGGAGTTGAAGTCCACAAGTCATAGAAGAGCCAAGGTTGCCTACCCCTGCCCTAGTCCCCTCAGGATATATTCATATTGTTTCCTCTACAGCAGTGGTCCCCAACCCCCGGTCTGTGGACCTGTACCGGGGCACAGCATGCCAGCAACCGGTCCATGGAAACAAGCAAAGCCTCATCCGTGGGATGCAGGCAGCACACAAAACCATGCACTCTCTGGTCTACGGAAAAACCTCTCTCCACGGAACCGGTCCCTGGTGCCCCAAAGGTTGGGGACCTCTGCTCTACAGTCATTATGTTTTCATAACAGAATAACAAGAGTTGGAAAGGACCTTGGAGGTCATCTAGTCCAGTGGTTCTCAACCTTTTTAATGCCGCGACCCCCAACTAGTCGTAAGTCGAGGACTACTCAACTGGTGCAGCACCGCTTGCAGAATGGGACTTTTGGCGGGCTCAGCAGGGCAGAGACAGCCTGGACAATTCCTATTGGCTTTTGAAAGCCAATAGAATTAGACTCTATTCAAGAGAGTCTATTCTATTGGCTTTCAAAAGCCAATAGAATAAAAGGGAGTAGCACAGCTAAGGAAAAGGGGAAAAAATGGCGGACTGCGTTGTTTGGCGACCCCCGTGAAACGGCTGTTCGACCCCAAATGGGGTCCCGACCCACAGGTTGAGAACCGCTGATCTAGTCCAACCCCCTGCTCTAGCAGGAGACCCTATCCCATTTCACACAAACGGTTGCCCAATCTCTTCTTAAAAACCTCCAGTGCTGGAGCACCCACAACTTCTGGAGGCATCTGGGCTTGTGGCTGGTTTCCCATCCGAGGTTCAACCCTGCATATATTTGAGATCCTCTAATGCCCCCCCCCGATACCATCAAGGGCCCTACATATAAAAAATGCTACCATCCCTGTATAAACGTACGTGAGAGGAAGAGAGGAAGAAAAGAGAAAGCAGTTTTAGAACACAGGCAGTCTTCGACGTATGACTGCAGCTGAGGCCAAAATTTCCACGGCCAAGCGGGTTGTTAAGCGAGCTTTGCCCCGTTTTACAACCTTTCTTGGCACAACTGTTACGTGAATCACTGCAGTTGTTGAGTTATTCACATGATTAAGTGAATCTGGTTCCCCACTACTTGTCAGAAGGCTGCAAATGGTGATCATGTAACCCCGGGACACTGCAACCATCATAAATATGAGCCAGTTGGCCAAATGTCCGAATTTTGATCACGTGGCCATGGGGATGCTGCAAGGGTCCTAAGCATGACAAACAGCCATAAATCGGTTTTCCGAATGGTCACGAAACAGATTGTTGTCAGTCGAAAACCACCTGCATCTTATTTTTTTAAATAACAGTGTTAGCTTTCATTTATAAGTACCTGCTTTCCTCAGAGGAGGAAGGAACAGCCAGCACCGTTAGATTTTGTGCTTCTCAACCTTAGCAACTTTAAGATGTGTGGACTTCAACTCCCAGAATTCCCGTGTGTGTTTGTGTGTGTGAAAAGGGAATTAAAGTTGCCAAGTTTGAGGAACACTGCATGAAATGGATTGCAACATCTGTTTGCAGGCATTCCCTAAAGAAATATGTCTGTACTTGACCCTTAGCTTTTTAATTCTGATCTACATAATAATACTGAGCTGAGGGGTCTCAAGAGAGGATTAATTGGAGGAGAGGTGTGTGCGAAACAAGTACATTTCACTATCATTCCCTTGGATAGCTCCCAACAGCTACTGGCTGACGGTTACCGGTTCCTGTCCCAAGTAAGGCTTACCAGAATAATTTGGAATTTTATCAGAGTATACCAAAACACATTTCAAGATGCCTAATAAAACAAAGAGGACTACATTCATTTGACAGTCCTAAATTTGTCCAGGTTCTGTGTCATGTGATCTAGGGCTGTGCAAAATTTTCAATCTAGGAACCGGCCATTCAGAATAATTTTTCTGGGATGTACTCTGAGATCTAATCCTTCCATTACAATTAGAAAAAAAATAGCCATACCTCCTCAGTTCTCCCTGGACGAAATTCAACCTTCTTGGAGCTGGGAATGTAATCAAATCCTGGAGTAGCAGATGGTGGATCTGATGTCCGAGTGGCGCACCAGACAGAGGTAGGAGTGGAGAGATCAGACCCGTGCCTCGTAATTGGGATTTCAATAATCCCTAGCAGGAAAGGAAGGAGGATTTGAAAGCAATTAATTTCAAATAAAAGCAGAGAAGATTATTGCTGCTTGTAACTCATTTCCAAAAGACACTGTGCGTCCTTACTTCTATGCGCTTTAAACTGTTCGGAAATGAACATCTTTATGGAAGGGAATCAAACTAGATACATATAATAAACTGTCCAGAATCACATAGGTGAAATGAAGGGTGTAGAAATGTGATAGATGATAGATAGATAGATAGATAGATAGATAGATAGATAGATAGATAGATAGATAGATAGATAGATAGATAGATAGATTGATAGATAGATAAGATAGATAGATAGATAGATAGACAGACAGACAGACAAACAGACAGAGATATAAATAGATATAGATATTGATATTATTGTTGTTAATTGTGAAGTCGTGTCCGACCCATCGCAACCCCATGGACAACGTTCCTCCAGGCCTTCCTGTCCTCTACCATCTTCTGGAGTCCATTTAAGCTCACACCTACTGCTTCAGGGACTCCATCCAGCCACCTCATTCTCTGATAGATATTGATACATATTGACAGAGATATTGATGTAGATATTGATAGATATATATTGATATATATATTGATATATATATATATATTGATATATATATTGATAGATATATATTGATATAGATATTGATAGATTGATAGATATATAGATATATAAATAGATAGATAGATAGATAGATAGATAGATAGATAGATAGATAGATAGATAAATAGATGATAGATATAATGGAGAGATACAGTCTAGATACACTTAAATTTTGATCACATGACCCTAGGGAAGCTGCAATGGTCATAAGTGTGAAAAGTGGTCATGTCCCTTTTTTCAGTGGTGTTTTAACTTCAAATGGTCACTGAACAAATGGTTGTAAGCAGAGGACCATATGTATACCAGGTTTCCTTGAAAATAAGATCAGGTCTTATTTATTTATTTATTTTTGCTTCCAAAAGAGGCACCAGGTCTTACAGCATCATCCAGCCAGCCCACTTTTTCTGGGGCTGAAGGAGCAGCTTCATTCTGCAGCTGCATTCTGGCCTGCATTTTGCAGTCAGGCCTTTCCGGAAGGACACTGCAGCGGAGTACTCATTCAATCCATAGCTCGGTTCTCGGCTGCAGAGGCCTTCCGGAAAGGCCTGTGACTGAGAAATGCAGGTCTGGCTGCAGAAGACACCTCAGAAGAAGTGGGCTGGCGAGGTGGGTACTAGGTGCATGGGCCAGATCCACACCCCCACCCCAGCTTGATTTTTAAATGTGTGCCTCACCCCAAAACTAGGGCTTATTTTTGGGGTAGGGCTTATATTAGGCCCACCCCCAAAAATCAAGCTAGGGCTTATTTTCAGGGTAGGCCTTACTTTCAGGGAAACAGATACCTATTTTGTGCATTAAATGTAAACGGGACAATACAACATGCTGAAAGAGAGCAGTAATTATACCTGCATCCTCGCTAATGCTAAAAGTTGCACTTCCGAGCGATACAGTAGAAGCATCATTGGGACCGCTGATCAGAACTTTAGCCGAAGCGATGCTTCCGAGGCGAGCATTCTCGGATGCATCGGTGAGAGCAACGGCAAATTCTTCCTCCTCTTCGTATTCGCTGTCATCAACCAGCTTCACATCGCAAGTTGTCATTGTGACACCAGGCCCCAAGATGACCCGGTACTCATTGGACATTCCCCGGGACTTAAAGTCTGAGCCAGACTCCAGGGCGTATGTGCTGCTGCCTTTGGCAGTTTGGGAGACGGTGTAGCATATGGCAGAGACGATGCTGCTAGAATCTCCTACAATACATTGCAGAGAAAAAAGAATACTGCTTATTTTTTTGTATTAAAAATGATTGGCCAACATACTTCTCGCAAGATTCTTTTGATAAAATGTAATATTTTATTGTCATTTTATCCTGATCGTGGGTATGTTGAAGAGAAGCAGATAATTCAGAATGAAATTAGTGGTTGATGCATTTTCTTTCTCCTGTTTGTATGTGTATTGCTATTTAGCTCGGTTTGATGTAATATATGTATAGGGTTTCCTGCATGAGCAGGGGGTTGGACTAGATGACCTCCAAAATCCCTTCCAACTTTATTATTATTATTATTATTATTATTATTATTATTATTATTATTATTATTATTATTATTATTATTATCGATCATCGCACAGTCAGCCAGATGTTCAGACTGGATTTGGCATTTTGTCTACCTATCGAGTCCTTACCCAGGACCTGGGATATGCAGATGTGGATGTTTGATGGTATTACAGATATCGTCGCAGGATGGAAGCAGTTCCTAATAAGGCTGCCTTTTGCAATTGACTAATAGAGAATTTGTCAATGCCAATTGTGTTCAAGTGGTGCTCCAGTTGTTTTGGGATTGCACCCAAGGAGCCTATGACTATTGGTATTACCCTTGCTTGCTTTTGCCACAGTCTTTCTATTTCTATTTGTAGGTCTTTGTATTTTGTTATCTTCTCCAGTTCTTTCTCTTCTATTCTGCTATCTCCAGGCACTGCCACATCCACTATCCAGACTTTTTTGTCTTTCTTATCGACAATTGTTAAGTCTGGGGTGTTATGTTGCAGGTGCTTATTATTATTATTATTATTATTATTATTATTATTATTATTATTATTATTATGGATCATCGCACAGTCAGCCAGATGTTCAGATTGGATTTGGCATTTTGTCTACCTATCGAGTCCTTACCCAGGATCTGGGATAGGCAGATGTGGATGTTTGATGGTATTACAGATATCGTCGCAGGATGGAAGCAGTTCCTAGTAAGGCCGCCTTTTGCAATTGACTAATTTTTTATTATTATTATTATTATTATTAGTCTTCCCAGGTTGTGATTAGGACTACCTGACCTAGAAATCTGGGAGCTGTAATTTCAACAAAGCTGAGGAATCCCTATTGAAAACACAAGTAGTCCTCAGGTTATGAGTGGTTTGAGGTTACAACCGATCCCTTCGCTGTAATCATGTGGTCGCAACAGGCCCCCATTAACGACCGTTGAGAGCCTCCCATCGTTGCAATCCTGTGTTTTACAGCAGTTTTGCTAAAAACCAGTGCATACTTCTGATTTTTGGCAAAACCACGCCATGGTGATCAATGGGTTCGCTTAACAACATGGTGTTCACTTAATGACCGCTGAACAATCACCGCAAAAAAAGGTTTCCTGTGACCAACCAATTTTACTACCATTACAGTTTAAGACTGTAATGGGCAGGCTCCATTGTGGTCATAACTCAAGGACAACCTGTAGCTAGTCCAGCATTTTTACTGGTAGCTTTTTCTAAATTGTTCATCCTTTTAGTGAATTCCTTAAAAATTTCTGCTGAGAAATTTGACGGCCCACCTAAATTCTAATTTTACAATTGTTTGTATTTTGTTTAAATGTTCTAAATTGAATCACTAATGACTTTTGGTGCAAAAAGTTCTGAGTATGTTCTTTTTTAAAAAAATATGTTTTATTGATTTGTAACATAATCACCTTAATATTTGGTAAACAGCGTGTTGTCTGGGTTAATATTTACAAAACAATCAGTATCAATTCATTTCTATAATTCTATAGCCCATATAATGGCTTTGCTTGATATTCTCTTCTTCCAACAATATTCTCTTTTGCTAACCTTAAATTAATACATTTCTTATTATTTGAATAAATCACAATTAGATATAAACATTTTTCTCAGGTTTCTGCAAATAAGAACCACGTCAATATAAAGCTTCTTTTCTAATTGATCATCTTGATTGCCTCGTCATAGATCCTGTTTACAAAATTCTTATTTAAATTTGTTTCCCACACAATATTCAAAGCATTCTTGCTGGTTAAGATTTTCTCAAAATTAGTTACACTTAAGTATTTAAGTCTTTTTTTCTCATACAAGCCATCCCAACACTTTTACATTTCTCATATCTTAAAAAAAGCAAAACAAATAAACAAAGAAAACATTTCTTTTATATAAACCATCCCAACATTTTTATATTTCTTATGTCAAAAAACAAAACACAAAAGAAAAAAGAAAGAAAAAATACGGTATTACTTGAGGGGTTCATCCCTCATCAAGTTCTGAGTATGTTCTTGATGTACATTCATGACATGCTGGATGAGCCCTATTGTGCCTTTAAGTCACGTTGCATGAACCTACCTGGTACTCTGAGGATACTCAGTCTTTTAAAAAAATAGTCTTTTCACAGAGATAAGCTCAACAAGTTCTTAAGAAAACCGAAGGGCGATGTTTGAAAAGCAATGAAGCAAAGAGCAATAACTTGGACTCAAGCAATAGTTGTCAACCTTTTCATATTTATCCAAGTCCTTCCTACATTCTTCAATACAACCTCCAACCCAATTCCTTCCTTCCTTATTTTTTAGAGGATATAGTTATTTTTCACTCAAACCTAAATGCCCCTGCTGTTGGGTCCCTTTCCCCGGAGAAGAGGAGAACACAGCCTGGAAAATTATGCAAAGGTATGGAATTCGACTATTGAGCATTGAGTGTCTTTTTCCTTTTTAAAAGGAGAATTCCATGCAAAAAAGAAAAGAAAGATGGGAATATTTAAAAAAAAAACATAGCTGTTCACACACTTCTGCTGCAGGTGCAGCTTCCCACCTGAAAAAATCCCCCCAAAAAATCAAATTTGTCAGGCGCAAGGAACCAGGCACATCCTGTGAATAGATATCAAAGTTACTTCTTTATTGCTACATGCCTATTTACAAGAATCTCACCAGACTGACTGTATTCTCTTGGGAACAGTCAGATAAAGCTTCATGGACTCTGGGGGACGTAAAGCCTACCTCACTTTTTGCTATGCAAGGATTTTAAGTTTCCCCCCCCCCTTCATCCCTCTCCCCACTCTAGCTGGAGATTCCACCATACATTCTTTTTTTAAAGAACATTTTATTGATTTTTCTAGTTTTACATTTAAATATTTGAAAAGCACCATGGCGGCTGAGTTGGTCAATAATTCAATAACATACAAATATCTTTAGTACAGATCTCAAACTACTACATTAAATATTTCCCTTCTTTTCCCCTCAGTATTTACTGTCTCATATTTAAACTAATACAATTCTTATTATATCGATTAAATAAAAATAACTTTTCTTTCATTTATCCATCATTTTTAGTTTATACACATCCTAGTTACTTTAACATTCAATCTTTTTAACATTCAATCTTTTTATCTTTTTAATCCACCATACATTCTATACATGGAGTTAAAGATGAAGACACCGGATTTGCTTTAATCCGATCAGGCCTAAGTCTTCTTTCCTTGTGGTGATCACGGAATGTCCATGGGCCGCTTTTGATAAAGACGCCGCCCACTGGTGCATTAAGTAAGACAAACCATTGGGGGTGATGCTGTCTGTTTCTAATGCAAAACTATTTAAAAATAATTATGAAAGGTTGTGGGTCGGGGTACAGAAAGACTTGAAGAATTGGGAAAAGCTGCAATTATCCCTCATGGGAAGAATTGCAGTGATAAAAATGAATATTCTACCCAAGTTTCTTTTTTTGTTTCAAATGTTACCAATTTTGAAAAATGAGATTAATTTAAATGAGTGGCAGAAGGGTCTCAATAAATTTATTTGGGCAGGGAAAAAACCAAGGGTTAAGTTCAAAATTATGCAAGACTTCCGTGAGAGGGGCGGACTCAAGGTACCAAATTTGAAATTATATTATGATGCGGTGGTTTTAACATTAATTAGTGACTGGGTAAATTTGACAAATTCTGAGATACTTTATCTAGAGGGATGGGATTTACTTTATGGGTGGCATGCCTATTTAATATTTAATAAAAAAATAGATTGGGCTTTTAAATCTCATATTTTAAGAATTTCTTTACTTAGGATTTGGAGAAAATATTATAAAAGTGATTTTAAAGTACCATTATGGGCTATACCTTGGCATGCGATAGAAGGAATAAAAAGAGGGGTTAAAATGGATATGGTGTCTTACAGACAGTTACTTAAATGGGATGGACAAAACTGGCAATTAAAATCACGGGAAGAATTAGCACAAGAAAATTTTACTTATTCTTGGTTCCAATATAGGCAACTACTAGATAGATGGAAGATGGATTGTAAGGTGGGTTTTCTTAGAGAAGATGAAAATCTTATTAAGCAACTGAAGGATCAAAGACAAACCCACATTAAGAGAATTTATGGGGTTTTAGTTGAATTGGACTCAGAAACGGAACTAATTAAAGATTGTATGATTAGATGGGCGCAGAACTTTGGTGAGCCAGTTTCATTGGACACCTGGGAAACTATTTGGGTGAGAAATGTCAAATTTACTCAAGCACAGAATCTAAGGGAGAATTTTTATAAAATGTTTTATAGATGGCACCTTGATCCACAAAAAATGTCTTACATGTACCCTGACGTGCAACCTAAATGTTGGAGATGTGGTTATAAGGAGGCTTCCTATTATCATATTTGGTGGTCATGTAGAGAGATAAAAGCATTTTGGATCAAAATATGGTGGAATATCCAGAGAATTTTTAGAAGGAGGGTAAAATTTACTCCGCAATTATTTTTGTTAGGTATTGTTACAGATTGTGATACAAAGGAGGTTGTATTGATGTTAAACTTGATCACAGCCGCGAGGCTGTTAATTGGACAATATTGGAAGAAGGAATCTTTGCCTACATTGCAGGAATGGTTTTTTAAAGTAGCTTATCTGGCAGAAATGGCAAAGATTTCGGCTTTCTTAAAGCAACAAACGCAAGAGAAGTTTTTTGCTATCTGGGACAAATGGATAAAATTTATACAATTTAGATTGGGTATACAAAAATATTATATAGCTTTTTCATAAGTTTTATTTTTATATATATTATAGATATCTTTTTTATATATATAAATATAAAGTTTTTAATTTAATTTTTATTTTTATTTTTTTTTTTTTTTTTTTTATTATTATTTCTTAAGCCTATATTCTGCTCTGGGAAGCTCAGGGGGGGGGAAGGGAGGGTTTTTGGGAGGGGTGTGGGGTGGGGGGTTTTTTTTATATGTATTGTTTAATTTTTTTTTCTTTTGTATATGTTGTTTTTTGTTCTGTATTGTTCTTGTTTTTTTTTGTAAAATTTATAAAACTTTTAATAAAAAAAAAAAAAAAAAAAAAAAAAAAAAAAAGTAAGACAAACCATTGAAAGTCCTCAATGGTGCGAACAAGGCCACAGTGACAATCTAATACAGGTAGTCCTCGACTTACAACCTTTATCACAGCACTGAAAAAAGCGACCTATGGCCCTTTTTTTCACACAGCACCCCCCACGGTTATGTGATCCAAGTTTGGATGCTTGGCAACTGGTTCCTATTTATAATGATTGCAATGTCCTGGGGTTATTTATTTATTATTTATTTATTTATGAGACTTATATACCGCTTTAAGTGCAAGCGCTCTCTAAGCGGTGTACACCAGTAAGCAATGTATATGTATGTATGTATATATATATATATATATATATATATATATATATATATATATATATATATATTTACATTGCCCCCAACAATCTGGGTCCTCATTTTACCTACCCCGGAAGGATGGAAGGCTGAGTCAACCTTGAGTCAGTGAGATTTGAACCGCTGACCTGCTGAACACAGTCAGCTAAAGTGGCCTGCAGTACTGCACCCTAACTGCTGCGCCACCTCGGCTCATTATGTGATCTTCTGACCAGCCGAGTCAGCAGGGAAGCCAGATTCACTTAACAACCATGTTTTAGTAACTTAAGAGCTGCCGTGATTCATTCAACAACCACAGCAAGTGAAGTCATAAAATGGGACAAAACTCACGACTTAACAATCGTCTTCCTTAACAATGGAAATTTTGGGCTCAGCTGTGATCGTTAAGTTGAGGACTCTCTGTAGCCTTGAACTAAACGATGACTGATAAAAATGGATTGTTTTATATAAAGGGGAAATTAAGCTTAAACAGAAACCATGAAAATAGGATCCATGGTGAACTAATGAGATGATTTCTATAAGAATAATATAAGCTGATTAAAAAAAACGTTATCCATAGATGTTATCATCATCTGTACAAACATGAAAAAATGTTTACATTTAATCAATTATACATTGAAAATATTAAGAATTATATCTGTTTAGGGTTGAAAGAAGGAGAACATAATTGGGAAAAGGGAAGATCAAAGAAATATATTATTAATCAATATACCGATTATGGAATTATCAAAATTGATCATTATTGACTGTTAATTAACTATTCTTCTTGTTGTTTTTCAAATATATAAACCAAGACAACACACTGCACACCAGGCACTGGAGATTGTTATTGTAAAAAAACAATCAAATGTTTAAAAAAACAAAAACAATGGAAATTTTGGACTCAAAAAGGATCATTAAGTTGAGGACTCTCTGCAGCCTGAGCTAAACATGATTGCCTTCTATGGGCAGAGGTAAGAGCTAACTTTTGTTCCTCTATGTCAACAAACCTTTCCTTTCAATGGGGACAGAGAGGATGCCAGCACTCTCACTGGTGTGGTAGACCTTTTTGTCAAACTGCAGGGTGGGCTCATCTTCTGCATCGTTAATGAAGACTTGGATTTCAGTCATGTCCCCCAGCAAGGCATAGGCTGGCATACTCAGCTCAACGGTGAAGCTTTCTATCCCCTCAAAGACATCATCATCATTGATAACAATGGTGCAGGTTTTGAAGTCTTCCCATTCATCAAACTGCACCTGGATGGGATGAAAAGTGACAGCAGGGCTGGACATGAACTTCACCCAGAGGTGGAAAAAGATTTTCTAAAGTCAGTGAATACTCTGTCTTTACTAGGACTGACAGATTTGCACTATTCGTATGAGCATCAGGATAGTGCAGGAGTAGGCAACCTTGACTCTTTTATGACTCGTGGACTTCAACTCCCAGAATTCCTGAGCCAGCATGGCTCAGCTTGGAAACCTCTCCCTTTCCCCTCAGCATGGCTGGCTCAGGAATTCTGGGAGTTGAAGTCCACGAGTCATAAAAGAGCCAAGTTTGCCTAGCCCTGGGATAGTGAAATATTTTTTAAGACTTGTAATAATCTTGGCTCCATGTATGGGTCAAATCAAACCTTAACTGCCCGTCTTAAGCACTCATTGTTCATGCTTCATTAATCATATCCCATGATACACTTCCCCTTGCCATTGAAATACTAGAGCTCGGGTGTCATGAATCGAAATAAAATTTAAACTTCCCAAACGTCCCCAGACAGTTGGGTGTAGCAACTGTCTTCAGTGAGCACCATCTGAACATGTGGACTTCAATTCCCATAATTCCTCAGCCACAAGGGCTATTGTGTTTTGAAGCCACTCCTTCAGAGAATGTTCCAGTTGCCAACTCAAGTCCCCTGTTCCTGAACGCAGGGTAAGAAATTCCTTTTTATGGAATTTCAGTATAGCTGGGCTACTCTGACATGAGCTTTTGAGTTCCCTAAGCCAGGGGTCCCCAAACGTGGCAATTTTAAGATTTGTGAACTTCAACTCACCTTTTAAGACTTGTGGACTTCAACTCCCAGAATTCCATGGCTGGCTGAGGAATTCTGGGAATTGAAGTCCACAAGTCTTAAAGTTGCCAAGTGTGGAGACCCTGGCCCTAAACAGACAGAAGCTTGATCTTCAGGGATGACTGTTGCCTCAACATAATTTCCTGATCATGCTAGGAGGTAGTCTAGCCCAGTGCTCCTTAACTGAGACAAGTCTTTTGGTTCCAGAACTTCTACTGGGCTATACAATGAATTTCCTGCACCCACCTGGCTAGCATATTCAAGGTAGTCCTGTTCCCCTGGCTGAGAACTTGAATCGGAGGTGGCCGTTCCCTGTTCGGTACGGCACAGGACAATAGCGTATTGTTTGAGGTTTCCTGCCCTCTTCACAGCCACACTGATGGAACCGGCTTTTTCACTGATGTTGTAGCTGGAAAGAAAGAGGGACAGAAATGGCTTCCTTCAGGTCACAGAATAGGAACAACCCAAGATTTGCAGATCACAAAGGAATGCATTGGAATGAGTCGTCCTCAATTTGGTATTTATGTCAGACTTCTATTAGGAAGCTTATCCTGTTGTGTCTTTTAGTCTATTGTTCCCAGTAGCAAATTAAGAAGTTAACTTCCAATTTATGACAACTTAATTCAGTTAAAGGTGCTTGCTTTCTTTTGTTTTATTGAAAATGTGAAATCTGCCTCCATTTGGGGCAATTCAATCTAATCAAATTCATGTAATTCAACTCCAGGAAAAAAAGAAGGAAAATAAGAGAGAAATGCAACGAAATTCAACTTGGCAAAAGCCCAGATGCAACACCAGGTAGGTTAAATAAAGCCTCTTGGAGCATATTATCAACAAATCACACATAAATATACCAGCTGAGGTAAAAATGAATGGGAAATGCTTTGTTCAACAAATGAACATCTAAGTCCACTTTTTCATCCATGGTCCATTTGCATCTCTCTTGTCCTACATGAGATGCTTGCGATTTCCTTGTCACTTTCTTGTTTAGTTTAATGAAGGACAAAGGGTGACATGATAGCAATATTCCAATATCTAAGGGGTTGCCATAAAGAAAAGGGAGTCAAGCTATCCTCCAAAGCACCAGAAGGCAGGAGAAGAAGCAATGGATGGAAACTGATCAAGGAGAGAAGTAACCTAGAACTAAGGAGAAATTTCCTGACAATTAGAACAATTAATCAGTGGAACAGCTTGCCTCCAGAAGTTGTGGATGCTCCATCACTGGAAATTTTTAAGTGATTGGATATCCATCTATCTGAAATGGTAAGTGTCTCCTGCTTGAGCAGAGAGTTGGACTACAAGACCTCCAAGATCCCTTCCAACTATATTATTCTGTTATTCCGTTATTTCCAGCATCTTTGCTTTCTAGCAACAGCATACGAAACACTGGGTCACATGACATTCCAGAAATTTTCACTCTGATTCAAAGTGATTTTTCATATGTGGTTTACTTAAAATATTAATTTTTCTGAAATAAGGTACATGAAAACCACAATCCATAAGAAAGAAGGAACTTGCTAGCTGCTGACTATAAACATGCTATGGCAATCGTAATAATTCAGTCAAATGGCTGAATAATTTAAATTTATGCGTTGTATTAAGAAAACGGTGATAAGTGAGGTACCTCATATGTTGAAAGCTGATAAGGGACCATTGAATATGGAAGATATTATCAGTGACAATGCTCGGTTTGCTGTCCTTCACCAGAAACTGAAAACTATCTTCTGTCCTTTGAATATTCTCTTCATGTAGCACGTATTGGATCAATCCCAAATTCACGTCCTCTGTTAGAAAAAGACTTCAACAAATTAATCCAGGAATCAAAGGTCATTTTTTACATCCCTTGCAAACCACGATAATAGCCTCCATGCTAATCTAATCTGGCTACAGAACAATCCCTGTTGCTCAAAAGGGATTTCACCCTATCTCAGCTAATAAATGCAAAATTTTTATAAAATGATCCATGCTGGGGAACACTATTCATTTCATCTAAAGCCTAACAGAGCCTCAACTAAGGATGACCAGATAAACAAAGTTCTTAGGGGCTGCAGCATTAGATGAAATTGCAGACTCCAGTGAGCAACCCATAAAAACAAACTCTATTTTGTGCCTCATTAGGAAAGGGAAAATCAAACTGACCATATTTTAATTATTTGCTAAGGATCTATCTGGCCACTCTCAGAATACCAGTCATTGAGTTTCAAAAAGATATTTTAGGACTTTTTTTAAAAAAAATGGAAGAAAGCACCAGACTGCAACCACAGCAGCATAAAAAATTAAGTACTGAAATTAGAGAAGAATTGTATCAACTGAACCTTGATACAGAAGGTAAATATTTCTTCTTTTCTTTGAATCTAAGAATTTTAGACATTCCCTATCGGTTTTGAGGAGTTGGGAGTTTCAGAAATAAAAGAGAAAAATTAACTCTATCAACGTCCTCATGTGATATAGTTAACCCCGTGGGATTGGATGGTTAGCAATAAGCCATAGTGACGTTAGGTTTTGTCTCTGCATGCTGGGTCAATCCAAAAATCCTAATTTGTAAACCAGGTTAGAGCTTAGCCTAGTGCAGGAGTAGGCAACCTTGGCTCTTTTATGACTCGTGGACTTCAACTCCCAGAATTCCTGAGCCAGCCATGCTGAGGGGAAAGGGAGAGTTTCCAAGCTGAGCCAGGCTGGCTCAGGAATTCTGGGAGTTGAAGTCCACGAGTCATAAAGCGGCCTAGGCCTAGGCCAGAGGTAGGCAACCTGGGCTCTTTTATGACTCGTGGACTTCAACTCCCAGAATTTCTGAGCCAGCCACGCTGAGGGGAAGGGAGAGTTTCCAAACTGAGCTATGCTGGCTCAGGAATTCTGGGATTTGAAGTCCACGAGTCATAAAAGAGCCAAGGTTGCCTACCCCTGGCCTACTGCATGATGTCCTCCAACTGTGGCTTGGTCGAACCACTGTGGTTAAAGAAACCATGGTTCACAATGAGGTAGGAATCCAAGCAGTGATAGCAACCAACATGAACAGAAAACACGAAGATGGATCTCCGGATGTCTTCCCTGATTGTCATCTCAAAGATGCTTTTCCAAAAGGCAATTGGACTTCCTTCGTTTTTTCCCTCAGACACACTTTGTTTCTCATCCAAGAAGCTTCTTCAGTTCTGAATCTTCTTGGAAGAAGCTTTTTCAAGAAAAAAATCATGGAAGTCCAGTTGCCTTTTTGGAAAAGCACCTTTGGGACAACCATGACCTGGATGGCTGGGAATCTCCATAGACATTTTCCCTGGTTGTTAAATTCAGCGTTCTGCTTTGCTATTTTTCCCCAAGTGGGTTTGTTGCCAATAAAATCGGCGGGTCATCTTCAATCTTCTCTATATTATCCAGGTTCATTCAGCCTCTCCTTCCACTCCTCCAAGAGAAAAGGACAGCGCTAGTAAAGAGGCACGACACCAAAGAGCAAATGCCAACGTGGCTTATACCTTGTGTAAAGGTAGTCACCCTCCTTCCCGGCTGCAGTTTCTTCTCCACGTAACCATATTTGGGTCCCGTTGTTATTTCATAGATCAGGTGGTCGTCTTCTGTGTCGGGGTCCATAGTCAACAGCTCCTTCTTAGTGATGAGGTTTTTTGGCTGAATGGAAGAGCAGAAACCAGGGAAGAAGAGACTATAAACCCTGAATTTTAAAAATGAAAGCCTACTAGAACAGTCTTTTCCAATCTGGTACCTTATAGATCAATGGTGGCGAACCTATGGCACGGGTGCCAGAGGCAGCACTCAGAGCCCTCTCTGTGGGCACGCACGCCATTGCCCCAGTCCTAGGCCTTCAGCTGGGTTTTATAAAACCTTTTCGCTTTAGGCCTCTGCCGCTGTGTACAAAAACAAAGAGGTTCAATCAATCAGTCAATTTCAACTTCTCGCGGGAAAAAAAAGATCTTGCAAAGTTGGAATTGATTGATTGAACTTTTTAGTCCCACCCAGTCTGCCATTATTACCGCAGCCACGCCAACCCAATGGGCACACCCAGCCAATGGGCCATACCCAGCCAATGGGCCACACCCACCCGGCACCTGACGATGCATAAGTGGTTTGGGGTTGCAGTTTGGGCACTCAGTCTCTAAAAGGTTGGCCACCACAGGTTTACAAGTCCCATAATCCCTAGGCCATGTAAATCTGGAAACTCACACATAAGGGGTTTATTCTGTACAGTTAGTTCTCAATTCACAACAATTTGTTTAGTGACTGTTTGAAGTTACAATGGCACTTATGACCAGGGCTTTTCTTCTCATAGAACGCCCAGAACGGAGTTCCGGCACCTTTTTTGAATGGAACCTTGTAGGGTAGGCAAGGCGGGTTGTATGACGTGTTATGGTTCCGGCTAATGAAACACTTCAAAGAACTTCCAGGCATTGATTTTCCTAAGTCTTTTATTGTTACAAAATGTCGGCACAGGCACAACGGAGGCTTTATGCTAAGATCTAAGTTCTCTTCCTCTGAGCAGATAAATTATCAGCATGTTCCCTCCAGGACGTTTGGTAAGGATAACCAGAGCAGAAGGGGGTGGGGGCAAAGCCAGGGGAAAGAAAGAGGAAGGAAACTTTTGATCTTCACACATAACTCCCCCCCCCCCGTCGGAAGTTCTTTGAAGTGTTTCATTTTGTTGTTGTTAATTGCGAAGTCGTGTCCGACCCATCGCGACCCCATGGACAATGTTCCTCCAGGTCTTCCTGTCCTCTACCATCTTCTGGAGTTCATTTAAGTTCACACCTACTGCTTCAGTGACTCCATCCAGCCACCTCATTCTCTGTCGTCCCCTTCTTCTATTGCCCTCCATCTTTCCCAGCATTAGGCTCTTCTCCAGTGAGTCCTTCCTTCTCATTAGGTGGCCAAAGTACTTGAGTTTCAACTTCAGGATCTGGCCTTCTAAAGAGCAGTCGGGGTTGATCTTTTCCAGGACTGACCAGTTGGAACGCCTTGCAGTCCAAGGGACTCGCAGGAGTCTTCTCCAGCACCATAGTTCAAGTGTTTCATTAGCCGGAACCATAACAACATGCTAAGATCCATGTGAGTTCCGGCACCTTTTTTTTTTAAAGAAAAAAAGCACTGCTTATGACCATTTTTCACTTACGGATATTGTAGCATCCCTATGGCCACGGGATCAAAATTCAGAAACTTAGCAACTGACTCATATTTATGACGGTTACAGTGTTCTGAGGTCATGTGATCCCCTTTGGCAACCTTCTGACAGGCAAAGTCAATGAGGAAGCCAGATTCACTTAGCAACTATGTAACTAACTTAACCTGTAGTGATTTACTTAACAACTGTGGCAAGAAAGGTCATCAATTGAGGGAAAACTTACTTAAAAACTGTGTCACTTACCCAGAGAAATTTGGAGCTCAATTGTGGTCGTAAATTGAGGACTACCTGGATTCCTTTTTCCTTTATGATTGTTCCAAAGGATCATACAGAGAGACTTTGATGGGAGACTTCAACCTCAAGTCTCTTTGACCTTTATTTAACCACCATACAATCAATGAATATTTACAGGTAATCCTTGACTTATGACCACAATTGGGACTGGAACTTCTGTTGTTAAGCAAGGCAGTCATTAAGTGAATCATACCCACTGTTATGACCTTTTTTGCCGTGGATGTTAAGTGAGTCGCTTTCAGTCATTAAGCGCATCATGAAGTTGTTAAACAAATTCCAACTTCCTCATTGACTTTGCTGGGAAGGTCGCAAATGGCAATCATCATGACCCTGGGACACTGCAACTGTTGCAAATACCGTGCTGGTTGCCAAGCGCCCACAGTTTGAACACGTGACCACTGGTACATTGCAACGATCGTAAGTACAAAGACCAATAATAAGTCACTTTTTTCAGGACGATTGTAACTTCGAACACTTGCTAAACGAATGGTCGTAAATTGAAGACTACCTCTTTTCAAATCTTTCTTCCTTACCTTTCGGGGCATTTGCTATTCTTGTTTATTTATTATTTGTAAGAGTCAGATGTCAACTTTCCTTCAACAGCTCGAGGTAGCTTAGATCTTTCATTTTATCAGTCAACATCCAGATTGAGAATCCAAATAAAACTCCAGGTTCATCCCGTTTCTGAAAATCTTACTGTTTATTGAATATACGGCATGGTAAGGTCGAAACAAAACTAACTCTGAGGTTCCAACACCAACTTGTAGACTTAAACAATAGTATTCCCAGCCAAACCCCCAACGTCTTACGTAACCCATATCAACAAGTCCACTTTGTTATGGGAACCATCTGCTTCAAATCCACACCTGTTTTGGTGTCCTTGACAAGGCTTCAGGCTCTCACGGTCTGCAGCTAAATCGAAGAAGTTTAGTTTCTCCATCTAACCCACTTGAAAGTAACACTTCCCTCTCCCCCTTTTAATCTAAAGGCAAATTGAAACGCAGAGGCACGTCACTGCCAAAGTTTCATCCTTGACAATATCCTCCCAACAACCTGGTGAGGTAGGTTGGCTTAAGAGAGGATAACTGGGCCAATGCCACTCATGAGCTTCTCTGCCCTAGGCTGGATTTGAACCTCAACCTCTTCATCCCTGAACCAGCCTGGTTCCCCCTTTCAGCCTTTTCAGGTCTTCTACTGTTGTGCTATTGCCTATCTCTTAAATCTGGGTCCACAAGGCAAAACCTTCTGATCGATACCGAAGCAGTGGTTCCCAAGGCAGACTTCAGACTTTCTAAAAGCAATCTGTGCAAAAGTCTGTAAAAGTCACCTGCATCCCCATTTGTCACTCTTCCCACCGTTGATATGTGTGTGGTGTGTTTGAGTGCCCTGCCCAGCTTGCAATTAAAATCTGTTTCCATTTCTCTGCCTCTTCACTGGTGATGGAAGCACCACTTGATTAATCACAGCAATTAATCCATCAGAGTTTCCCACTTAAGGAATGCAAATGCTATTAGCAAGGAATAAGACATCACAGCCCAGCAGCCTATGGAACGAGATATTAGGAACTCTAGCCTTATGGTTTAAGATGGATTGCTTAGTTTAGCCACAACTGCTGATGTAACAAACAGCCAAGGTCTATTTCATTCATCACAGCAGCTGGCAGCAATGAGAGGAGGTGCACACACACTCTCTCTCTCACACACACACACCATTCAGCTTTTTGCTTGGAAAACTTCTCTCAGTCTTTTTTTTTGTAGTCAGTTGTAGCCAGCAATATTTAGCTATGCTGTTGCCCCAGAGCAATGAGAAGAAAAATCTTTGGGCTTTGCACCTCAAATATTCAGAAAAATGCCTCACTTGACTCTGCTGGCAAATACAGTCCAATCATGTGTGGTGCTATGTATTATATATATAAAAAGTCAAATAATTACAAAAATGAAATACAGGTAGTTCTCAATTTACAAGAAGATAAAAGCAGAAATGGTTAGATTGATTATTTTATTCAAAGAGGAGAATATACTCAAGTACGTTTTTTGTTTGGATATCACTTCCGGATTTTGCGCTTTTTGCCGATTAAATAGATTTGTCGTTATGGCTAGTTGTATACCGATGTGTAAAAGCAAAAAGTTGACGCTGGAGTGTTTCTATCCTGTACTGTGCTAAAAAGAGTCGGAAGTCAATGCCATTTTTTTTTCTTTTTTCCCTTACCTTTCCCTTGCATTTTCTTTCCCCTTTTCCCCTAATTTCCCATTTCTATTTCTCTTTGTATTTTATATATAGATAAAACAAAAAAAGCCATATATGAGAACTTCTAATGGTTGCCCCTCCCCAGTCATGTAACTAAACTTCAGCTGCAGCTGCATTTTATGACCATTTAGTCCAGGGGTAGGCAACCTTGGCTCTTTTATGACTCATGGACTTCAACTCCCAGAATTCCTGAGCCAGCATGACTCAGCTTGGAAACCTCTCCCTTTCCCCGCAGCATGGCTGGCTCAGGAATTCTGGGAGCTGAAGTCCACGAGTCATAAAAGAGCCAAGGTTGCCTTCTCCTGATTTAGTCGAAGATTGTCATTTACTTAAACTGCACTCATAGCAAACCATTGGTTTGCTTAATGACCACAGCGTTCACTTGACCAAAGCAAAAAAATCAGGTTAGTCATATGACTGACTTGTTTTATGATCATCGTGAATTATGATTGTTATGGTTACATGTTGAGGACTACATGTATATCATTTATATACTGCCTAGCGTCATGGAGAACAGGGAGATATATAAATAATGTAATAAATAAAATGCATTCTATTTTTGCTTGTTCATGACAATTATGGTACTCAGAACACTTCCAGAATGGCTGAAATTAAAAATGTGCATGATTCCCCCCCTTCCCCCAATTCATTTCATAGAAGGATGGAGTTGATTCAGCTCATGTATAAATCATGGCTCATGATGGAATGTATTGTGTAAACTTCACCACTGTGCCTTAATGATACAACCATAATTAAAACAATTCATGATTTAGATGAGTAAAGTCTGCCTGGAATATCCACCGGTGGGTAGAATCAAAATCAACATTTCTTTCTCGTCCTTCATCTTCCTATTTTTATGCCAGTTAAAAAGGACAGAGTTGCCTAATTTGAAACAAATCAGACAAAAAAGCTCACCTTGCCATTCACATATTCCAACCACTGGAGACCCAAATTAGTGACAATTCTTGGAAGCCCATCATCCACAGGGAGAACTTCTACTCTAAACCACTGGGGCACGGCAGTCACAACCTGAAAAATAAATATATATATATACTGTATATTCAGAACATTTCTTTCTGCAACATGAAAATTTACTATACTGGATAAAATGCCCTTCTGTTCTTGTGTGTTCCTGTATCAAGTCACTCAAAACAGTATTTCAAAATGTACATGGTTACAAATGGATTTTCACCTCTCCTAAGTTATTTAATATGTCAGGCAGCTCCTTAAAGAATAAATGGATCTTATGGGTAAATTTATCAGGCCCAAAACCCAAGAGAAACATGTGGTGATTCTTCCAAATAGTTTTCCTACAATGTCAGTTTGATCTTCTAGTGGTTAGGGCATCAAGTTAGAAACCAAGAGATGGTGAGTTCTAGTCCTGCCTTAGGCATGAAAAGCTGGCTGGGTGACTTTGGCCCAGTCATCTTCTCTCAGTCCAACCCACCTCACAGAATTATTGTGGGAAAAAGAGGAGGAGTATAAGCAGTGGTGGGATTCAAATATGTGAACAACCGGGTCTCTGTGTGAATGCCGCTTCCAGAAGTCCATTCTGGGCCTGGGCAACAAAAAATTAGCTACCAGTTCTGCTGAAGTGTTGTGAACTGGCTGAATCCCACCACTGAGTGTAAGTTATGTTCACCTTGTTGAGTTATTTATAAATGTAATAAAGGCGGGAAAACAGGATAGGATAGGATAGGACAGGATAGATAATAGAGAATGGAATATGGACTATGGAATAGAGGATAGAGAATAGACTAGAATAGAATAGAATTAAGGATAGGATAGGATAGAAATTAGAATAGAATAGAGTAGAGTAGAGTTAGAATTGAATAGAAATAAGGATAGGATAGGGTAGGATAGGATAGGATAGGATAGGATAGGATAGGATAGAAATAAGAATAGAATAGAGTAGAGTTGAGTTAGAATAAATAGAATAGAATAGAATAGAATAGAATAGAATAGAATAGAATAGAATAGAATAGAAAATAGAATAAGAACAGGGTAGAATAGAATAGAATAGAATAGAATAGAATAGAATAGAATAGAATAGAATAGAATAGAATAGAATTAAGGATAGGATAGGATAGAAATTAGAATAGAGTAGAGTAGAGTTAGAATCGAATAGAAATAAGGATAGGATAGGATAGGATAGGATAGGATAGGATAGGATAGCATAGCATAGCATAGCATAGGACAGGATAGAAATAAGAACAGAGTAGAGTAGAAGAGTAGAGTTAGAATAGAATAGAATAGAATAGAATAGAATAGAATAGAATAGAATAGAATAGAATAGAATAGAATAGAATAGAATAGATCTTGCCAAACTAAAACATTCTGTCATCTCCACAAGCATATACTCAGAAAACCTATTAAGAAGGGGCTGTCTTCACCCTCTTTCTCTTACTCAATCTATCTGAACCGAGCTGCCTCTTATTCTTCTAGAATGCACCCCCTCTCTCCTGGGAAACCAGATTAGTAAATTACATCACATATACCAAGCCACAGTAATTTACTACGGGAGCTGGTTATGACCTCTCCTTAGTCTCTTTTCCACTGCTGTTCCATGTCAGGGACCAAAAGCCTTAATTGACTTGTCAGATTTCTGCACACCAGGGTTAGAGAGAGAAGACTTAAGGTTGAATTTCTTGGCCTACTATCTGAACAGCCACAAGCTGTGAGAAATCATGTGAACGTCCATTTGGGCCTAGTGACCCTTAGCTTCCCCACTGACCTCTTTCCCATCCTTTGCCACCACAAAAAAGGGATTGGTTCCATCGGACACTGTAAAAGTGAAGCGGTCTTCTAAAAAGTTGCTCCCGTCGTGACTGTAACTGATCCGGTTCTGGAAGACATCCTCCATGGAGAAGGCATGGGCCTGTTGGTAATAATGGCTGTCAACGGTGCGCTCAAGCTGGCCGTGGCGCGGGGGCTGCACAATGCTGAAGGTAACAGACTTGGCCTACATACAGAACAAAGAGAGAAACAAAGCAAGAAGGAGAGTTCACATCACAGGATGATGGTTAGTTCACAGGTTGATATAGATTCAGGAGATGGTCTGGTAAAATTGACAGCTCTAAGGTTCTCTTACAAGCAATTTCTAAGAAATGAAATAAATGATGATGATGATAATAATAATAATAATAATAATAGTAATAAAGTTGGAAGGGACCTTGAAGGTCATCTTGTCTAACCCCCTGCTCAGGCAGGAAACCCTATATCTAATGGCTGTCCAGTCTCTTCTTAAAAACTTCCAGTGTTGGAGCATTCATCGCTTCTGGAGGCAGGTTGTTCCACTGATTAATTGTTCTAACTGTCAGGAAGTTTCTCCTTAGTTCTAGGTTGCTTCTCACACCACTTCCTAGCCAGCTGAGAGCAAAGTCTGTGCAAGCTAGGAAGAAGCCGTATCATTTCCTCTCCCTGGGATCAAAAAAAACCCCGTCTCAAGCAACCATCTGATCTAAGTCATGGAATCACTTTTGTTGTTGCCTCTCTGCAGTCCAAACCAAGATCCCACCGCATCCAATTCTTTGTAGCCTCCAGTCTTTAGTTTTTTCATGCCCAAGCGATTTAGGAAACTCAGCATTTGGCAACGTGCAGTTATTGCCTCCGATCTCTCCAAATAAGAATTTGATAATTTCATGGACCTTCCATCTCTGAAAGGTCTATTAGTTCTGCCAACTAAAGAGAACCTCCTAGCCCAAAGGTAGCATATCTCAGGATATTAGATCAGCGGAGAAAGTATTTATTTATTCATGACTACAGATAGCATTTTTCTGTTTAGCCCGATTTTCAAGATGGCTTATATGACAATAACAAAATTACAGACAATAAGACAGCCACAGTGTGGTGGTTAGCATTAGGGTGGCATGGATTGTGATCCACCCTCAGCCTTGGAAGTGCCTTAGGTGACTATGGGTCAGCCCAAAGTATCTCAGATTTTTCTTGTTGCCAAAAAGTAGGAAGATGGAATGCTATATATCCATGGTGGCGAACCTATGGCACACGTGCCACAGGTGGCCCGCAGAGCCCTCTCTGTGGGCACGCACGCCATCGCCCCAGTCCTAGGCCTTCAGCTGGGTTTTATAAAACCTTTTCGCTTTAGGCCTCCACCGCCGTGTCCCAAAAAAAAAAAAAAGGTTCAATCAATCAATCAATTTCAACTTCTTGCACGAAAAAAAAGATCACGCAATATTGGAATTGATTGATTGAACTTTTTAGTCCCACCCAGTCTGCCGTTACCACTGAAGCCATGCCCACTCAATTGGCCACACCCACCCAATGGGCCATGCCCATCCGGCACCCGACAATACATAAGTAATAGTAATAGTAGTAAAGTTGGAAGGGACCTTGGAGGTCATCTAGTCCAACCCCCTGCTCAGGCAGGAAACCCTACACCATTTCGGACAAATGGCTGTCCAGTCTCTTCTTAAAAACTTCCAGTGTTTTTAGGGTTGCAGTTTGGGCACTCAGTCTCTAAAAGGTTTGCCATCACTGCTATATATGCATGGATGTCCCAACTTTTCCTGGGGGTTGAAGTCCATAAACAGTAAAGGCCACATAGTTGCCCATTTCTGTTCTAGAGAGACATACCAATCGATGGAAACTAAAATTTCCTTCTAAACTCCTTCATAGTCATAAAAAAGAACACCTCCCCCCCAAAGGACTCCTTTCTTCACCTCTGTGTCCGCATCGGTGGCTTTGAGATCAAATTCTGTGATGGTCTTCCTTACTCCTTCCTGCACAGTCAGGCCAACAATCTGCACCACAGGCAAAGAATCATCAACCGGATTAATGGTGATTTCAAAATTCTGGGTCATCTATCGGAAAAAAGAATGAAGAAAGCTATGCTTGTTGGACATTGCCTTTCCACAGACAAACTAACCATATTTTTTTTTTGGGGGGGGGGGGGAAATCAATGGAACTTCACTGACCTCCTGATGGCCATCTGAAATGGTGAAAGTGAACATGTCAGCATGTTCTTCAGCCTCGCTTGTATGGATGTAGTGGATGCTGTGGGAGATAAGGTCTGCTTGTTGGAAGGAACTAATCCTTCTGCCTAGAAAACAGTAGCAGAAGAATCCACCTTGTGCTCTAAGATTCCAAGTGCGTCCTCCATCTCAAAGAATGACATCCCCCAAACCTTCAAACTTACTTTTAGACATTCGCCCGTGCAACACAACACCCCTGGGATACTTTCAAACATGTCCATCAACCATATTTAATCCATTCATTTATTAATACTGTCAGACTTTAAAGGAGACACTCCAGGCATCCTAACTTCTATTGCTAAATAAAGCAGCATAATTCCCTTCCAATTCCGTAAAATAGGAGTCGTTTGTTTATTTGTTTATTTATTTATTTATTTATTTATTTATTTATTTATTTATGAGACTTATATACCGCTTTTAAGTGCAAGCACTCTCTAAGCGGTGTACACCAGTAAGCAATGTATGTATATATATTTACATTGCCCCCAACAATCTGGGTCCTCATTTTACCTACCCCGGAAGGATGGAAGGCTGAGTCAACCTTGAGCCGGTGAGATTTGAACCGCTGACCTGCTGAACACAGTCAGCTAAAGTGGCCTGCAGTACTGCACTCTAACTGCTGCGCCACCGCGGCTCACCTTTATTCTCACTTTGCTCCAAAACCAGGAAATATTTGCAAACCTGGTAATGCCGTGTGCTCCAAATGTCCCAGCTGGGGCTGTTTAATAATCCTGTAGAGAAGATTGCTGGATTCTTCACCCTGCTTCTTGGCCGACAACTCCAAAGGGGTGATTATTTTCACAGAGTTTTCGTCCAGGGTTAGCCCAGCGTTGACAGTGATGGACATAGGCACTCGATCCCCTGGGAGAAGTGAAAATAAAGAGGAAACAGATCCTAGATCCATCTTCTTTGTCACATGGTGAACAAGTGGATGGGTTTAGGAAGTTCACAAGTGCCAACCGGAGGATCAAAACCAATTTCAGTATTTGCTGTCTATGATTCAGGAAGTACTATGCGTAACAGCATGGGGGTCAAACCCAATTTCATTGAGGGCCGCATCAGCATTGTGGTTGCCCTCGGGGGGGGGAACAGGGTGTGTGTGGCCAGGGTGGGTGCGGCCTACTGGATGGGCGTGAAGTGGGTGTGGCCTATTGGGTGGGCATAGCCAGCTCTACATCATTCACATCAAGGGTGCCTGTGGGGGCCTGGGCAGGAGTGGGACAGATCTGAGGGTCTCTGGCAGAAGGGGGTGGGACCGGGGCAAGCGCCAAGACATGGCCCATTTCTTCATTCCTCACAAAGGGTGACACCTCCCCAGCATGCATCCTGGGGGCGGGGCCAACACGGCAGTGGCTGGTCCCTTGCTGTTTCCAAACAGCCTTGTGGAACTAAGACTGAATGCGTTTCAGCATAGATGGCCACCACAAAATTGTACATTGGCTCTCGGCCGGCCTGGGCCAGGGCCAAGGCAGTGGGGGCCATTCCCTCACTGTTTCCAGGATGGCTTCGCGGGCCACATGAAACCACTTTGCGGGCCGCATCCGCCCCCTAGGCCTTGTGTTTGACATGTCTGCATAACAGAAAAATAGATTTGAAAGGGAAGTCTTCTAGTCCAACTCAAGCAAGAGACCTTGCACCATTTCAGACAAATGGGGGTCCAATCTCTTCCTGAAAACCTCCAGGGTTGGAGCACCCACAACTTCTGGAGGCAAGTTGCTCCACTGGTTTATTGTTCTAATTGTCAGGAAATTTCTCTTTATTTCTAGGTTGGTTCTCTCCTTGATTAGTTTGCACCCATCACTTCTTGTCCTGCCTTCAGGTGCTGTGGAGAAGAGACTCACCCGCTCTTCTTTTGACAGCCACTGATGGCCCAACCCTCTGTAGACTTTGCACAACTTTTTAAAACCATCCCACTTAGCTACTACTCCTACAACAGTTAGCAATGAATTTCATAGATTAGCTAAGCACTGCATGAAAAAGTATTTCTTTCTATTGGTATTGAATCATTCTACATTTATTCCAACAACTAGCCTCGGGTTCTAACCAAGGAAAGGAAATCCAAATCTCCCCCATGTTATTTATGTTATACTTAGTTGTATACGAGGAGTCCTTGGTGTTCTCTGAGCTTGCTTGTTTTCTTGCAGACGTTTCATTACCCTGAGCTACAAATATTCTCCTTTATTAGTTGTATAGCTCATGCCTTTTCTCATCCATTTTTTAAAATCAAAGAGCCCCAACTGAAATAATCATTCCTTATAAGGGAGCTATTCTAGTCCCTTTATTATTTGATTGTCCTGCTTTGACCAATCCCAGTTCTATAACATCCCTCTTAAGATGCGTCAATGAGACTTGTGTCTAACTGCAGTCTTGCCATACATTTGTAACACTGACGACCACAGGGATACAGATAGTCCTCAAGTTACAACTGAAGTTAAAAGTTGTAACAGATGTCCCTGGGGGCACTTACAACCTGGATTTGCAATTCCGATGGATGTCCCCCCCCCATGGTGGTCATATGACTGTACTTCAGCTGCTCAGCAACTGGCTTGTACTTAATGGCTGTTTGCAGTGTCCTGCAGTCATATGACCGTGTGTTACAACAGTTTTGCCAAAAAAAACCCAACATTTATTTTCAGTTTTCAGCAAAACTGGCTCATAGTGAATCATTGGTTCACTTAATGACCATAGTGTTTGCTTAATGAATGCAGGCACTGCTTGATGATTGCAGCGGTTGCTTAACAACCCCTGCAAAAAGGTTGTATAATGATGATGATGATAAAGTTGGAAGGGACTTTGGAGGTCATCTAGTCCAACCCGCTGCTCAGGCAGGAAACCCTATACCATTTTGGACAAATGGCTGTCCAGTCTCTTCTTAAAAACTTCCAGTGTTGGAGCAGTCACAGCTTCTGGAGGCAGATTGTTCCACTGGTTAATTGTTCTAACTCTCAGAAAATTTCTACTTAGTTCCAGGTTGCTTCTCTCTTTGGTTAGTTTCCATCCATTGCTTCTTGTCCTGCCTTCAGGCGCTTTGGAGAATTGCTTGACTCCCTCTCATGGGTCACTCATGTGGATGACCCAATTTATGACCATCACAACCTACGACCGTGAAGGTCAGACTCCACTACATTTGTAACTCAAGGACGACCAATAAGAAATTTTCTTTCTTTTCCATTTCTCCTTGTTTTTTTCTAACTATTTTATTCGGTCATTCTAAACTGGGCTATCTGCTGCTTGACTGCAGAGACTTTAGTCAACAAACTGTAGGACCTTCCATCTCTCTACTACCATCAAGGGTCAGTTGAGGACACAAGAGCTGAGGTTCAACTACAGAATGTTTAACTCTGGATTCTGACTTTCATTGGGACCTTGTTTAGTTTGCTAACTTCACCATCAACAATATATTTCCATTTTACCTTCTCTTAAGCCAGCTCTTCCATACATGCAATTATTCCACTAAGCTGACTTTTGAAGGAGAGAGGGAGCACGCAAGGAGACAACACTATCAAAAGCCCTCCCTAAGCAAACCGTCTATGGCAGGGGTGTCAAACTCAATTTCATTGAGGGCCGCATCAGCATTGCGGTTGCCCTCAGGGGGCTGGATGTGTGTGGCCAGGTAGGTGTGGCCTATTGGGTCGGTATGGCCAGCTCTACATCGTTCACGTCAAGGGTGCCTATGGGGGCCTGGGCAGGAGTGGGACCGATCTGAGGGTCTCTGGCAGAAGGGGGTGGGTCCAGGGCAAGTGTCAAGGCATGGTCCACTGGAGGAGCCTCATTCTTCCTCTCAGGGCCTTCGGGGGGGGGGGGGCTTATGGAGCTAAGACTGAATGCGTTTCAGCATAGAGGGCCACCACAAAATTGTACATTGGCTCCCGGCTGGCCTGGGCCAGGGCCAAGGCAGCGGGGGCCGTTCCCTCACTGTTTCCAGGATGGCTTCGCGGGCCACATGAAACCACTTTGTGGGCTGCATCCGGCCCCCAGGCCTTGTGTTTGACATGTCTGGTCTATGGAGATTCCCAGTCATCCAGGTCATGGTTGTCCCAAAAGTGCTTTTTCAAAAGGCAACTGGACTTCCTTTGTTTTTCCTTGAAGACGTTTCACTTCTCATCCAAGAAGCTTCTTCAATTCTGAAGAGGAACTGAAGAAGCTTCTTGAATGAGAAGGAAAATGTCTTCAAGGAAATAACCCCAAAAGTTCAGCTGTCTTTTGAAAAGCACCTTGGGGTCCCCAAGCAAACATTTCTCAAACCTGGTTTATTTTAAATACTCTTGACTGTCCAATGTTGCATTTTTAACCAATGACAGGAGAGTCCTGACTACAGGGGGGAAAACCAAGTTTCTCTCTGCTGCTACAATGCTAAAACAAGCACGATTTAAAGAGACTTTTTCAAGTGGAAAATAATAAGGTGAGTAAATGTAATTGTGTACCAATGCTTGTATTAAAAGCATTTTTCAAACAAATAATTGGGGCACAGTTTTAGCTAGAGAATCGATTTTTGGATGATTAATTTAACCAGTTAATTAAGCTCTAATTTTCAAGTAACAATTTCCAAATGTGATCGATTTTTCAGGAAAGCCAAAACAAGAGTGGATTTTTGTTTATTCCTCATTTAACATCTCAGAGGAAATTTCCCCTGAAATATAAACTTAACCGGTGGAATTCTATGACAAATTATATTGTGATGAAGAAAAAAATGTTCATTGGAATATCAATCTGTACCACTCAGGATGCGGAAGCTACAGTTCTCGGCAATTTCAAGCCTCTATTATTCCAATGCTAATAATGTGCAGCCCTTAAATTGTCTTCATAATTGATTCTAACCACCCTGCTTCACAGCTGCTGTCTTTTCCAGAATTTCCTTGATTCTAGCTAATTAAAGCCATCTTCTGCCTTGCTAAAGGAAGCGGTGTCTAGATCGTTGCCTTACCTGTTACGTTAATTGAGAATGCCAGGTCTGTCATTTTGTTTCCCTCTCCATCTGCCACATCAAAAACAAAAATAAAGGTCCCAACTGCTTCTCCTTTCTCATGGCTGTATTCTACTTGTCCTGTGGTAGGAAATCAGAAGGAAGAATAAAAGAAACATTTAGAACACGGATGTCAAAACTCGATCGCATCACCTCACGTATTGTGACGTAACATGACATTTTTTGCCTTTGCGGAGCCGGGGTGGATATAGCCTGCGCGTGACACATCCGGCCCGCAGGCCGCTAGTTTGACACCCAACAGGACAACCGCAAGCTATCTTGTGTTAACTGTGTTTTTCTGAAGTATGTAATCAGGGTCTCTCTCTGAGGTAATAAACTCATAAGTGGATGCTGACTGATGGTCTATGGCAGGGGTCTTCAAACTTGGCACCTTTTATGACTTGTGGACTCCAACTCCCAGAATTCCTCAGCCAGCCAAGCTGGCTGAGGAATTCTGGGAGTTGCAGTCAACAAGTCTTAAAGTTACCATGGTTGGAAACCCTTGGTCTATGGCGCTTGGTTGGACCCTTTTGAGTCTATCCTTCTAACTACATTTGTAATAGTGGTGAATATCTGTCGCTCAGATGTAGGATGAGGGTGAAAGTTTGTGGGTTGGTTACCAAACGTTTCGTTACCAGACTACGAAACCTCCTCAGTGGAATTTAGGGGATGTCGGTGTCGATGTTCTTCTGTTTATAAGGGCTTCAGGTGTGGGTGTGTCAAGTGTTGGGTATGGATCTTGTGACGGGTCAGGTGTGAGTCATCAGTGAGAGGCTTATGATGGGTCTTGTGATAGGGCAGGGGTAGGCAACCTTGGCTCTTTTATGACTCGTGGACTTCAACTCCCAGAATTCCTGAGCCAGCCATGCTGAGGGGAAAGGGAGAGGTTTCCAAGCTGAGCCGTGCTGGCTCAGGAATTCTGGGAGTTGAAGTCCACGAGTCATAAAAAAGCCAAGGTTGCTTACCCCTGCGATAGGGAGGTTACATCAGGTCAGAGTCACTGGGAAGTGAACTCCTGGTTGGGGGGTCTACGAACCCCTCAGAATCCAAATCAACTGTACAAGTAACCAGAGACGGCACCGACCCTCATCAACCCACGCCACCCCCCCTCCCACCAGTTCACCTCCCAATGGCCCTGACCTGATGTAGCTTCCCCATCACAAGACTCTCACTGATGACTCACACAAGACCTTCACTCAACATACCCACACCTGAAGCCCTTATAAACAGAAGAACACTGACACTCCCTAAACTCCGCTGAAGATTTTACCTAGCTTGTAACGAAGCTTGGAGAACGAACCTTCACCCTCCTTCTAAATATGTACTGGCTATTTAACAACTCCTATTTTGTAGATAATTCAGCCTATTCCTTCTTTGTCCCATGGACTGTTGTCATTATTTGCCAAACATCACAGTAACAAACAACAAAAGGGGACTCCCTCTTCTTTGGGGCAGCCCCTGAGATACTGGAAGACTGCTATCCTGTCTCTCCTTGTCTTCATTAAACTGGACATACTCAATTCCTGCAATCGTTCTTCACATGTTTTAGCCTCCAGTCCCCTGATTATATTTGGTGTTCTTTTTTTTTTTTGCTTTGTTTGTAGAAGTACAAGAATCAAATCCTTTTTAAAACAGGTCATGTCATGTTTGTGCCAAAGTATAAATCCAAAAACCTGAGAAGAAGCTGTAGCCTGTTGCATTATGCAATTTAGCTTAGAAATAAATACCGGAATTTCATCTATTAGAACAGGTAACACCCCACCTTTGTTTATTTCTGCCTGGGTAAAGCTTTTAGCTGGTCCCTGAGTGGAGATCTGGATCAAAGAATCTCTTTTATGCAGGTGCAACAATCCACAGGTTGGGTCCTTCTTCATGATATATTTGATAGACAGGTCATCTGAATCAGGATCTATGGCTCTTAAATGCTGGGTTGTGATGACTGCCACAGACCCTAAAGAGTGGAAACAAATGGACACAAACAATATTACATTTCTTGCTTAATTATTCTGGGGATGATTGTTTGCTTGCTTGCTTATTGATTGATGGATTGATTTCCTTCAAGTCAGCATCAATTCCTGCGATTTGCCTAGATTAATCTCTGCAGTTTCCTTGACAAGATTTTAGAAGTAGGTGCCATATGGTGGGACCAGACTTTGCTATTTCCTTCCCACAAAATCAGATATAAATGAACCTGTGAATTAAAACAAGTTTGGGAATATTTGTTCTCCAAGACAGAGAAATTGTCTGATATGACCCCCGATTACCAACTTCTAGCCAGGTTTTTGTTCAACTTGGTTAGAGGAAAGAAAGGCTTCCAATTCAATTTTGCTTGCTTTTTTTCTCTCTCACAGGGTCTTCTTAAACCACAGCCTCACAAAGCTGTTGCAACACTGATTTGGTACCATGGTGAAGGAAGTCTTTTGAGACTTCTCAGGGCAAATGTTAATACTGAAGCTCCCCCCCCCCAAAAATCCTCAGATTTGGACAACCTACGCGTGATGGCGAACCTATGGCACGCATGCCATAAGTGGCACTCAGAGCCCTCTCTGTGGACACACGCGCCGTCGCTCCAGTCCTAGGCCTTCAGCTGGGTTTTATAAAACCTTTTTGCTTTAGGCCTCCGCCACCGTGTGCAAAAAAAAAAAAAGGTTCAATCAATCAGTCAATTTTAACTTCTCACGGGAAAAAAAAGATCTCGCAAAGTTGGAATTGATTGATTGAACTTTTTAGTCCCACCCAGTCTGCCGTTACCACCGCAGCCAATGGGCCACACCCACCCCATGGGCCACACCCACCCGGCACCCGACGATACATAAGTGGGTTTTGGGTTGCAGTTTGGGCACTTGGTCTCTAAAAGGTTCGCCATCACTGGCCTATGCAAAATCACATTTTGAAAGCAACCAGGCAGATCCACTCAAATGCAATTCAATAAATACATGGCCCAAATGCATGTGGAGAAAGGAAAGAGCTAGAAATGCATCTGCTTTTTTCTCGAGAAGAAAAGGATGAAAGCTGATTTTTAAGCCACGGATATTGGATGCTTTAAGGCCAGGTGGCTAGGGAATTCTGGGAGCTGGAAGTCCACAAATCTTAAAAGTTGCCAAGGTTGAGAAACACTGCTCCAGGGACAGTATTCAGTGCCTTGCCATTTTTAATTACAAATAATGAATGCCAATGGGTTGAAGTTCTCTATCCTCAACTATTAGTTAATTTCAATTATTTACCTGAGTATATTCTCTAGGAGTTCCCAGCTGACTTCCATAGAAACAATACCACACTGAATGCATCTGAGATCTCCAGATGGTGGGGACAATTTAGAATAATGGGGGGGAGGGGGGGAAGGAGGCTTCCAAGTGTGTTGACTAAGAAATATAAAAGCTGAAGGAAATTTGGCTACTCAGGAATTTTAATAAGGGGACTTCAGAAAAGGCAAATCAGAATGGATTTTTTTTTTTACCAGCAGAGAGTTGTAGGCCTCTGTTCACGACTAATCTGGGAAGGTCCATCCTTGGTGAAGTTACAGCAAACTCCACTTTCCCTGTCTCAACGTGGAGGCCGTCGGAGAGTGAAAATTGGAACTCATCACTTTGGGCTACCAAACTGTTCAATTTGTAAATGATCAATTCATCCAGAACATCCTGGTAGGTGAAAGTGGATCCCTCAGAGAGAGCTTGTCCATTCTCCAGAGAATGCAGGGGAGATTCTCTTCTGTATAGATACCCTAAGAGTAAGTCAAGAATTCTGAGTAAGTTCCTCACAGATCATTTTCTCTCTATTGCATTAATCCCTTAATTCTACTCCTAATATACTTCTTCCTAGTAATTTTTACGAGTGTTTGGAACCCTTAACCACAGAATAAGGACAGTGGCAATATAAACATGCACATCTACAGGTAGTCCTCGACTTACAACAATGTATTCAGTGACCATTTGCAGTTACAACAGCATTGACAAAATGTGATTTATGAGTGTTTTTCACGCTTATCATCGTTGCAGCATTTCCATGGTCAGGTGATCAAAATTCAGATGCTTGGCAACTCATTCATATTTATGACAGTTGCAGTGTCCCGAGATCATGTGATCACCTTTTGTGATCTTCTGACAAGCAAAGTCAATGGGGAAGCCAGTTTCACAATAGCCGTGTTATTAACTTAACAACTGCAGGGATTCACTTAACAACTGTGGCAAGAAAGCTCGTAAAATGAGGCAAAACTCACTTAACAGTCTCACTTGGCAACATAAATTTTGGGCTCAAATTGTGGCCGTAAGTCAAGGACTGCCCACTGCCTGTATCTTTTGCTGTAATCCATGCTGTATAAAAACCCCAAATAGCAGATTTTTCAACTATGTACATTTTCAAGTTGGTCAAGCTGCTTTGATCAGCAATGTCTTTCACATATCAAGCTACACCATACTGTGGGTTGGGATTTATCCCTGCTTATTCCTTTGGCTCTTATATTCCAAAGCCTAATGAAATGATGAAATTATGACTGGTATCCTATCTTATTTTTATTTAATGAATGTCTATACACCCTCCTCACCTAAGTGACTCTGAGCAATTTACAACAGCAAAATAAAACTATATAAACACCTGAATGAAAGTACAGATAAAAGCAGAGTTAAAAACACGATGAAAACTTACAAGTTAACAGTCAGAGTTAATTATCCTGTGAAAGGATGGCTTCAAATTATGAATAGTTTCCCAAGAGAGATTAGTCCAAAATAGAGCCTCCATGTTAAGAAGGAGTCTCTTTCCATCACCTGATGGGATGGGAGGACAAACTCCACATTTTTCCAAACTCCATGGAAACTTCTTGGAAGAAGCAAGAAGGCTTGTCTCCAAGTATTGCGAAGTGCCTTGGTCTGGCTTAGGAAAGTAATTCTAATTTATACACTAAGACAGGGGTAAGCAATCTTGGCTCTTTTGTGACTCATGGACTTCAACTCCCAGAATTCCTGAGCCAGCATGGCTCAGCTCAGAAACTCTCCCTTTTCCCTCAGCATGGCTGGCTCAGGAATTCTGGGAGTTGAAGTCCATGAGTCATAAAAGAGCCAAGGCTGCCTACCCCTGCACTAAGACAAAACTTAAATCCTGTATATCTCAACTGCTGAGATTTATTTAAAACTAGAGCCACAGCTTCTTCTGAAAGTTTCTTTGTTTGATAAAATTAAGGAAATGAAAAACTAGGCCATGATTTCAGAAGTATGCTTGCAGCGAAGAGCAACTTTTACTAGTGAACATATTGAAAAATAGCTCTGATATATTTATTTTGAGCCCTTTATTATGTTTATAAACAACTCAGGGTAGCAAACGTGCCTAATATTCCTTCCTCCTCCTATTTTCCCCACAACAATAACCCTGTTAGGTGGGGTGGGCTGAGAGAGAGTCTGGCCCAATTCACCCAGCTGACCTTCATGCCTAAGGTGGGACTAGAACACAGAATCTCCCTGTTTCTAGCCTGACGCCTTAACCACTAGATCAGGGCTCTTCAAACTTGGCCCTTTTATGACTTGCGGACTTCAACTCCCAGAATTCCTCAGCCAGCATGCCTGGCTGAGGTATTTTGGGAGTTGAAGTCCACAAGTCATAAAAGAACCATGTTTGAAGACCCCTGCACTAGACCATGATGGCACAGTGGTTAGAAGGCAGTATTGCAGGCTAACTCTGCCCATGCCTGCAGTTCGATCCTGACTGGCTTAAGGTTGACTCAGCCTTCCATCCTTCCAATGTCGGTAAAATGAGGACCCAAATTGTTGGGAGCAAAAGGCTGATTTTTTAAACCGCTCAAAGAGTGTAGTAAAGCACTATGGAACAGTATATAACTCTATTGTTCTTTCTTCAGCATTATTACAATAATATGTCTCACCATGAACGGGTGCCTTGGTTACCATGAAAACCAGAAGGTCATTAGGAGTGTCCAAGTCCCTTAGCCTCAAGGAGGAATTTCGAATCACTACTCCTGTCTTTTCACGCACACTAATAGGGGTCACTTGTACCTGAGGTGGTTCATCATTCAGGCGCTACAAGACCAGAAGGAAAATTGTGAGAGAAAAATTAATTTCAACCACAGGTTCTTGAAGTGGAAGAGGAAAGGACACTAGAAGCTACAAAATTTAGAAATGAGATCATGGAAATACAAGAGTCATATGGCTGTATAGCCGCATTTACCTCAGAATGTTGAATACGTTTGATTGGAAATCTAACTGAAAGCATTTCAAGCATCAAGGTTTCTCATAAAACAAACCAGCAACCTGAATTTGTATTTTCCTGGTAGACATTGCGTATTTGCGTTAATCTGTGCAAAAAACTGCAACTAATATTGGTTAATGTGTTTGTGTATGGCATGCATGTATAGGTGCATGTGTATACACATATACATTATGTATACACACAAACACAGAGAGAAACAGATAGAAAGAAACTTGATTCGCATTGTGTCATTGTGATTTGATGATTTTAGCTTACTGACTTGTTGACAATTAATTAGCATCAATAACAACCATGGTTTGTGCTTTAGATTAGGTGTGAACTGAGGCATTTTTGCCTGACTCAACAAATTTGTTTAAACAAAGCATAGTTTAGCAATTTATTTGAATGCAGACACTATTTCTACTATCACAATTGTTTACAAATGAAAAACACACAGTGAATTCAATTACCTTAATAGTAATGTTGACGCTGCTGATTTCTGACTGGCTGAAGCCATCACTGATATAAAAACTAAAGGTGTCCATTGATGGTTCAATACTTTCATGGACGTTCTGAAAATAATAAATACGGTTCTCCAACACATCTTGAAGTGAGAAAGAAAAATCAGAACTTTCTGTGTTTCCAAAACCGAGGCGTCTGCCTGCAAGGAAAGTGATCCTTATATGATTGTGTTGATCAGCAAATCAGGAATTTTATTATTTATCAGATCTGTCTGCCACCCATCTTGCCTCAATTTTATTAAGATTATCATGAGATAAAATACAAATAAAAATAATAGGAAAAGGGGGAAAGGGTAGAAACAGGAAGGAAAACTAGAGTACAGAGGGAGGGGAAAGAAAAAAGTACTGACTTCCAACTTTTTTCAGCACAGCAACAGAATTAAAACCTCAACTTTTTACTTGATCAATTTAAGAAGTACTAGCCATTTCTGTAACAGAGAACTAGATTAATCAACAAAACCCCAAGTCAAGAGTTTGGTTTTTTTTCCATCTCAAGAAAAAAGTCCAGAAGTGGTTTCCAAGTAGAAACAAAACTGGATATGTTCCTTTCTCTAATTAAAACATTCAATTTTGCTATCTCTGCTACCTCCATCACTTACTCCATCCATTCTTCTATTATGCAGGTTGACATTCCTTTCCATTCCTGTCCATACAGAATTCTCACTGCAGTCAATTTTTTTGCATATATATAGCAAACAGTATCCCACAGCAAAATACAGGTAGTCCTCAGCCTACAACCACTCATTTAGTGATGGTTTGGACAACGGCACAGAAAAAAGTGACTTATGACCGGTTTTTACACTTACAATCATTGCAATATCCCCATGGTCACGTGATCAAAAATGAGTGTTTGACCACTGGCATGTATTTACAAGGGTTGTGACATGCTGTGGTCATGTGATCACAATCTGTGGCCTTCCCAGACAACTTCTGACAAGCCAAGATAATGGAGGAAGCCAGATTCGCTTAATGACTGCACGATTCACTTAATGATTGCAGTGATGTGCTTAACAATTGTGGCAAAAAAGGTTGTGAAATGGGACAAAACTCACCTAACAACAGGCTTGCTTAGAAACAGAAATCTGGGGGTCCCATGGTGGTTGTAAATTAAGGACTACCTGTATGAACTTTGCACCTTACCTGTCCTGGTGTTTTCAATGTACCCATATTTTGGAAGACTTGTGATTTTGACCACCAGGCCTTCTTCAGCAAGACCCAGGGAGTGGTGAGGCTGAAGTGGTGTTCGTCCCCCTTCTTCTACCTGAACAGAAAAGCAACATTTGCTCTATCTGGAAATTTGATTTTGAGCATTACTTACAAAAAGCTTCTATTTTAACCCCCCACCCCCAAATCTCTTAATATTTGTGATCTGAAATACTTTGTACGTGTCAACCTCCAGCTCAAATATCCAAATAAAGTCCAGGATTTCTTTCATTTCTGAAAACCTTACTGGTTTTGTTGTTTGTGATTTTGTGATTATAAAAAATTTATATATATATATATACAATTTTTATAATCACAAATGCTTAATATTTTATCAGCAACATATTGTCTGGGTTTCCAACATTTAACTTATTAATACATGTTAAATTCCTTTCACTCTACCTCATTTTTCTAGCCATTGGTAAAAGGTATCCCATGTTCTAAAACAGGGGTCTTCAAATTTGGCCCTTTTATGATTTGTGGACTTCAACTCCCAGAATTCCTCAGCCAGCGTGCCAAGGGCCAAGTTTGAAGACCTCTGTTCTAAAATATGGCACTTAACTCTGGTGAGGTTAACAAAAATGTCTAAAAATATATCTAGCAACTGTTGGAAATGTAGACAAAAACCAGGCACTTATTGCCATCTTTGGTGGACATGCCCCAAAGCCAAAAGATTCTGGTCAAGAATACACATATGGTTAGAGAAAATTACTAAAAAAATGCCTCCAGAAGCAGTAAATGCTCCAACACTGGAAGTTTTTAAGAAGAGACTGGACAGCCATTTGTCCGAAATGGTGTAGGGTTTCCTGCCTGAGCAGGGGGTTGGACTAGATGACCTCCAAGGTCCCTTCCAACTTTACTACTATTACTATTACTATATAGATTTTAAACCAGAATTATTTTTGTTAGGCATAATTGTAGGAAACTACGAGAAAGTGTGTATATATCTAATTTTACATGGATTAACTGCAGCGAGAATTGTATTCGCTCAACATTGGAAAAAAATGAAGATTTACCAACAGAGGAAGAGTTAATTAAAAAATTTTAGATTGTGCAGAAATGGATAGATTCGACATTGAAAATGAAAGAGAAAGAAGATTCAGTATAGAATCTCACAGGCTACTGACATACCGTTATTTGGTCAGAAAAGGTAACAACTGGAGGCACACTTTGGACTGCTGTGATAGTAATGGCGAACATCTGGCTATCAAGCTGATTGTTGTCAGCATCAAACACAGAGAAGTAGAAGACATCTGTGATTGGCTGATTGACCCCAGTTTCAAGCTCGGTGAAATATCTGCAGGATAAAAATGGAAGAAGTTGAGCTGGAGTGGTAGGTAGGGACATGAAAGTGTGCGATTGACTAACCATTTAATCTCCTCTAAATGCATCTTGTTTGCCTTGGGGAATAAACTCACCTACTTGCATTTTCATGTTACTGAGAGGGATGTCATGGCTATAGGGGGTGGGGGGAATAGTTAACAAGGAAGACTATGTTTTATTTCTAACTTTTTAATCAAGCTGGTGCCCTTTAAATCTGCCAGATGGGAAGCTGTTGACAATGCAGGATGGGGATCTTGGGAGTGTTAATTGCAACACAATGGGGGGGGGGGGAAACCATATGGGGAAAGTCGAATCCTGCACTGACACGAAATTAAAAGTCGGGACAAGATGAAAGAAATGTCATTGGGATGGATCCAAATAGTGAAGTAGGGAGGCGGAGGAAATGGGCTTAGGAAAAAAAACGCATCATCCTGTAGAGCAGGGGTCTTCAAACTTGGCCCTTTTATGACTTGTGGACTTCAACTCCCAGAATTCCTGAGCCATGCTGAGGGGAAAGGGGGAGGTTTCCATGCTTAGCCATGCTGGCTGAGGAATTCTGGGAGTTGAAGTCCACAAGTCATAAAAGGGCCCTGTTCTGGAGGATCTCAGAGGTATATTCAACTGCAGGAAAAATGGATCCCTGGCCTTCTTCCCAAAGGCCACCTAACATCACCAGGTCTGGATGAAAACTCATTGTTCTTGCTAAAGACACATCTTTCAGATAAAAACAAACAGAAATGTCCAAATCATGAATGATCCTTTCTTTGTGCCCCCCAAAGGCACCAAATATATGGATGCCCCTGCCATGTATTCATGAGAAATAGGACTTGAGAAAGTAGGAACTAGTAGGAGATGGGACTTTTGGTTGGCCTTGAAGACTGATGGTGCCACATCCAATATCCATACCGACCTTATCCCTTCCCTACCCTTATAAAACTTAATAAAACATTTATATATAAAAAAAGACAGTGATGGTGACTCTCCCGGACACCAAACAGAAAAGGCCCTGTTCCTCCTTTAAATAAACCATGGTTTCCAGAATTCAGATGCATTTGTCCAAGTTAGAAATCAATAGACTGTAAGTTCTAGTACCATCTTAGGTATGGAAGTGGAGTGGGTGACTTTGGAGCAATCATCAGAAGAAAGTGAGTTCTAGTCTTGCCTTAGGCAGGACCAATCACCAGGAGACTGTGGGATGTAATCCCTCCTGAGGCATGAAAACCAGCTGTGTGACTTTAGGTCAGGGGTAGGCAACTTTGGCTCTTTTATGACTCGTGGACTTCAACTCCCAGAATTCCTCAGCCAGCATGGCTAAGCATGGAAACCTCCCTCTTTCCCCTCAGCGTGGCTCAGGAATTTTGGGAATTGAAGTCCACCGAGTCATAAAAGAGCCAAGGTTGCCTACCCCTGCTTTAGGTCAATCACCAGGAGATTGCCTTAAACATAAAAGCTGGCTAGGTGACTTTGGGCCAACCACCAGGAGACTGTGAGTTCTAGTCCCGCCTTAAGCAAGAAAGCCAGCTGGATGAACTTTGGGCCAGTCACTCTGTCTCAGCCTATTCACCTCACAGGGTTGTGGTGGGGAAACTAGGAGGAGGAAGGAGTATTAGGTATGCTTGCTGACTTATTTATAAAAATAATAAAAGTGGGATAAAAATGTTAAATAACTCATATTGGAAGTCCATGCCTTTCATATAGATCTGGGGTAGTCAACCTTGGCTCTTTTATGACTCGTGGACTTCAACTCCCAGAATTCCTGAGCCAGCCATGCTGAGGGGAAAGGGAGAGGTTTCCAAGCTGAGCCATGCTGGCTCAGGAATTCTGGGAGTTGAAGTCCACGAGTCATAAAGCGGCCTAGGCCTAGGCCAGAGGTAGGCAACCTTGGTTCTTTTATGACTCATGGACTTCAACTCCCAGAATTCCTGAGCCAACCTGGCTCAGCTTGGAAACTCTCCCTTTCCCCTCAGCATGGCTGGCTCAGGAATTCTGGAGGGGTTGAAGTCCAGGAGTCATAAAAGAGCCAAGATTGACTACCCCTGATGTAGATTGATGCTTTCTTGTTCTGTATTAAGGTCACTGATTTCAATTATTTGGGGGGGGGGGGACCACATTTGCCTCCAGTGTTAAATGATATCTCAGAGAATCTCAGAAAACAGCTGGGGGAAGACTCTGAAAATGGGAACTTTTTCACATCTCTCCCCGCCGCCCATCTTTTTTTTCACCCCTTAAGGTCAGGTCTCTTTAAAAAAAAAAACACTTTATAACAGCTGATGTCTTTCCTTTTAGGAAAATATTTTTCATTTCTATAGTTCTTGCTTCCCTGTTCCATTACTTTCAACTTTCACACCCCCCCTGGCAGAATATGCAATAAAACGCCTAGCTTGTGACCTGCATATTTTAATTGTCAATCCACAAACTACTAAAGACAAATAGCACTAGGGCTTGTTTTTGAGGACGGCTACGCATCTTACACAGGGAAACGAGCCTTGTGATTTTCATAACAAGCTGGTAGAAATTTCTTGGGGACAGCCCCACAGATTACCTGATTCTTTGATGGTTAATGTCTTCCATTGTGAAATTATAGACCTCCGGAGACTCATCCAAATGCTGTCCAAAGATTGTCCACATAAGACTGCCATACATAGGAAGAGAAATTAGCTGAATCCTTATCTCAGAATCCAGGGAATTGTTATCCTAAGGGCAGAAAGATTATGGAAAAAAAAAAACAGCCACATTAAGGCAGATAACCACTGAATAAAATGAAGCAAGCCAGGTCAAAAGAAGAGTCAATTTGTTTAATATTGAAAAATTAGATCTAAAAGGGAAAAGAAAATTAATCATCACGAATATGTTTGATTTATTGATTAAACCCAGGCAATATATATAATGGTTTTGATTTATTAAAGGGGATATTGTATTATTAAGTAGATGATTTAATATGGTGGGGAATAGATAACTTGTAGGAAATAGAACAAGATTACATTTAAATAGATAAAATGTGTATTTTGGATATTATAGTTTGTTATGAAGTGAGATAAGGGAAATCTTGGTTACCCAAAGTCTGAAAATTATGGATATCAAAGCTTAAATTGGAATATTGATGAGAAATTAAAAATTATGTAAAAATTAATAACAGGCTATGGATTGTTTATGAAGATTGAATGCAATTAAGATATGTACAAGCCAAAAATTTATTGATAAATGTAATAATGATGTTTTTATTGAGTTGATATAATTAGAAATGTACGGGCTTGAATACGAGACAGTAAATGTTAAGGGAAAGAGAGAAGAAATATCTGATATTGTAACCTGAGATTTGTACTAAAGATTTTGTTATCGAACTACTGATTAACCCAGTCACCACATTGCTTTTTAAATGCTCAAATGTAAAATTGGAAAATTAATAAAATATTATATTAAAAAAGAGTCCTACTTTATAGCATGTTTGAAAGGTAGTTCTCAATTTATGACCGATCGCTTACTGGATAATTTATGACACAGTTTCAAAATTCCAATATTTTCGCCCCTGTGGTCCCATGATCACATTGGACACTTGGTTTGCATTTATGGGCCTTTGTAGCATCCTACAGCCACAGTGACAATTTGTGACTTTTTTGATGGTTCCCAGTTTTTAGCAAAAATACCCCCACCGGGTATAATGAGTTCTCTTAACAACCATCATATCCATTTAACAACTGTGGCATTCATTTAACAACCACGACAAAAAGGATTGTAAAATTTGATGTGGTCACGTCAAACCTGGCATGATTATAAACCATATTTCTGGGCTCCACTAGGATCATAAAACAAGAGCTACCTGCAGTATACATAAATTGAGAACAAACTTGTTCTGATGATGTTGTTCTGTACCGTGGCGCCTATTTTAAAATTAAAGGAGAAAAATCATGCAAAGACTTCTGTCTTGCAGTTCTAATTCATTAAATACTTTTTAATCATTACCTGAGTTAATGGATTAATTGGCCTTGTGAGTCAATTGATTGGGGGAGAGCTTTGATTTTTTTTTTGCCAATTAATACGTTGACTTAACTAATTAAAAAGTATTTAATAAATTAAGAGAGGTACATCCAATTAGGTAGAATTCTTTTTAAAAAAAAAAAATCTGCTGATTATTTTGATTTCAGTCATGGGTTTATTGGCCGCCTTTAATTGAGTACAAATATTTAATCACTGGGGGAAAAAAAGGTATTCAATTAAGCCAAAGATTCTTCAAAACTGCTGATGTCTTCGATACCAAAACATTACAAAATAAAATAAACCTACTGATGTAGCACCTACATCAATAATCTTTCCGCCATAAACATCCCAAAATCAATTGCAGCAGTAAAGGTTACACATGTACAAGGTGTTATTCAAAATCAGTCAACCTTTAAGAAACACTCAAGTTTTCATTTACGCTAATATTGCTATAATATTTATAAGGAAATAAAATACATAAATAAGGTCAAGCTGATTTATTGCATGTGCCTATAAAGAAGAATCTTGTCAACTGAGGGTCAGCACTAAATTGGAGCTAGGTAAGAGTTATCAGAATTCAAGAGGGATTGGATTTAGACCGCTTGTGAGAATATAAGGATTCCAGGCTGATTCCTCTCTTGACTCCGCCCCCAGGCTTTGTCTGTCCTTTTCCAACACTAGAGGTAGTTCTCAACTTATAGCAATTCTTTTAGTGACTGTTCAAAGTTGCAACAGCACTGAAAAAAGTGACTTATGACCATTTTTCACATTTACAGTAGTTGTAGCCTCCCATGGTCATGTGATCAGAATTCAGATGCTTGGCAACTGACTCATATTTAAGATGGGTTGCAGTGTCCTGGGATCATGTGATCACCTTTTGCGACCTTTTTATAAGCAAAGTCAACGAGGAAACCATGTTACCAACTTAACAACTGCAGCAATTCACTTAACAACTGTGGTAAAAAAGGTCATAAAGTGGGACAGAACTCACTTAACAACTGTCTTACTTAGCAGCAGAAATTTTGGGCTCAACTGTGGTCTTAAGTTGAGGACCACCTGTAATTTAGAAGAGATAGAGAAGATTGAAGAGCATGTTGAGGAAGACGAGTAACAACGGCACAATAGACAGGCTCTTATAGACAGGAACAGGGTGGAGGATACAGCAAGAAAACACCTCGCAAATAATTTAGTTCGGGGATATACCCATTTTTTCAGTCTGATTTGAACGATTGTGGGGAAGCTGGAAAAGGAAATAGCAACTGAGACAGCCAAGACCCTTATCTTTGTTGTTGTTGGTTGAGAAGTTGTGTCCGACCCATCGCGACCCCATGGACAACATTCCTCCAGGCCTTCCTGTCCTCTACCATCTTCTGGAGTCCATTTAAGCTCATGCCTACTGCTTCAGTGACTCCATCCAGCCACCTCATTCTCTGTTGTCCCCTTCTTCTCTTGCCCTCCATCTTTCCCAGCATTAGGCTCTTCTCCAGGGAGTCCTTCCTTCTCATTAGGTGGCCAAAGGACTTGAGTTTCAACTTCAGGATTTGGCCTTCTAAAGAGCAGTCAGGGTTGATCTTCTCTAGGACTGACCGGTTGGATCGCCCTGCAGTCCTGGGGACTTGCAGGAGTCTTCTCCAGCACCATAGTTCAAAGGCCTCAATTCTTTGGCGCTCAGCCTTTCTTATGGTCCAACTTTCACAGCCATACATTGCAACTAGGAAAACCATGGTCTTGACTATACGTACTTTTGTTGGCAGGGTGATGTCTCTGCTTTTTAGTATGCTGTCTAGATTTGCCATAGCTTTCCTCCCTGGAGCAAGCATCCTTTAATTTCTTGGCTGCAGTCCCCATCTGCAGTTATCCTGGAGCCCAGGAAGATAAAATCTGTCACTACTTCCATTTCTTCCCCATCTATTTGCCTGGAATTGAGAGGGCTGGATGCCATGATCTTGGTTTTCTTAATGTTGAGTTTCAAGCCAAGTTTTGCACTCTCCTTCACCCGCATCAAGAGGCTATTTAGTTCAGGGCTTTTCAACCTTTTCACCCATTGTACTACTTTTAGGATATGGCAATATCCGAGTACCACCAGTCGCCTTGCAAGGTGTCAAAAACTTGATGACCCCAAAAAAAAAAAAAGGAAAAAAGTGATAAAATACAGGTAGTCCTCGACTTACAACAGTTCGCTTAGTGACTCTTTGAAGTTACAATGGCACTGAAAAGAGTGCTCCCCCAAGGCACAGCCGAGCAAGACACCTGCCTGCCCACCCGGCGGTGCTCTTCCTCCTGTCCGAGGTTTCCATTGTTGTAAGGATTTTTGTTAAGGATTGGCAGCGAAGGTGGGGTGAGGGAGTGTTTGGTTTTTATTCCCCCCCCCCATCTGCTGGGTGGTTGCAGCAGGTTTTGGTCACTTCACATGACCTTGGGACACTGTGACCGTCATAAATATGAATCAGTTGCCAAGCATCTGAATGTAAATCACAAGACCCTGGAGATGCTGCAACATTCCAGCTGATCGGCGCGTCTTCTGGGCTCAGCAGAAGCACCAGGATCAGTGCCGAGCTCCAGCTGGAGCCTGGCGCTGATCCTGGCGCTTCTGCTGAGCCCTGACAGCCCTGCAGCTCTAGCCATCTCTCGCTCAGGCTTGTGTGGTGCTGCCACCGGTTCAGCTCATTCCCCTCCTCCACTACTTTTCTAGGATGCTCGCGTACCACCTGCCAGGTGCCAATGTACCACAGGTAGTACCCGTACCATTGGTTGAAAAGCCCTGCTTTAGTTCCTCTTCACTTTCTGCCATTAGAGTGGTATCATCTGCATATCTTAGGTTGTTGATATACCCTTATCTTACAAAAGGCAACTCAGCCCAGCTGCAGAGCAATTTGGGGAAAAGTGTTTCGTAGTATTCAAAGACACCCTATATTAATGCACTATAAAGTGCAATTTTTCTTGCAGTTTAAAAGACGCTAAATTCACCCCAGATGAACTCTGAACAGCTCCTGTCTGAAATGTATTTCTTGCCTTCTTGCTCTTGCTTGGCAGCTGAGGATGGGCACAGCACACGGGCAAAATGGCAGCCACAGGAGACACGACGCTTCGTGATACAATAGCTGCCAAGGTAGTGATGCTCACTTCCAAAAGGAGAAATAGCTCCTTATAGGATATTTACCTGATCCTTTTTATGATGTTCATGGAAAAAATATCAGAAAAGCCAAGAGACCTAGTGGGCACAAAGGGAGACTTCATATAAATGGTTTAAAGCAGTGTTTCTCAACCTTGACAATTTTAAGGCATGTGGACTTCAACTCCCAGAATTCCACAGCCAGCATTGCTGGCTGTGGAATTCTGGGAGTTGAAGTCCACATGCCTTAAAATTGTCAAGGTTGAGAAACACTGCTTTAAAAGAATACAGGTAGCCTTCCGACTTAGGACCACAATTGAGCCCCAAAATTTCCATTGCTAAGCAAAATAGTTGTTAAGTGAGACCCATTTTACGACCTTTCTTGCCACAGTTGTTAAGTGAATCACTGCAGTTGCTAAGTTACTAACACAGTTGTAAAGGGAATCTGGCTTCCCCCATTGACTTTAATGGTCAGAAGGTCACCAAAAGAGATTGCCAGGATACTGCAACCGTCGTAAATATGAGTCAATCTGAATTTGGATCACGTGACCCTGGGGAAACGGCCAAATGGTTGTAAGTGTGAAAGAGAGTCACTTTTTTCAGTGAC